AGTTAGTATTGCCGCGTATTAGTATAACCGGAAACTTTTTGAATGCCCCTCGTATCAAAAACGTGAACCAGAAGTTAACCCTTACACAGATTTTCTTATTTACCTTGAACTAGGCCATCAGATTATCAAATGATTTACATATGGTTGCCCTCACAACAATGTTGCATGTCACCTGCCAAACCCTGGACCGGGACGAGGGAAGGAGTCCGTGTACTATGACATATAATATGACACAAAAAGTTGATTTATCGCGGAATTAAGCCTTGTATGTAGCTCAATTACTGCAGCATAGTTTTTAATCAAAGCGGTAGTAGATCTGAGAATGGTTCCATAATGAAACCAAAAAACATTTTTAGACAGTCATCAAAGTCCCCTTTGTTCCTATTTATTACAAAAAATATGACCGGACAACTGTCGTAGAAATCTACTTTAGTTAAGGCTGGAAAACCCCCCTTCAAAGAGATCAGATTTTGAAGAATATTTACCTCCACACGACAGGTTTTGATCTTAAATTATAGATGACAAGAGCCTTATTGAATCAAAAACAAACATGGGCAACAGCTGACCAACTCAAAATGGTTACTAATTGATTTATGTTTCTATCGAGTACGTTACTTTATCTAGCGATAAATTTGATTTCAAATCCAAATTAATTCTAATCCGCAATTACTGGCAGGAACAAGAAATGCAGGTGTGCCATATCGTGGATATGTTAGGTCACATACGGACCATTTGAAGCGTGATGGCCACGTGGCTAGGCCCTGCCTGACCCCGGTCACTAAGGCCCTAGCCATGGAGGCAGTGAGGTTTTCTGATTTAAACTTTCACTTCATTGCTATCTTATGCAAAATAAGATATTTCTTGCACAGTAGTTGCCAAAACACAGCAAGGCTGTTTACTACAGAAACACGATTCTTATTCAATTATGAATTTGGTTATGAATAAGGACAGGCTACTTCGGTTATGAACTATAAAAATTTAAGGAGTTGCATCTCAGTTGAAAGCAAAATTTTGAATGGTCGGCAGATGGCGGAATATTGGAAGCGTCACAACTATTCCAATCCCTTACAGCCACAATAGGGTGTTTCAGTTCACAAACAATAGTGAAGATTTAGCTTTCATTAAAAATGCAAGCAAAAGAACAGGTCGTCCATAGCTGCTGGACTCTAAGTTCTCTAAACCACATATAAAACAAAAAAACATAAAGTGAGCTTCGAAGATCAAGTTTAGGTTTTTAAACTTTTTTAGTTGAATTGAGTGAACGGCAACGTTGGTGAAGATCTTCATGGGATAGAAAAGCATCGCCAACATGTAAATGTCGTTATAACAAACTTTTGTGCATTGCTAAGTCGTTGAACGCAAGAATTAAGGTCCTCGCTGCTTTAGCAATGATTTTTACATGAATAAATCATAAGAATCAGCTTGTATGTTAATTGGCAGGCGAAGGTTCGGAGCTGGACTCTGAATCGAGCAAGGAATGACTTTTTGAAAATTTTTGCCTACAGCCATCTTCAAGAGTTTGGGGCAAATTTGAGAGAGGATCTTGCCAATTAAAAAGCCTATAAAGACGGTAAGAAATTTAATTTATTACACTGTTAAATTCGATTATTGCATCTAGACATAAGCATGTACCAGTAATAACTTCGTGCTTGAATTGGTACTAGCCAGACAGTATAAAATTATAATTTGGTAACAAATGAAGTCAGTAAAAGCGAAAGAGCAAGGTTGTTATAATAAATGGAAAATTAGTTGGTGTGAATGAGCAACTACTTTAGTTAAGTTGGGTGAAAACTGCGAAGCCAAACTAATTTAGGTCTTCAGCCTTGTTTTCAACATATCCTTCTGCTGACAGACACAATTATGGCGTTCATAGCAAGTCCATCAGATAACATTCAAAGCAGCGCTAGAGACATTGACACTTATCAGCAAAACAAGACACATTTCAACTCAAAAGAAGTCAGTGAAAATTTTATCAGTTGGTTTCTCATCAAAAATCTGAAGGCCGATACGTTGACATAAAGTCAAGGGTTGCACAAAACGATAACTCTACAGCTAATAGTCGTAACTTTTTATTTTCATAATTATATCAAAATAGTACTTTTACTTTACCATTTGCAAATCCAGCTGATTTTGACAAACAAGACTGGCCATGTAATGTTAATGAGCCACTTGTAATCATCTGTTATGGATGAGACTGCTTGAAGGCAAAGCATGAGGGATTCGATTTCAAATCAATTCTTATCAGTTACTAGCATATTTATTTCCTTTATCATACCAAAGTGTAAGATAACCAAGAAATATCGTAAAGGAAATATAATATTTACCTCTGATAGCAAAGATTAATTTTCTGAAAATCAACCCAGAAAGTTACAGTTTTAACACAGAATAGAGTTTAATATTCGTGTTACAGGCAGTTTGAAGGTGTTTGATAATTTTGCATACGATATATAGAAAAGCAGAATAATTTATGATGCCCAAAACAACACCAAGACATTTCCTACGGGCTGTGTTAGTTATAAATTTGTATGAATTTGTAATCACCTAACCAAATTACTCAATCTAACCATCGTATTATAACCACGGAACGATGCAAGTGTGAAGAAACATCTCACTTTATGTTTACAAGCAAAGATTCTAAAGCTAAAATGACTAATGACTTGAACAAGCGGTGAAGAAGCTATCCTTTATGTATCTGAAGTTGAGGTCATAACGAGATGGTGAATAAAAAACCAAGTATTTAAAGAGCTCTTTAAAACGGGGGTCACACTGCAGTAAAAAGCAACCATATATTCATTTGATTTGTCACGTATGACACTCGTATTAACACCCTTATTTTTAAAGCCACGACAGGGCGTTTACATTTCAATCGGGAAAGGAGCAGTGATGTAAATGGTTGACATTGTGTAATATTTAATATTTGAAAGTAATATTTAAACAAATGGAACTAGGAAATGGAAAATGGTGCCTCTTAACACTGATAATCAAGATGAATTACTCATTTCTGATAAATTGCACTTATTGCCCCTTAAAATCTGTTGATATTGTAGAAAAGAATCATTTTTTACAATCCGAATCTGAATCGGCGTGCACGTGGTAGCATAGTACGGTGACCAGGTTATTTCCTAGCTGTCTTCAACTTCTCTGGTGTTATAGCAAAGAAAAATATTTCAATATTAAAAACCTTTTACTTAGAAATTAAAATAGTTAGTGGTCAAAGAAACAGGCAATGAAATGTTGAGAAAAAAGTACTCAATCCTGACAACACAAGGTATTTTGTTTTAAAACAAATAAAAAATGTTGTAAGAACTGAGTAAGTTTCAATCTTAGCTGAATGGCGGCAAGACATCTTGCAAATATCAGTGTCACATTTCCAGATTGTTATTGATAAAAGGGCTACCTCAAGGCCCTTGTCCTGGACCATTATTATTTAACATGTATGCAAAAGCTCCCTATCCCCCTATTGAAATTCAATGAATTTAGCTTTGATGCAGACATCACCAATATTTCTCACTCGTCCGACTACATTTCATATTTTCCTAGATTTAGATCGCCTTAAGAATTGGTTGAAGAGAAGCTGGTTTTTAACTTATAAAACAATAATACAGAATAAACAAAAAGCAACTTAAAGGCTGGGTCAGTCTGGAACTCAAATACCAATCCCAGATATTGAAGATGAACCATTCGATCAAACACGTGATCACACACGCGCAAATTTTTTATATGTTAAGGATGAGTAGTATTTGATCTTGAAAAAGCACTTTCTAACCAATACTAAAAAATGTGCAGAAAAATCAAATAGAAACATAGAAGTGCTGACATTGCAAATAAAACTTTCAGTTAAAATAACTTGCAGGAATTTGAGATTCGTTCACGGATTTATATTTCCACCGAGAGGTCATCATATCTAAACAAGATCGAGACTTTTTGTTGTTTAATACAATCCTTAATCAAAAGAGCTTTTTTTCGGAGAACTGAAAATATATAGGACCTAAAATATTAGTCTTTTTCCATTTGAAAAAACTGTTTATGTTGCAATCTTCAAACATCATTTCTTATAAAGTTTTGTGCTCTTTTAAAATAAGCTGTAAACACTATCCACAAAAGTTGTTACATCGTAAAAAGAATGTATAGATGAATATCAAGATGCAAGGAAATGAAATCAAAACCTTGGTTGCACTAATTTAACGAGATTGATGACGCACAAGTTTGAATGATTTGTTTTCCTTGCTTTTACCAATCTCAAATGGCACGTATAGCAAAAAACATTTACATTTAGTCTTCTGAAGTCCTTAAAAAAAGAGAGCTGTAGCCCCCTACCATCTTTAATTACGTGTAGTATGCAAGGGTGCAGTAGATGCTAATTTTTTCAAGGGGAGGGGGGATTCAAGAGGAGAAAAGAGGTTCAAAAGATTAATGTTTCCTAGTGATTCTGACAAAAGTTTTAAACACGCCTAGCCATCGCACCACTGCAACATGTCACCACTACACACCACTGCACACAACTGCCCCTATTGGGACACTACAATTTGCCATAATATAACCATATGAAGTATTCAGTAAATATTTTATTCAAGGAATTGAACGAAGGTCGAGCTACATAAGAATAGACCAGAGCTGTGAATAGACCTTTACTTCTATGCCAATACACAAGCTGTAACATAATGCAAATACATAATGCTTCTTTGCATGTTTATATAAACAGTCTCAATAAGAAGCAGCTACATAAGGAAAGCATAATTTAAGTCCAAGTTGGTGATCAAGCATAATTCTCTAATTATAAATAAGATAAGAAGTACTGTGCTTTTTAAGAATACAAAAAGGTCGTTTTTTATTTATCTGGATTTAACGTTTAAGCTATTTATGATAAAGCTTAGTCAGGTCCACTATTAACGCTACAACATCTTTTTCACAGAAGTGTTAATTCATTTAGAACTTCATCTTCCAATATATTTAGATGTATATATAAATATACATACCCTCAAATGGAATTGAAATTCTTCCGTTGAAGGGCTGAATTATACAGTAACATGTAGCGTAAAGCAGCCAACAACATAAAAATTCTCAGTGAACTCGATTGCAATAATCTAGTAGGTTCAGCTTACAAATAGGTAAACGTTTCTCCTCCAGCTGCGGGCTGGGTACTATAAAATGCAACAATGGCAGAAATTGCGGAGGCGTGGGAAGCAAGTGCCAAATTTTCGGTTTTGTCGATAATTTATGTCATTTGTCGGCAAATTTGCTTGCAAAATCAAAAATGAATTTCCGCCACTGAACTGCAAGAATGTAAAAACATTGATGCTTAGAATATATCCTTCGTGACAGGGTAACATCCAATGTTTTTCTGTGGTAAAATAGTGTCTCGTGTCCAATCCTTTCAACTTGCACACTAAAGATTTGTAAAAAATTGGGGAAAATCAAACCTCAAAGTGTTAGAGTAATTAAGAATAGCCACCCTGAGCCTCCTGAGATTCCCTGGTTCTAATACACAAAAACAGTGTGAAAAATGCAGGCAAAAGTTATTAGCTTTTCCAAACACGTAGATCTCAGGCATTTTCTCTTTATTTCCCTTTAAAATACCAATAATTGTGCTTGAAATAGAATCAGCGGATGAGGTACATGCATTCATCTCTTAAGATACAAATATTAGTGATACTGTAGGAAAATATAACAAAGAGGTTGTCAACCACAAAGGTGTTTCTGAAAATGACGTTTGAAATGACGTCATAAAAAGTGGATAAAGATTTAAAGCCAAAATTAAGGAGACATTGAATATCATCACTACGGCTAAATATAAACATTGTTCTTTCAAAATTTGAAAAATGCTGTTGCAGATTCTGAGGCAGACATTCAAATAGCACCTTGTGAGCAGTTTTCTTTTAATTTTTCCTGCTACAGGCATACATGCTGCGACAAAAAATGGTGTGCCATCATTATCTCAACAATCTCAATCTGGCTCTGACTTTATTAGCATACCATTATTTCACATCTTCCACAATAATTTCTTTCGTGCTGACTAAAATGATATGTTCTAATGGCCTTTCAAACATCACATTTGTTTGTTCTCTTCTGGTAATTTTTGGATAATTACTCTCATCAAAAATGGAATACAGATTTTCATGCAATGTCTAAGAACGGTTGGACGATTTAAGATTGCAATAAATTCAAATGCCACACTCCAACTAGGCTCATTTACGACTTAAGAAGCAGGTTTTAAAATTATAGATCATTGACTTGTGGATGGAAGCTGGACATGGCTCCGACATCGAAGAGCCTGCATATTTTTGAAACTGAGGCAGGTGTCCGCATTCGACAATGTAACTACTGTATTTAAGAAATGGCCTCCCACTTGCTGACTTTCTTTGGCTTTACTATTTCCAAAACCCATTGTGAAGCAGTTTTGAAAGATGGTTCAGTCCCTGTAATCGTAAGGATTATTCAGGCTTTCAACCCACTAGATTATTTTATATTCAGTCCAAAGGCCATGAATTGCCAATAGCCGCTTGTCTTATGACCAGCCTTTTGGAATTGACAAAAAAGATTGGATCCTTCATTGCATGAGGTTTTGTATCTACCATTTGTGATATTCTCGCACAGACATATCATATTTACCAATGTAAAATCGATCCCTAACTAATTATCAAACTATGTTTAGTTGGATTGAATAGAACTACACGCACTGTTGTGATAGAGTCACAAGACTTACCCAAAATCCGAGCTACATTTCAGAAACTAAAGAATGTCTAGGGCTGTCACAAGAATGGATAAAATGAAAAATGTAACAGATACCGTTTCGAATGGTATAAATAAACATAAATAGAAGATAAAAAGATCTAGAATATTGCAAAGAAATATAAGAAGATACTAACAGAAACAGAAACAAATAAGAAAAAGATAGTAATTACTCACATTTCTTTGAGTTTGCTGTAAGAAACTCCTACACAAGCTTTCCACCACTAATATGACCTGAAAAGGTGACAGCATTATAAGTATCCAACTGGAGAAATTTCAAAAAGATTTTGTTCTCGCAGCAAGTGTTGGATGTAGGGTGTCTGTCTATCTTGCAATCAGCATAACGATATTTAAGCTGATCACTTATGCTCGGCCATCTGTCAAGGTAGATGCTGTAACGACTATCCTCAGACAAAAAGAGGCTTCTGCAAGTATATGTTTTTGTCATTGGTAAGTTTTTCAAGCTAAAATTTTCGATTTACACAATAGCTTTAGATCGCTTAAAGCCAGCTTCACATAACCTAAACAGTTGATTTTCTTGTAACGGAATTAGCGGTAAGAACACGATAAACAACTTCCAAACAGTTTCGTGCATCACTAGTTTGGAGCGCCATAGTTTGTGTTCCTTGCTTGACACAGTCAGGTTTTCTCTTCCTGAGTTTAGTTTTTTGCATAAATCTATTCATTTAAGTATTATCTTGAAGATAAGGGTAAGAGATAAAATTAGATGAATATATTTGGGATAAAATTAGATAAATTCTTTGGCGATATCAGAAATAAAGATGTAGTACAACATCCTTTGCTGCTCAATTCCTGCTGAAGGGAAAAGTAAAAGTCGAAAGATTTGCAAGATAAACGATTTCTTGCAAACCTTTAACGATTAGTTTTGATATAAATACCTTTGAAATATTGGTAATCTAGCCTATTTGTCACAGCCGTAACTTAGAAAAGTAAAAGGGTCCTAAGAATAACGAAACTTTACCGAAGATGAGTATGTCCAATTGCTTCACCTACAGGGTATTCACACTACGTGGTATTTTAGGTGTTTCAGTTTCAATTATCTCCCAACCCTTATCAAACCTCTAGCAATATTTAAGTCGTGATTGCCCGGGTTAAGTCTGTTTCTTTAGACTTGGATTCTTGAATATTTTCTGCAATGCCTTCTATACATTCTATTGATATGTGTATATCGTACTAAACCAAGCTAGTAAATGCTACTATGAGGTGGGTTCATCTATTCACCAACTTTGCATTTTCAAAGTTACACGCTTTGGTGTTGTACGTCAGTTTTCATTTTGGATTCATTAGATACCCTTGCCATCTCTTTCTGTTGAACATCTCTGACCTTGATGTTCTTGTTGATTGATGACTAACTGTGTGGGGTAAGTTTTCTCTCGGTACGCTTCTGAAGCGAACAAGAAACTTGTGTATTCTTTTTACAAATGTTGGCAGACATTTTCTTTTTTCTTAAATATTTTCTTAGAAGATGAAACACATACCCGTTATCTTGCTCATTTTTTACCGGGCGTATTGTTCTCGTTTACAATTGGTTTCAAGTTGATTTAGATTTTCTTAAATTGAGCTACAAATTTTGTTGTCCCGATAGAACATCGTCTCCTGGAAAGTCTCAAACACTTTTTAAACATTCCTCTCTGAATTGCAGTGACGTTTTTCCAAGTCTGTGTTTTTTCAAAATTTACAGGATTTTTCAAATCAAGTCTTCTTCGAACACTTTTATAACTAACTCTCTTCCACATGTCATAACATGATTAAAAGTTGCTTGAAAGCTCATCCCTTTTCATGACTTTTCAGAGAAATCAAAGACCACTTGATCACTAATCAATGTCTGATAACTGATCAGACTTGATTTAATATTGATTGAAACAAGTAATATTCACAAGCGTTTTACTAGGAGTACATAACTCTATAAGTAAAAGATTCTAAAAAATGAAATTCAAATTTATAGCTTTACCGATAAAACCTGATCATTTAACTACATAAGAACCAAGTATGGAACAATCTGGAGCATAGTCTGATTCGTATTCTCGTAAGCATTGCCTCCATGCCACTAATTGCGATACCCTAACACATTTATCACACGTCAAAAATTATTGCAATCAAAAGAGCTATCATATTTTAATAAGAGAATACAGTTAACACCAGTGTGCTCCTCAAAGAGTTTTGAGACACAGTGACATTTCAAATTGAAAGTTGAAAGATAAAGAGACGCTTTTAACTCTGTTGGCACTTAAAAAAGGCATGAAATTACTATTGTCGTGAACTTGATTCAGCCACGATAAACAGTAAGAACTGCCAACCAGCAGAACGTTCTTTAAAATTAAATTTACGTTGCAAAAATTAGATTTTATTAGAATAGCCTTAACAGTTATGCAAGTTCCAATTTCAAACGACTTTCTAACTTCAAGTGACTCTAGCTAGCACTGTAGATAATCTGGTCATTAGTCGTTTTTCTTCCTTGGTATTCTCGATACCGAATCGAATCAAAGGCTGCCTTTTTGCTGATAAATTCTATCTCGTGACATCTACACAGCAAAGCACGGTTTGTGTGTGATAGCCTAAGGGTGTTCTACTTCTGGAACAAGCCGTATCAAACATTTATAGAAATATTGGTCAGGAAAAAGCGAGCTAGAACGAGGTGAAGGGATTTAACAATCTTGAATTAAAGCACAACTCGCCCACAGACACTTTCGTAAATCCAAAAGATGTTGGAACCACAACAGTATTGAATGATGTGTAATTAAATTTTTCATGAAAATCATGGAAGTATGCTTTTGGAAATCCTATTTCTAGGCTTAAACAGGCGTAATTTATTCAGATAGTTGCTAAAACTTTTACGCTTTTGTGGTGCAGTGATTTCGAACTTACGTACTTTAGAAACATTGCGTATGAATGGTTTTGGTAAGGATATTAAGACAGCTTTTGCTATTTCTAGCAAAATGTTCGATTGTGCTGGAATCTATTACTGGAATATATAAAATCGGAGAAGGGTATTTCTCTTTTGTTAAGCTTCACAAAAATAGATAATTTTTCAGAATGTTTATACTGTTTGCATCAAAGGATCGATCCAACAGAGAATTGAAGATGTTCTAAATAAAAGAATGTCATAATGTAAAAAAAATCATGATTGAATCAATTTTTTTCTGCTAATGAAAACCGTAAAGGCGATTTGTAAATAGATTACAGCGATGGAAGGAGATAGCTAGGGCCTTCATGATTCTTGATTCCATTAGCAGATGATTGAAGCCGTTTAAAAAACGGTTGACGGTAATGATTTTTGATTGTTAGAATCTGTTAATAGAACCAAAGGTGATGATTGCGATAACACGCTGATGAAATGATGAAGGACGTGGTATGACGTATATGTTGATTAAACTGAACACTTTTTCGTATGCGATTAAACAAGATTGAATCAAGATGGGAAGATAGAGTGCTGGTTTACAAAAAAGATGATTGAGGCTTTATCCAAGCAATTTACGACCTTGTCATTCCAAAGCTGAGAGGATGGCACAGTGGTTAGGGTCGAAAAGTACAGATCCATGGGTCTGAGGCTTGAGACCCTGACATGGTCGAATATTCACCAATAGTGAGGGGAGTCGCCAGCTCTCTGTGGTTCAAGACGGAGGAATCACAAGGTATGGTCATATTAAGAGAAAGGACCAGGACACTGCTCGGTAAGCAAAGCTTATCAGTGTCCTTCCTACCTTTGGAACAAGAATAATCGTAAAATTGATAATAATCACGTTCACTTTATGACGTTTTCAAGTTGTATCCTTAATTAGGGTTTACTCTTAATTTACCTGGAGAGTTTTACGTAAATGCAATCAAATCCCTGAGATTTTATGAGCTCTGACTTGTCAAAAGATTATCATTTGAAATACAAACAGAGTGACGAAGTTTGAGCTTAGTCTTGTTTGTCGATCTTAAAGCCACCAAGTAAGAGGTCCAAAAAGTTTGAGAATTTAAAAAAGATTAAAGAAGCAAGCAACTTTACGTGAACATTGTATTTGATGATCTGATGTTAGATAGATTTTCATTAAGTTCACTCGCACTGAAGATTTTTCACATCTGTATTTGAAATGGCCTAAGAAACCTGAAACTAAAGCGTGTACTTTTATCAGAAACACAAGCTTGGCTCATACCCAGAGCCTAGAAAACATGACCGCGATATCGAAGAGAGTGAGGAAAGCTATCGAAACCAAAAGATATTTCAGAACAATAACGACTCAATTCTTACGTAATTTAGATTTTCCATAGCCTTCTTCAAATCAATTTTAATCGCAGTTTCACAAGGTACTTAAGTCTTTTGTAACAGTGCAACCAGGCTTAATGACAGCTAAAAGAAGTTCCTGTTAATTTAGAAGGATTAGCTTATGGTTCAAATCAACCATCTTGGCAACCAGACTTTCTGCAAAGTGAAAATTTCTTTGTGCCCTAACAAAATTTGTTCAATGGCAATGACAAACGTCAACAGTGTCTTCAACCTAGTTTCAATACAGCCGCAAATTCAAAATGCAATTGTTTCCTAATTGTGCTTTATAAAGGCTCTTAAGTTTCTTATTTTTGTCGAAATTTCCATTACTTGTTTCTTAAAGCAAATTTCCCTAAAAAATTAATGTAGTCCTTTTAGCCAACATTTTAGCCAACCTTCTAGCCAACCTTATATCCAACCATTCTCTCAACTTTCAAAACAACAATTTTTAACGACAGATCACTAGCCGCTTTGTGCCAGAGTAAACAAAGGATATTGCTTCGAAGATCAGTTTGCCAGATGGTTCGCAAAACAGCTGTTTATTTGATTTGCAACATCAGAAACATGTAGATCAAGTTACATAACTAAGTACCTTTCATCTACGAGATAACGAAGCCCTTTGAACGCACGATGCTAATTAAAAGTGAGCTGTTAATCGGCAATTCATTCATTTATCACGGTTATATTACTGCATATTCATGTAAACCTTTTATAAGCTCTGGAAATAATCAATTCTTATATTATTAAAATGATTCCTAGGATTGAAGCGACGATAACACGTGAATGACGAATATACATTGTAATCTTCTATTTTCTTCGCTGAACGCTCAGGTACTAAGTTTCGGGGAGTATTGATTTTAGGGAATATCTTAAAAGAGATAACCAGCAACACGATAACAGAATAGTGGAACCCAAAACGCACAAGAAATAAGGCTACAAGACAATATTACACATTCAGAAGAGATAACGGGAACTGCAACAAAAAGAGAATAATAAATTATAAGAGAGATAAGATTTTCCATGGTTTCCTAGAGTTAATTTTACCTATGGTCGGATTTAGAGCACTGTGTTTCATCTAACAAGATGGAACACGCAATAGGACAAAACGCAACGCCATGAGCTGATTAACTTGAAAGAGTGTTGCCAAGTAATATTCTGAGCGGTGCATCCTCATACTTTCTATGACAACCTTGCCTCTCGAATAGGCTCCATTTGTTTCTGGAGAAGTTGCGTGGATAAGGAATGATACAAAGAGCAAATGTTAAAGGCAGCAGAAACATAGTAAGCTGGCTTGAAAGAACACTTCGCTTTGTACAGAATAATTAAAGAAGTAAATAAAGTAAGTAGGAATTCATAACACTGACTTAATAAATAAAAGTTGTAATGTCGTTTATACGTGTCCTGTACTGGATTACTCCACTGGCGGTAGAAAATCAGTCATTCGACACGACTGATGCGTTATTTTCATTTCTTACGTATCTTTAATATTCTTTTCAAATCAAGTTATTTTTAATGAAATAAGATAAATTAAGAGAAGAAAAGAAAATAAATGAAATAAGAAAAGAAGTATGCCCCGTCAGTTAACCATTCAGAGTTAACAATAGGCTCTGCAGCGCGTTTATTGTTTAGGAAACATTGGTAATAAACATTACGATGCCGATTGGATACGTAACAATGGATCTGTTGTGTGGTCCAACCAATGAAAAATTTGAATGACCAGCGAAAGGCGTCTAGACATTAAGCAAAATTATGACTTATAACAAATACCAGCTTCCCTTTAAATTTATTGTTTTAGAAAATTAATGAAGATAGGATAAGAATTCACCATTTTAAATGTTAACACATGTTCTTCTTTTGTTTTTCCACTTTATTCTTCTTCTTTTTCCCTTTCTTCTACTTCTTTTACTTCTTTTCTTCTTCCTCATCTTAGTCTTCCTCTTTTTTCTTTCCTTCTACTTCTTTATCTTCTTCTATTGCTTCCTTTTCTTCTTCACCTTCTTTCTCTTCTTCTTCTCCTTTTTTCTTTTCTCCTTCTTTTTTCCCTCTTTTTCTACTTCTTCCTCTTCTTCTCCTTCTTCCTTTTCTTCTTCTACTTCTTCCCTTCTTCAACTTCTTCTTTTTTTCTACTTCTTCCTCTTCTTCTCTATCTTCCTTTTCTTCTTCTACTTCTTCCCTTCTTCTCCTTCTTCTTTTTTTCTACTTTTTCCTCTTCTTCTCCTTCTTCCTTTTCTTCTACTTCTTTCAATTTTTCTTATTCTTTTTCATTCATGATTTGCCTTTGCAGATCTAGTCTTTTTCACATTAGGTGTATTACATACAATATTTCAAATTTCAAGCAGTTGATAAATCTACAATATCAGCAAAATACCTCATCGATATTTTAATCATGCTGCAAGTTGCAAGTTGTACGCCAATGTCTAAACACATACTTGGGGTCCTCCAAAAATCTATGGTGAAATTTCATGAGCAGGAAATTTGCATATGTTTGCAGTTACTTTCTTTGGGACACGATTCATTTAAATTGGTCAGAAGGCATCAGCTTTATGCAAACTCACTGAACAAACCAATAGTTAACGCTGTGTCTTTCAATGTTATTCGGTCAGAAGAACACCACAAACCTTGCAACGATGAGAGAACAATGTAAACAGGTTAGAAAGGGAAAACAAAAGACTTTTCGCTTCCTCTGTTACTTTTCAGCACCGTTGTGAATTCTTTTTCCTCGATTGAAGTTCTTTGGATTATCTGGCCTAATTGGAACAGAGTATCTTCCCACGTGGAACGGACTGTCCGAAAATTGGAATGATTGACTTTCTCTAGCCAACTAGGCAAATAACAAAGTTTAAGAGATGAGAATGCTGCTAAGAGTTTGCTAACAAACTTTAATCCTGTTCAAATTAGCAAAAAAGCCTGTGTCAAATATGCCCTGACATACTTCTTTGAGACAGGTGCAGGAGTGTTCAGCCGTCCTTTTCTTTAATGGGCATGAAAAGATGGCTGTACCAAGCATTCTGAATGAAAAGAATTTTCAATACACTGTGTTATATATGACATACTTTTTTCTGAAAGTGCGAAAAGTTTTAAAAGAACAAAGTATAGATTACACATTGTACCTTTGATTGCAGAATATAGGTTTAATGTCAAAAACCAAATATTGTGATCCATTGTTAAGGACAAAGATGATCCATCTGAGCCAACACTTCTTGCTAAAACAAATACTACATCCATTTTAAAAGCCCAAGCATATGCTTTGCCACTTTAATCAAGGCTTGGCCTTTTAAAAATTGCATAATTACCGTCACAAATTCTGACAAGAGTTCGTGAACTTTTTTAAGTTACATAATTTCTTAGAAGCAGGTGCTGACAAGAAAAAATAGTTACGAGAAGCCAAAACTTTCTTAGAAAATTGAATTTTTCAGACAGTACTCTATCTACATGCCTGGATACAATATCGAAGTTCATGATGTTGTCTGTACAGCATCTGCGAACAACTAAACCATTTCGTACGAAGTCAGTTAGAGTGTTGATTTGTTTCAGGCTGATATTTGATTGAATATTTCAAGGAACCCAATATCTTTAAAGCATGAACTCAAGCTAATCGCGTATGCTTGATGTCTTGACTGCACAGAAGCTGACGTGTGGAAAACACTGAACGTCTAAATCGTAAACGAAAATTATTACACAGTGAGGTATTTTTTGTGAATTGCTATAAAATTCAAGCTTGAATAATGTTTTTCTTTCTATCGATATATTTGAAAAATAGAAACAAAAAATATTTAAATAGCATCCAAAGCATGCTCAAAATTTTGCTACGTTGCGGGGATAGAGAAATAGTTTCTTAAAAATACTTCAAAAGAAATGAAAGTATTCACTTTGATAAAATGAGATCTTTTGACAGCTGTCAAGATTTCACAAGCACTTAGGAAACATGAAATAATCTAAACTCTTCCCAAGACCTTTTTATGGAGATCTGCACGTTATAACGGAATCCCATGAATGTTTTGAAATTACACTAGCAAAGTCACAAATTTCTTTGATTTCATTGGCATTTGAATCATTGGCCAATAGACCTGAACTTCAAGTTTGTTTGCTGGTGCATGCAATAAGTCACTGCACCAATTCATTCTGTACCCACCTGTCGCAACCTATCATATTTTCATCCTTGTTGTTCTGGACAATAGTTCTTATTGAAACATATATACGACACGCCCACACAGTTAGAGCGAAAAGCTTTCTTGTGAAAGTTTGGGATGTCCATTTGAGTATCTGTGAATAACAATGTGAAGAGGTTGTTCGTGGATATAGCATGGTTTCTTAAGTGGGTAAGGTTTTCTTTTTTGTGCCTACACCATCTACACTCGATTTCATTGCTGTGATTTAGTGTCAAATGTGCAAAAATCGTTCTGGATAAAATTAATTGGAATATCCTTAGTATTTTCCGGTAGTTATCCTGTGGATTGTGATGGAAATTTTGTCATCTAACGAAAGCGATTGAAATGAACTGACATTCGTATCTGAATATAATTTACACTGAGAAGGGAAGTTTTTCATTTTCAATTCATTTCATTTTGATTGATTCAACAGGGTTAAATACATTCAGTAAAAGTAGATAAACTGCTTTACAATGTGCCCTACTTTAAAAACATAATCAACCTCATTACTTGGATGAAATACAAATCAACTTGAAGATCCAATATATAAGAAAATATTGTTTTAGTAACATTTTGTGCAAGAGCCCTCTTGCTAATCTACTAGCGCTATGCCACTGTTTATTCGTGCAGAAAAATCCAATTATAAAACAAACTCTAAAACTGAATTGTGTTGTTATCATGCAATGTTGAGGAAATTCCAGCCCGCTTTTTTCAACGAACTCAACTATGAACATTACTGTACTCAAATTTAAAGGTCGGTAGGACTTTTACACATAAACTTGCTATCTAAGCCTTAATAAAGGGTACCAAATATGGTTTTCGGGGAGTCAGGAATCGTCATTTGTTGGCGTCGGGAATCGAGAATCGATAACACCGGGATTCGGGAATTGATGGTCGGGAATCGAGAATCGGGCTAAAAATGTAGCGGGAATTACGGTATTAGGCAACCTATTGGGTACCCTCTAAATTGTTATAAGATTGATTTGTTATACATTTTATTTACATTGTATTTGGCGTTGGTAATTCAAATTAGTTGGTTTCAATTAGCTTGAGTATGCAAAGCCAGAAATTGTACCAACTTTAAATAAAGAAAGAAAGAAAATGCAGAACTTCATAACAACTTAAAATGACTCGTGATAGTCAATAATTTAATAAATGTGCTCGTTATACCGCAAATGGCCGATTAAGCGCTCTGGGCGCTTATTTACCTTTTAAGCTGTTAAAGTGTCTGCTTATTCGGGCTGGGCGCTTATTCGAATCCTAGGCGCATATGGAACATTTTGATATAATTAATTTTTTACCTTTTTCAATAAGAAGCAACTAGTTATAGAAATCCACAGAGCATAAAATTCATATTCGGACGGTTGGGTTTATCGAAAACTTTTTATCTCAGGGTGGGCGCTAATTTGGATCGGGCGCTGATACGTGTTCTAGATGCTTAATCCATCATTTAGGGTATCACTCGGAAAAGTGATATTCATGTCAATATATTCAAGCAAAACAATGCAAATCGACGGGCAACGATACAATATACAAAGATACAATATACAGCAGACATTTATTGAGTAATAAATTCAGCTAAACAGGTAAAACTTTTCCAATAATTTGGTACCGTGAGCCATTCATATCTATACGGTATGTTTCCTTGTCAATTCATGTGGTCTCTGCTTTCTACATGTTGTTTCTGTTTCAACGCAAGATTAAGACAATCCAGAAGACCAAGTGTGCCCGTTTCGCGATTTTGTCATAACCCCTGCGTTATCACGACATATTTTTGGAATACGCGGGAAAGAAAAGTCGTCTTTTAGTTGCAAACTTTTTGCTCTTTGGTTGCAAACTCTTTGTCTTTTAGTCGCAAACTTATTGTGCTTTAGTTGCATTATAGGCGAAACTAAAGAATCAGGACAGAATAATTCGAGTAAGCCTCGGATCATACACGTTGAGGAGTTTTTTTTTCCTGTATTAATGAATCAGAGATCGCCCAAGGTCAGGGAAGGCTCTCCTGTTATGACATCCAGCAAAACATGGTACCTATCCGGATTCTTCATGTCTGCCCGCATTGTAAGAGTGCAGTTTAGTTTGGCTTTGGCTTTATAAGCCCGTTCTTTTTAGCTATATATGTCTACAAATCAAAGTGACGCGGCATTTAGGACTATAGTTGTTATATCGATTGTATTCGCGCAATACTCTTTTCTCACCATTGCTAAGCTATTAAAGCTCCAGATGCAATAAAATGCATCCTTTTTTCTACATGTATTAGCAACCGTTTCAACAATCTTTAAGAATGCCAATGAATTGAAATAGCTAAAGCTCCTAAACGTGTATAAAGAGAAGTAACAATATAGTATTTCTTTAAAGGCCCAAGCAGTTTCAGTCAATTCTCGATCTTTCTTCAATCGGCCCTTGTAGAGATAGCCGAATTGTCCCCTTTGCCCCTAAACAATGTTAAAAATGCACCGTAGCCATCCTAGTTTTCAGAAATACAGTTTCTGCTCGAATAGTGCTTTTCTATAGAGAACCCAACGCTATTTAAAAGGAGAGATTGAAAACAGCAAATGTTAATGACAAAATTTATGTTGGTGTTCTGATTTCTGGCAGGCAATTAGCTATCTCGTTGAGAGAACAACCACGTAACAGAGTGTTTGCATCAGTTGTTAAAAATACATTTTGGCGTTGCTCTTGACACAGGATTAGAGAAAAAGTTCAAAAGAATATTCTTAATTCTGCATTCTCAGCACTATCTGTCCGATAACCTGAAAAGTCGACATTAAACATCAATCTACATTTCTAACTTTAAACCGCGATGTTGAATAGATTTAAACTGACGTTATGTCACAGTTATTACAACTGTATGCGATTTCGGAAACAACGCTTTCTAGCTGTTGCTTTGGAAACTTTCAGAACAAGCTCATTTAAAAACGTGAAAAAATACGCTTTTCCGTACAAAGCTTTTGAAGGTCTGCAAGAATTGGCTTTAGCAGCAAATTTTGTATCAGCATTAATTTATGTATGTGTTTGACTAAAATAAAAATTGTAACGAGCAGTATTTTTTTAAGAACCTTGCAGTTCACAAATATCAGCAGACAGACAAATATCACATTTCCAGTGATGCTATCAATCTTAGATGACACGTAAAAAAGGTAAAGGCTAGTCCCGTATTCGAACGTATACCGAACGTTGCGGTATGCGCTGTTGGGGGCGCATCTTCCTAGGCCACGGTATTATGTGGTAAGGTGGCCAGTTTCTTTCCACGCAACTTTTAACTCCCTACAATGCTTCAACTAGGCATTCATTTTCGGCTGATATAACTGAGGGCCATCCGCGAGCCGGGATCGAACCTAGAGAGCTGTCAAGGCAGTCAAGCGCCTACACCCATCGGCTACCGCAGCACTTTGAATGGTTTCTAAACTTTGGCGGTAGGATAAGCCCCGAATAGTAGTGCGTTCCAGAATCTCTGGCTAATCTTCCGCCGTTTAAATATCAAATTTTTTCTCTTGAAAATTCTGCAACTTTTAATGGGCTGGTTTTCTTCAAAAACAAAGATACTATCTCTAGCGATCGAGTACCTGAAATTTTTTTTATTGTAATATTGGATTTTTCGGCCTATTTCGATCCACAACTGGGTATATATTTTTCATCGTGTTCTTTCAGCCCTTACTCTGACGTTTTATGCTTTGAGGAGAGTCAGAAGAAAAAGCTTTTAGCCAATATGTTTGCTTTTTTCAAAGCCATTTTAAAGTTCTGTACCGCCAAAAAAACTGTTCAAATTAAAAGACTTTGAACCAGGAGTGTCCAACTTATTTTTGGGTGGGCCATGGACAAAAATTACTGCACAGGCGGGCCAGACGAATAATTATGTAAATCATCGGTAAATTTTGTATTGAACTGTAAATGGCTTAATAATTACAGTTACTAGAAAAATTACATTAAAAGTTACATAAACAGTTAAATGAAAAAGATATCAATGGGAAATGTTACATTTTTTGTTTTCATAAAGTTTATTAACATTATACCTTAAATTTGTAGTTGACGTGCAAAGAAAGTCATTTTAACATTCCCCCCTTATGTTTAGATTGTAGCTTTGACTTGGTCTATTCAGCTTTGTAATAGAAATGTCTGTTTATAAAAATGCATAGTATGAATAATGCGATGCGAAAAAATGTCTAATCATGAGAAAGTATGCCTAACAATTAGAAAACATGCGTAATAATGAATCATAGAAATATACTCAAGGTCATCAGACCTAGCTCAAGGTCCGAAGAATAAAAAAAATTATTTACTTTAAACGGGCCATAGAAAATGCCCCCTCGGGCCGTATGTTGGACACCCCTGCTTTGAACAGCGCATATAGACTTTTCAAATAACTAAAGACTTTCGATCGGTTAAGTATTCACAAACTTTGTGTCATCTCCAAGCAATGTCCTTAAAATTTCTCGTGTAAACCATGGAAACTGGAACATTACGCGCGGTTTTAAGAAGGATGTATAAAATCCGTTTTAAAACAGATTTGACGACAAAGTCGCAAAATACAAACAATGACAAATGACAATTAAGATGCTATACAATGTTTAAGATGCTTCATAACAATATTGCTGGATAAATGTTTAGCAATATACATGTTTGAAAGACAAGGCCATTTTCAGGAAGGGTGATATTGATTCGGAAATTTATTTCGGGAAAACATAAGAAAAGCAGACATCTTTCAGTTGACTTAGGAGCATACCTCTGTCAATTGATTTCAAGCTTTCCGCGTTGAGAAACTGCACTCAGGTATAAAGTCATTGAAGGTAACAAGGTTACTCGCCAATTCTCTTTTTTTACTTCTAGGCTTAGTTATTTTTGCACAATAATAAAACTCCCTTGATTTTGTAGAATCATGGCTAAGATTAAATCATCGATATCTACCCATTCCCTTCACCAAGCAGGAGATTCCTGACTATTGCTTTCAAATAATGGCATATACAAGTTAGTTAATCGATATAGAAGAATTTGAATAGGTCACCGGTGAGGTCAAAGTAGGAGATCATTATAGGCCAAAAGCCATCGTTCATTTTTGGGGTAATTAATCATTTCCGAAAAAAAGCATCTGAAGATGGGACAACCATTCTCCTTTGAATTCGCATAAGAATTCTTGCTATAAAGGCCATAAACAACTCTCAAAAATAGACTTTCCGAAGATTGTTGTCTTTACGCATACATTAATAACATTGCTTGCATATTATGCACGTTCATGTTACTCATTACAACTGGCTCAATAAAATATAACAAAGCAAGAAATTGCTTTTTACTAAATCATGCAAAAATTATAAATAAGAAAAAATTTTTCCCAGATAGTAAAGCAAGGACTTTGGACTACGGTCTCGGCAACTAGCGAACTGATAAAATTTGAAACAAGAAACTTAGTCATTTGTTCTTCTTGAAAATGTTGTGACGTAAGGAAGGAAAAGAGTTCCAATTAAAATATGTTGTTTTATTTGGACAATATAGCATGATAACACAATGCTGTATGCTTTTGTGAATGCAAATAGTGAAACTTTCGATATCCATCTAGAGATGGCTTATCGTCGCTTCCTTTGAGAGAGACGAACTACAACGGCACCTTGTGAGCGGGTTATTGGGAACACTAAAATAATGAAATTGTCACAGTATGTTCTAATCAAATAGATCCTTATCGTACGACTACAATAATAATGAACCATGGCGGTCACAATAATCAGAAAATGCAGCCCAGAGAAAGCAACCTCGTGAAACCTACTCACAGGATATCACCAGAAAGTAATTATCTTTTTATTCTATTTTAGCCATTGTCAGCAACGCACGAAAATAGGAAAATACAAGTAATACTTGGAGGATAGCAACAAGTATGAAACCGGGTGGTCTGCAATGCTTTTTCTGCAATACATGATACTGCACGTGTTATGCTGGGGTCATTGTGTTTCCACGCACTATATCACGAAGTTGCAAGGCCAAGAGCAAAATAAAGAATTCAGACAAAGCTTTGAGCCTACAAATGAACAGCACCAAAGCCCTTCAGTGGATAATCCAGCATTTAGTCTCAATCTTGGTGAGAGGTGGATCAGCCGAATCCTGGATTTGCTTCCCAAGTCACTGAGTAAGCACCAAAACTTGCACAATAATAATGAGAACCATTTTGGAAGAAGTGAAACTAGAAGAGTTGTGGTAAGACGACGACGGAAAGCATCATATCCTTTGCAATCAGGAGAGAGACTTGACATCATTGATGAAGAAAAGCTTCGTCCAGCAGGAATCCTTAAAGCAAGTCCAGCGAGTTCGCTTGGGACGGTTTCGTTGAAAAACGTCCCTAAAAATGTTTTCGATTCGAAATCACCTTCAGTTTTCCTTCCAATCCAAAAGATATTCGCGGATGTTGGAGTTGGCTTTCAAAAATACCTATCGTCAGATATATTTCACGATAAGAAAGAAGGCAATGCACGGTCATTGAACATTGAATTGTTGACTGCAGATGGAAACCAGCTATTTGATACCTCATGGATAAAGTTTGACCAATCAAATTTGAAGCTTTATGGTTTTCCCTTAAAAGGAAACCAGGACGAGCATTTATTCTTGCTCAAAGCCACCAACAGCAAAGGTAAAACAGCTGTTCAGCATATCAACGTTGTTGTCTTTGCACTTTCGCCTGTGTTTAATCACTATGTTCACATTTGCACCAAAATGACCCTATCTGAATATGGAGGCAACGTGGAGCGACGACTGAGGCTTGCGAAAAGTATTGGAAGTTATGTTTTTCCAGGAATCCGAACTGACGATGTCTGGATTTGGAAGTTCCAAAAAGGCTGTATATTTTTGACATTTAGACATCTTCCCAGGCAAGGAGAATGCGACTTCCAGGCAATGCGAACTATACAGCGGAGACTGCAAACGAAAAGAGAGGTAAACAAAGCTTTTCAGCAGGCACTGAAAGGCGTTACGCACATCGTATCAGTTAATATAACTGTATTAAATGAATGCAAAAGAACAAATCAGACCAACACGGATGATGGGTTAGGTTGGCTTCGAGATGTTGCACCGGTGTTCATTTTGATAGCTGTTGTAGCCGTGCCCACACTTATATCGTGCATTGTTTGTAGAGAGGTGCGAAGGCGTCAGGCTATGATGCGACAGTTGCAAGACAAGCGAATGAAGGAAGACAGGGAGCAAATGCTGATACAGGCTGCCGAGTATAAACACGAGTGCGGATTCGATTCAGAGTCTGAAAATGGAGACAGGCACTCGTTTAGGCCCTGCAGGCAGCAGGAGGATGACGGCAAGAAATTCTTTGGCTTCAGTCGAATAGCTGATATAATAATACCCGAGGTAGTTATTGATACAGTGAAACAGGGAACTGAAATTCTTAACACATTCTTACCTCAAGAGGCATATGAGAATGCAGCTACAGACGCCATTGTGGCCGCACAACGAAGGCTCTCTGCAGTCCAGTCGTTACACCCCATGCACAAGCTTTTGGATATTTCCCAAGAAGAACAAGCTCAACAACAGATTTCGGTGAAAAACGAGAATGAGATCCAAAGGAGAGTAAAAAGTATTTTGAAATTTTTAAAAAACCCTCTTGATATCACTTCTGTTGTGAATGAATTTGAAGGTCAGGACGATTCTTTTCGTGAAAACGATCGGGAAAGAAGGAGGCAATCAAAGACAGCTAAAACCCCTGTTGGCACATTTATACCAAACATTTCCTCGTTATTCGGCTTAAGCGAGAATGAAGGAAGGCGAAGTTCTCTGAAGGAGGTAACAGACAATGTCAGTGCGTCAATACGGAGTAGGCTTGAAGGCATATGGAACAAAGATTCTATGCCTGCGAGTCAAACTGTACTTACCAACGCTGCAATACACGGCACATGGAAGCCCTGTCCCAGATGGTTCGGTGACACGGGAAACCATTCTCATGGTTGGATCGGTGAAAACAATTCTCTGCATTCTGGAAACGAATTAAAAAGGAACATTGCTCAAAGAACACGGGCCAGTTCAGTAATAGATTTTGATAGAGGCTCGGTACCTGGCATCGTACCTGGCATCGTACCTTGCATCGGAGCAAGGTTAAGGATGGACGATACGTCACTTGCTGCAAAGGCAGGCAACAGAGCATCATTAGATGGTAAAATCGAAGATGATTTGAGAGGTACAGGACTGATAAACCGGGTTTTGAAGAGCAAGGCGATGCTTGAAGTAAAGAAAAAATTGCTGGAAAGCAAAGAAAAGAGTGGAGAAGAGATTGAAATGCAGGAACGAGGACTCGTGTGGCAAAATGTAAAGAGCTTTTGTCCACAAAAAATACGAACGGCAACAGATTTGCAAAATTCATCAAACATACACCAAAGAGATTTGAAAACCATACATTCCAAATTAGGTATGCCAGCTGGAGGTAGAAAGAGGGAAGGGCAAACACGGGATTGCAATTACGATGTTTACAGTAATCTAAAGAGACGGCATTATAAAGCTTCGCAAGAAAACGATGGAGAAAGTAAACAGCGCAACTTGCATCAGGAGCCTAACTTTTCAGCGACTGCGGTTAAAAATCAGGCCATACTCAAGAGCGTTGATCGCTATTATATAAACAATGGTGAAAAGCAGGTGAACGAGTATCAATCTGTGATTAGAAGGGCAGATGGAAGCCTGAACGAATTAGACTGTCGTTCGTGGAGACAAAACATTAGTGAAAAGCAAGCACTTGGAAGAGTCTTGCCTAAGTCTTGCGATTTTTCTAGCGGCGAAAACAACAACGAGTCCAAAGTTGGAGAGCAGCTAGAAGTAACAATCGTGAAAAAAGGCCTTCGGCATTACGACCCAGTTTCAGGTAAATGGTATCCTGCATATTCATCAATAAAGAAAATCATTCCTGATTCGAAAATGTTCTCACTATTAGAGAGTTTCAAGCGAACAGAACATGACAGAATAAGTCGCAAAAAAGCTCTACCGACTGACAGTTCCATGAAGGGAAAATTGCAATGGTACAACCTAGAGACGAGTGCAGAGGTGAGCAAAGAAAGTAAGAAAAAAGAACCGGAAAGACACAGGCGAAAGACAGGGCTCGATATAAGTGCTGGATTTACCGAATCAAAATCAAATCCTGCATCAATTTTTGATCAATTTGTGGGAATTCAGTGTGAAGGGCAGATAAGTCGCAATCAACAAAACATCGACAAATTTGTACACGGAAAAATGAATAGGGGCATTTGGACAGAGAGACAGAGCAACGACGATGATGGCGATGATTTTTATCAATCTTCAGACGAAGAAATAGAGCAGCAAGGCTTTCTTGACGGCTTTACAAGTGGGCAAAACAACGTGTATTTTCCGCACGAGCACTTTGACTATGACAGTTACGGCCTTCCAGCAACGAATTTACATGGAACATCGCTTGAGCATAAATATTTCACACACAGAGATTCTTTTGCTCCAGAATTCGGAAGTCGAGGAGCCGTTATGGAAAGTAGCAACTTGAATGAAATGAACTGGCAACAGCAAGACCAGTTTACACAAGAGGGATCGTTTGAGCTGGACGATGGAAGAATGTATGAAAGAGAAGGAGAAGGGGTTGATGCAGAAAACGAGCAGATTGATACAGAGAAAGATGCCAATCACAATGCACCTGATGAATCTAGCTACCAAACAAGAAGACGAAGCTTGACAGACAGCCAGCTACAGCTACAGCAGACATCTTGTGTGAGATCGCCGAATTCACCGACCAAGTCTGAGCCAGACTGTTCAGAAAGAAACAAAAGTAAAGAGGGCATCCAAAAGGAGCGGCGTAGGTCTTTCCTTGAGCGTCAAAGGAGAGTTGAAATTCCCGAAAAGCTTTCGCAACAAAATAAGCAAAAGGAGAGCGTCAAGGTGCATGTAAACCCTATGTTCATAATAGAGGAGCGAAGCAGCAAAGACGAGACCGACGAGCGGATCGAAATTGGTGATCGGTTTGATACAGAAAAAGGAAAAAGATGGCAAACTAGCCGCGGAAGCACGACGCACGGAGACGTACGCACAAGAAAGTTGACGTATAATGGACCCTTTCCAACGCCGTACGTCGAAGCAGAGAAGATACGAAAACAAGACGAAGATATCATCAGGCATCAGACTAAAGGCTACCTAGAGAGACGCCGTCAGAGTCTCCAACACATCACTGGGTCTATCCAGACAGGCAAGACAGTTGCAGACACAGAGCCGATAGCGATACAGAATCGGGCAAAACGTGACGAGGCACCAAAACGCACAGGAATGCGACGATTTAGTACACCTAGCATGGACAGTTGGACATCTACACCTGAGAAGTATTACTACGATGCTACAGGAGATAACAGCATATCGGAGGAAGACGTAGATTGTGCGGGTTTGAGAAAAGACAAAGAAAAGCCGTCGTTTGCTAGTGGAAGAGGCAGAGCCAGAGAATACACGCAGAGGCTTCTACAGGGCGTCTCTCCAAAAATCAGACGCCATAGCACCACCGTAATGGGACAGAAAAATAGTCTGGCGCAGTCTGGAAATCCAACAAGTGGGACATTTCTTGAAAAATTCGGAGAACGGAAGTTTGTTCAAACTATTCAAACAAAGCTAGGAAAAAAAGAGTCAAAGCCAGACGAACCAAAGTCACCGGTCTTCAAGGAGAAAGAGAAGTTTCTGGAAGAGGAGAAGACTAGCAAAGGATCTCCTTTAACTGCCATCAGGAACACACTGTTTTTGTTTAGTGGAGGGAAATAAAAAACAGAGATAGCTGAAAATTTGATACAACTTGTTTCACATGACGACTTCCTAGAGTCGAAAATTTTTAGAATTAGAAATTTTCTAATGTAGAATCGCAATGCATCAAATATTTAGTTGACTGAATTTCCATAGCCAAAAATAAAACCTTCCCTTCCTTCCCATTCCCTTATTATTTTTTTCAAAAATAAAATTAGCCACCTGCAATATTTTGGATTTATAATTTCGAAATGCTGGCCTAAATTATAACTGTTTGAAAATATGCCAAGAAATGTGCATAGATTTAAGCATGTTGCTTCACACAACAAATAGACTCAGATATGTTGCATGTTAGAGATTTCTCGAGGTGCCTATGCAATTGGTTCCAAAAACTCTCTTTAGGGTCATAGAATAATTTTTCCTCTAACCCGATTCATTCTAGCCATAATCCAAAAAGCCAATTGTGCTAGCAAACGTGAGCTAGGGCCCTTTCTTCACCATGTCATCTAGCAATGGATTGTCCTGATTAGACTGTTAGATTTGCAATAACGTGCTGCATAAAATGGCAATTTGAACAAGATATTTCAGTGAGGAAACGAAAACCATTCCATATCTAACCTTAAACTGTTTATAGCTAATTTTAACACTGGGCAATTACAAGCGTCAGAAATTTCCCTGTATGCAGCTATGCACCATAAAAAGTTTCATCCTTCCACTGATAGGTAAATAATAAACAGGCACAAGATTTGTTGACTTATACTATCATGATATTATTACAGATCAAAATTCAAACTCAAAAAACGTACCTTAAACGACACCAAGTGTATCCAGGTGCAAAAAGTTGTACATCATTGATGTAAACTATCCACGTAAGACGTTCTTTATGTATAGGTAAACTTTAATGTCAGGTAACATCAGAGAAACTGAATGAAGAGGGAAAATAATAGTACAAGAGTAATTGATATTTTTAAAATTTTCTGCATAAGATGCAGTATATAAAACATTGAAATTATTGATCAATATTCAAAGTAAGTATACTTTTAATCTATAATAGCACAAATAAGCGATAAAATTGTTAATAAATTACAATAAAAAGCGCTTAAATATTATCAAACATTGGTGAATAGGAATGAAATGAACTTTCAACGTATAAGAGTGTATTTCTTCATCGATTTTAAATTACTTGGTTTATCAATCTATCTCAAATACTCCACAGATTATCTATACCCAGCCGGGAGCACACCCACCTACCCCAATGGTAAAAATGGAGGTGGAAATGACAACTTTACGTTAATGATGAGTACAATGATGAAAATAGTTATCATAATGATTATGCTGATCATGATTGTGATGAGCCAAGAAATGTTTTAACACCAAAGCAACCGTTACTTTTAAAGACAGGCCTTTCTTTTATAACCGACTGAGCTCAGAATTAGCTTAGAACGCAGTTTCTTAATTTTTTACTAGTTCTTGAACTTCGAAGTTTCCAAAAGGCTTTCAAATACTGAAGTCCTTAAAAGCTACGTTTTTTAGCGGAAAATAATACACACGTGAAACGAAACGTGAATAATATCCAGTCTTTAAAATGATCATATCAGAGCAGTTACTTAAGATATTTGTCAACTCCTTTAGCTCAATATATAAACGGGAAGATGAATAGCACTCGCAACAGTGATGCTGAAAACGAAAGGTAAGGTGCTTTTACATTCTTGCAATATTGACACCACTTTGTACCGAGGGGCAAATCACTCCGAGAAAATCTCGCACACCTTTCGTAAAAATCCTATTGGTTTAAATGAAAATCCCCAGAAATCCTTTTGTTTTAGGGAAAATCTCGTACGCTATTGCCCCTCGCTTTGTAAAAAAAACATTACACTATTGGTGTTGACTAATAAATCCTGTTCAATGTTTACTCTATTTGTAGCCATTCTTCTTTTACCGTCATGTAGAACAATGTATTTAATTGGTAAAGATTGACCATTTCTATTTGAATCATCTCGTGTGAAAAATTTAAGTTCTTGGAAGCTCAGAGACAAATGGAGTATTGATCATTTACAAACAAATAAGAAGTATTACAATTACTATTTGAAGCGAAAAAATTGAATTATGAACAAAATGCAGAACTAAATATCGACTTTCATAAAACTACATACCATTACACACTTTCAAATAAGAACAAGTACACTCAAGTCAGGGCCCACGTCACAAGGGGGGGGGGATGCCCCCTCCACTTATTTGGTAAACAATTATATTTCCAATGAAGCCCTGTTTTTGAGGCATTAAATTCAAGTTCGACTTATAGAACTTGGCCTCTCCACCTTGAAATTCGTAGCGTGGACCCTGGAGGTTTAGGATGGCTATTCTTAATTTTTTTCGAACATTTGAGGCTAGATTGTTCCTAATTTATTCTTAAATAATGTATTCTGTTTGGTAAAATTAATACTAAACTTTCAAAAAACGCATTGAGCTAGTTACGTTCTTACGATGTACTTATTTTTGCCAAATTAATTTTTTTTCATAAAGTGCTTCCTTATAAGGAAAAAGAGTGTACAGGTGAATCTTCCAACTGGATATGAAAAACAACAAACAATGGTAACCTTGTTCCGGAAAAGACATAAATTTGCCAACGGAACAATGAAATTCTGGAAAAACCAGACACGGTTACCCTAGGAACCCTTTCGTGTTTATGTTTAAAAGTGTTATTTTATAATGTTTGTTTATGTTTGTGTATAAGTAATGCTATGTCTTTAGACCCAGCCCTCTTCTCACGTGTCAATGCCACATAGCAATTAAAGGCTATTTGACTACCTGGTATTATGTAACGGGCATCCTTGAAAAACCAGACCCTTTGTCCCTAGGACCCCTAAGACCCGAGGATCCTAATACTTCTACGCAGCTTGGTGTAATAGCTACTACTGCCATTTTGATGTTCCTTTGATTACATTTTGTCAATAGGTAAAAATAATTTTCACTTCATTGCATGTTCTTACTCAGTCGTTCAGAGGCTACCCTGCCTGAACCGTAGAAAAAATTGCTTTTGAATCATTTGCAGTGAAAACACATTTTTCTTCATAACAATAATTCCACATAATTAATATGAAAACCGAGCCTCGATTTGCCTAAAAATACGAACAACATAGGAACAAATGAAAAGTTACAAGTAAAAATAATGTGTTTTTCAAATCTACTTTCATGATAACAATAAAAACAGTTTAAGAACGCTCTAGACACAGATTGTCCAAACCATAGTCCTCTATTAACTATGTCCAAACATAAAAACACTTTACCCTTTATAAACCCTTCTGAAAAACAACATCCTAAATTTGAATTGAAAACTGATATTTTGAAAAGGGCTTCGTTTCTAAAAAAGAGAAATAAATTCGGAAAAAGTTGCAAGTTTCGACACTGATAATTGATAATAATTGTTTTTCTATCTCCTCTGTCTTTTTTTATCGGGGTAGTAATTTTAATGAAGCAAATAAGAAACACCGCAATGCGACGAGAATGAACAACCCCCTAGAATTATACTCTTTTTTTATAAGAACCAAAAAAATTTAAGTTCAGGCTGACTGTTCTTAATTTTTTCGAAAATCTGAGGCTGGATTGTTCTTAATTTGTTCTTAAATTGATAGGGCGTAAGCAGTGCAATTGCTATAGCTTTTTCGTTCTAGGGAGCTGTTCAGGCCTCATTTTTTAACCTCTTCCATCCATCGTTTTTTAGATGAAACGTTGTTGAAAATTGCATTTTACAATAATAGCTGAGCCTCAGCTTGTTTTTAATTTGTTCTTAACTTTTGACCAATTTTGAGGCTCGTGTTCTTATTAAATTACATTCATTTTTTTATAAGAAACTGGCTATAAGAAACGAGTACTGGACAGTCAGAAAGAAATTAAGAAACTTCAGTATTCGAAGCAAAAAATTAAGAAACTATTAAATCTTGATAAAACTGGGAACAACGAAATTTTGTAAAATCCAAGAACAAGATATAAATATACTTCCAACATCTAAATACTGCATCGGAACGGAAGCGAATCTCTTGACGTGATTAAAAAGGTCACGAACATTTCATAACATCATTCATGACATCATAATTAAGAAACTCTTAAGAAACAATGAGATTATTGAAATTTCCAGAATATTAAGAAACTGGAGTACTCAATATCGACCTTTGTTTCTTATAAAAAAATGAGTGTACTCTTGTAAAAAGAGAAGAATGTAAAGCAGAAAAACGCCATTTCACATGCTACATCATTCAAGCAGAGTAGCCCCCGTAAACAACATGTAATCAGACGAGCGCCATAATGACAGCCCTATTCAGTATCCAGGGGTCCTAGGGTCTTACGGTCTGGTTTTTCCAGGATGCCGATTTTCCAGGCTGGCCGTGAAATTTCCATGTGGTTACATCGTCAATATTGCCATGTGGCCTCGACACGTGAGAAAAAGAGTTGGGTCTAATGGCTCACTACTTATATAAGGATGAAACAACTTTTTTCTTAAAGAAAATTGAATTTTTATGTAACGCAAAACATTATAAACATAAAACAGTTTGAAACATAAACAGGAAGCCACGATTCATTGTTACTATAATACAGAAGAGAGTCTTAAACCTTGGGAATCTTCCTCAGGACAATAGGGCGAATCCACATAGGTCAAATTATTCTCTGTCAATATAAGTGGCACGACTATAACAGCTCTCTTATCTAGCGGGCAAGTGTTATCGTTTGCTGGTGAGGTGAGGCAGAGAATAAAATTCATCTGGAAGTACACTAAATAAAGATGGCAGTAAGTAAGGCGAAAACTGCAGCCATTGCAATCAACTTGATCGTGTTTATAATTGTTACCATTCTAAATTACTTTTCCACGAAATCGGGCAAAGTATTCCCAAAAGCGACAGGGAAAGTATCGGACGATCATCCAACTGAAGTAACACCAGCTGGTTCTACTTTTGCAATCTGGGGATTCATTTACATTTACCAACTTGCATGGGTCATATACAGCCTGACATTACTTTGCAGAAATGCACCGGACATTTTACCCACATCATTCTACGTTTCATTCACATTTGCCACGATTTTCAACTTTTTGTGGCTTTTTGTCTGGTCTCGGGAGCACCTGGGCCTTGCCTTTGTGTTTATTGCACTCATAGGCATATTTTTGGAGGTCTGCTTATACTTCAGCTTCACAAGCCTTAACAGATATATAGAGACGTTACAGAATGGCGACAGCACTCCAAGTGTCACTGATGTCTGGTGCATTCGAATGCTTGTACATAACGGCATCATATTCTACACCACGTGGGTTACAGTTGCAACGTGCCTTAATTTGACCATCGTACTCCAATACGACCTTGAGGCAAACGGCAGCAAGGCAGCCCTCGGTTCCCTTATAATCCTTTTCCTTATCATTGTTGTCTGGTTTCTGCTGGAGAACTTCGCATTTGGAGCCTACACACGTTTCACTTTCACCGAATACATTGTATTGATCGTTGCTTTGAGTGGGATACTGAAGAAAAACTGGACTGATGGTAAGGGTAACCAAGGGTTCGTAATGTTCCTGCTGGTGCTGTCGGCGCTCTTGTTGATTTCGCGATTGGTCGTAATTTTCGTCAAGGAAAGAAAGCTAGGCTTCAGGGTCTAGATACCAATTATTTCGCTCACCACTGAAAGAAACTACTCCGACGGGAAGAACCAATCATTTTGAACAAAATTTTTTTATCTTGCTGCTTGTGGGACATACTTAAAAGTATTTGTCATAACTCCTTGATTAGGCGTGATTTGATATGGAATGGCACGTACACTACCTCTTAGAACTACATTTACGAAAATACACAACTCGAAGGTGTAACATTATTATCATTTACATTACATAATATATTCTTTTAAAATTGAAATCTATTTTCATGGCTTCCCCCTGCGTTTAATTTGTACTAATTTGGTTATGATCGTTCATAATTCCCTTAAAAGAGGCAACGATTTTTTTTACTAAAAATAGTTTTGATAACTTGAACCCACCTTGCATACAAAAGCTAGCAATGGCCTGGATAATGTAGTTCATAAATGCATGGTAACATTAAATTACTCATGTGCTGTAACAGTAAATAGAAATTCATTGATGTCATTCCTTACACAACAAGTCAGTAGATATGAATAAAGACACACTTAGTTTCTGATTATCTAGATACACTACCTCCCCTAAGAGTTTCTTTGCCAATTTGCATGAATCTCAAGGGCCAAATTGAAAAAGTAGGTGGGGGGGGGGTGGACTAGCACTTATTCCCAACCATGGTTCTGCCACTGCTGAAAAATGTTGAAATGGCCTCTTATTTTTTCAAACTTCTTCTTTTTTATTAAATTCAAGGACAAGACATATGAAGAATAGCTAACATCAGATTCTTCTATAAAAGCAAATACACCCTGTAACTGATCAGTTCTCTAATTTGCAAATGATTTGAGATTGACAACATTCATGCTGCAAGTATCATTTAAAGGTTAGGTTATTTTGTGTGAATACAATAAGCTTTTTATATAAAGAAAATCGCTTTTACAGGATCATTTAAAATGATGAAAATTCAGTTTTTATTCGAGGGAGAGGGGCTTATCTCAATGATTTCCGATCAATGAGACATTTTTTACAGAAAATCAAAGGTTTGAAAGATCAAATTTTCTGAAAAAGAATGCAAAAAGGGGCTCAGATGTTGGATCTGTAGAGTCTCAATTTTTCATTATTTGTTTGTAGTTGTTTAGATTGTTGGCTGTTTTATGTTCATTTGGTAAATTGTTCCAATTTTATGGCTTCATGGACTTTTTGAAACAAATTTTACTTGCTCAGGTGTGTGATGCTGCAAATCAAAGGGTATCAACATTCGTACAGATTTAGAATTGGTAAATGTCTTGCATTAAAGAGGAATTTAGTCTTTAGAGTGTTATACGAAATATGACTTGTACACATATTTGATATGATAAGTAACTAACTAACTAGATGAAAAGGTCTTAAAAAGAATTCCTTCTTTCTTTTAAGCCGCAATCTTGTTTTCTCAAAAGCCGTAGGTTGATAAAGAGACAAATTGTCAAGGAATTAAAAACATGGCTAAGTTCTTAACTAATTCTTGAATGTAACTGATTTTGAGTATCAGTTCTCTTACAGAATTTAATTTTGCAAAGAGATTGTAGTTCTTAGAGAATTTTGTAGTTCTCATAAAAATACTGACAACTTTGCCCTTGCTGTACCAATTGGACATGCTATGCATACACAGTATCAACCATGAATTGCAGATTAAACATTGTGTTTAATTTGTGTTGGGTTGCAATAGACATAAGTAACAATAAAGTAAGGAAGGCTCTTTGTCAAAGAAACAAGAATAAATATTATTTTAAAAATTAATGCATGTGGCTTAGTTCTGTTTTGGTAACATAGCAACAAGTGAAGCTCCCATTAAATATTCAACTTATTGGCTAGTCCGTGGAGAATCAAACTGCCACGAGAGGAATTGCGGTCAATGGAGCAATCAAATGACATTAAGGTAGGGTTGCTATCTCATATTCAGTTGTTTTTATAGCCTGGGCTTGAGATAAAGAACCTTTTGATAAAATGCCCGACATTCAGCTGCATGTTGGAAGCCCAACTTTTCGATCAAAAACTTGGTTTGTTGTGTTTGAATCATTGTAGTCTATGTACACTAAACTTTGATGGCAAGCAAGGGCTCGTCTTTTGTTCAGAGGCTTGAACTCTTATAAGAAAAGAAGAACTATCGAGATAAATACACATAAAATTAAAGTAGATGATACAGCACGGGCGGGATATGGTAACTCTTGTTAGGCCCAATGCCTTAGTTCTTGGTGGCGATGGTAAAGACGAGAAGCTGATATCAGCGGGTTAAAATAACTGAATAGAAAAAGTGATGATATTTTACTTACTTCACTGAAATGCTCTTTACAGTCATGCTACTTCTCCCTTTAGGACAGGGTCACTGGGTACTACCAGGGAAAATCAGGCCAAAGAACCGACATCCGGAAGGCCTCGCCACTTCCCTCGAAAAAGATTTTATAGCATGAGTAAAATCATTTTGTGTTGAATCTTGAATCTGAGGTTCGTCCTCTTTGTTGTTGCCAACAAGCACCATCTGCAATTAAAATAATTACTTTCAGTACAAGACTTTTTCTTTCTTTTTCCCCTCACTTCTTTTTCCCACATGTGCGGGCATAGGTATTTATTTCCTACCTTTCTTTTTTTCACCATTCTAACAGAAATTGACAATTCAAGCAGTTAATGCATATATTTTACTGTGATGTTGATACTTTGTTGAACATCTGCGATTTTATCCACCTTATCCGATTGTTACGTGGTTTTCGCTTTGCTCTTCATTCTTTCTGTCTGTTGAAGCAGGGTTTGATGATCGCGATGCGAAAAGGGGGGAGGTGGACTTGGATGAGGGTGGTGTCGTATGGACTGAGTTTGTACTTTATCTAAATCCGATGATAAAAGGTTAAGGGAAGGGTAAATATTCTGATAGCAAAAACGGCTAAGCCTAAAATTTTCTGTTTGCTCCCCTGTTGCTTTGTTTTAATTTTACTAAAAATGAGTTCCTTTACATGTACATCATGTGTTAGAATTCTATGAATACAATGAAAAAGTGTTCCATCAGTCAGTTGAAGAATACCTAAGCATTTTCACAAGAGTGGAAAATTTAAGCCGTGGGTAGAGAAATACGTAAGGGTTAAAGGGGGTCAAGCACCCTATGGATTGAACAGAAAAAGTTACTTCTAGCCTCGTTTACAACTTGAACTTTTCTATTGTTTTGCTACCTCGTTTACATTTTGGCTTAATTTGGCTTTTTTCCAACATTGATTTGGCTTGAAGCCCCAAAAGAATCTACCAACCCTGTGCACCACACTTGCACTTTCTCTTTAAAATATATCTTTTCCTTTCATTTGTATATATTGTAAAAAATTTCTATTGTTGCACACATTTTTCAGGGCTGGCCCCCAAACAAAAGGTTGTAATCTCGGTCTTTGATCAGTGCTGAGGTGGGACGTTTAACTAGGAAAGTGGGAGGGGGTGTGCACCCTAACCAAGTCACACTGGTGTTTTTCAAACAGGTGCAAATACAAACAGGTGTTTTTCCTGTAAATTAGTAAAATTATGTCTTTTTCAATCGTTGCAGATCAATTTTTATGTTTACCAAATGTTGGTAGAAAGCTAAGGTTTCCCAACGATTTAAAGTGAATGAAGAACAGCATAATACAGAAGAATCAGTGCAGGGAAACCTCAATTGGCTCGTTCTGAGGGCAGAGTTAAACGTACGAAAAGTATATGCACTCTTTTTTAGAAAAATAATTTTTTAAGAACACGAGCCACAAAATTGGTAAAAGTTAAGAACAAGTTGAGAATAAGGTGTGGCTAGGCTACTGTAAAATGTGATTTTGAACAACGTTAAAATATTTCAAAATACTCTAAAATCTTCTCAAAAACGAGGAGTTTTTGCCATCTATCTAGGGGTGCCTTTTTCAGTATTGTTTAAAAATTAGCGGCAAATGAAGGATTTCTCAATCATTTTGTTCGCAGCAATTGCACTGCTTACGCCCTAACAATTTAAGAAAAATTTTCGAGACAAAAAAAATATGAACAGCCATCCTGAACTTCAATTTACTGGTTTTTTGGTAAAAAAGAGTGTAATATGATTCGTGAATTCAAAGATTTCTTCGACTTGGCAACAGTTCTTTTATCTTTCGTAGTATGACATTGGTGCTCTACGTTCATGATGTACCCGGCTGGGCGTAAAGAACGATGTTACAGCGCAATACCCAGTCTGACGCAACGACGCAAGCCGCCGCGGTTGCTATCGGCGAAAGACATTCGATCCAGCCTTCACATCCATGAATCAATGCCATATCGCACACAATATGCATATGTCACATTGGTATCAACAGAAGAATTTCTTCCAGGCGCTCTTCTGCTTGGATGGTCGTTGCGAAAAACAGGCACCAACTACGACTGCATTGCCATGGTGGTGCCTGAAATAACCCGGCAAGCAAGGGCAATATTGAGAAAGATTTTCAGTAGGGTAGTAGAAGTTGAGAGCATCAAAACCAACCGAAGAACGCCAAACCTACGATTTTTGCCGCTAGAAGATAGAGCTGAATTTTCTCATCGGCTAACAAGGTGCAATGTTTTCAAATTTATAGAATATGAAAAGGTATTGTTCATAGAAAATAATGTATATGCTGTACGTAAAATTGATGAATTGTTTCAACTGCAAGCTCCCGCTGGAATTTCCTCATTAGTGGATTCTTCGAGCCAAACCAAACTTCATGGGATTTCTCTATCAAGTGAACACACAACAAAGGCCTTGGACATGTCACGTGGTATACGTGGTAGCATTTTGCTACTTACTCCTAGTATCTCCTTATACCAGTTTTGCCATACCTTCAAAAGAAGGCACAGTTATCCTCATTTTATTCGCCCAGATGAAGAGTTCATGACAAAATTATTTCTTGGCCAATGGACACACATAGACTCGAAGTTTGCAACGGTGCCTTGGCAGGCAAACAAAATCCGTTGTGATATTTACGGTATTTGTTTGGAAAGTTTTCGTTGGTGGAAAGACGATTGCAGAAATTGCGAAGAAGCTCGTCAATGGCGCTTGGAAGCTATCAGAATGACAAAGGATATTCCACAAACAAGAGGCCCTTTTAGAAACATGGTTTGGTTCAAAGAAATTGAACAGAACATTCCAGCATCTCCGGAGCCAAATTTTGTGTCGACGACTGAGCTTTTGGACAAAGCACATCTGTTTGGTAAAAATTCTATGTTGACCTATAACCAAGGTTCAACGATGATAAAGTAGGGTACCACGTTGACAGTGTGGCGGGTTCACCTGTCTGAAGACTACAATCCCGGACAAAATAGTCGAAATTTTTCTAGAAAAATTGCTGTTTTCTCTTCCCTTTAGAAAATGACTCCCTCACCCTCACCCATCCCCTGAATCAATGTTGGTTGCATTTTTGCGAAGTACAAATGATAGAACTACCTAACAAGCACTGATTCGGGGGAAAGGGGATTCGGATTTACAATAGAAAATTGAAAATAGTACTTTTTGTCTCAACACTTTTTTCAGCATTGTAGCTCATTCGTAACTAAAATTTGCAGAGTTACACACATTTCCAGACACCTTTTCCTTTTCATACAGTGAAGCAGTCTACTCAAAGTCGATGATGTAGTTACCCATTCAAAAATAATGGTATTGCAAAAAGTCACCCATTCGAAATCCACATCTCACTGCACACCCCATATGCCCAAATAGGACTGTGCTCCGTCCTTTCAGTTAAAACGTTGGCTCACTAAAAATGTTATTGTCTAGCCAAAAATTGTTAAATTAAATGTCTAGCCAACGTAATGAAACCCATCTGAAAGGTTTGGATAAGACGGATTAGTAACAACCAAGATAAAAGCAACATGATGCCTCACGACCCGGATATCATCCACAACTGACCATTGACACTGCTTCCTTGAAATACGGCTCCAATGACAACAGACCACTTACAATGTAAGCAATAGAAAATTGACGTTTGTTCAAAAAATGATGTAACGTGGCAAAAAAGTTCTTATCCACATTAAGTTAAGGGAATTTGGAAAAGAACTCAAGCGTCATACAATTGAAAAACAAACTCTTAATTGCGAATTAAAATTTTAATTTAACGATAACTACAAGAACAATTATAAATGTGTTGTGTGTAGTAAAAACCCGGTTGATAACTTATAAAAAGTAATGATTAACAATAATATATTTATCCAATAGCAAATAATTAAATTTTATAATTAAAGTAGCTACATTATCTTGACATGGTAACTTGGTTATCGAAATATCTCAGTCTATTTGCCTATGCTACTTCTTGCTGATAGGGCGGGCATTGCAACCCGGAAAAGGTATCCAATTAACCTGATGTCATACATGCCACGGAGCTGGTTGACTAGAATCAGGAAATAATCGATCGCCTATTCGTATTACCATAGTATTACTTATCTGGTTTCGCTATGTCCACTGTCCTTAAAAGTGTTACCCAAATACCAGAACAATATCCAAAGGTTGTCAGTTTTAAACTATCTGCTTTGAATTTAAAACTCTAAGGCCTAAGTTAAACGTCGAACTTCTCATGCGCCTTAGTTTAAAGGAAGGGCCAAGGATATATAAAGATAAAAAACACCTAAAACTAACCTTCTTAAACCATAAGAAATAATGGTTGAGTTTTTCTTGCTTCAAAAATTTCTTGTTGACGACTTTGTTCAAGTTTTTCTGAGGTAGAATGAAAGTCTCCCATGTAATACTTTTGGAATACACTCGAAATTGATGTACACAATACAAAGGTAGCAAAATAAAAACGACACGTTATACCTCCATGGAGAAATAGAAACAAACAGAGCATGCTCTCAGGGGGCCAAAAAACGTCAGGTAGCTCAAATAACATTATTTAGCCTCTTTGTAAGGATGGTAGGGTGCAGGAATCCACTTGTCAAGGCTACACAGCAACGTTTCGTCTATGTCAAAAGTTTGTTTCATTTAATCTGTACTGCATATAGCAAAGCATTTTAAGCTTAAGTGTTGCCGAACTCAGCCTCGATAAGAAATAAAATAACACCGCCCTATGAGATTCTTTAGAACGTAATTCTTTAGCTTATTTTACACCGATTCGATTGTGATCTCAACAGAGTCCAGAAAACATTGCGGTTCCACGGCAGTGAGCCGAATGAGGCTTATTCCACGTTGCAGGCTGCAACGAATTTCAATTTTATTCAAAAGATACAAGGAAGAATTTGAGATAGACTAATTGGGCCAAATTTCACCCGGGGGAAGGTTAAGGCGTTTTCTGAACTCTGGCACTCTACTGCTCTAAAGCTGATATCTGGTAGACATACCCAAACTAGAAACCAATGGCAAACTGTGACAACCTTAACCAAATACGGGGTTTCGTAAGGTATTAAGCACTATATCATAAACACCTTTTATATATAGATTTACATGAACTGACAACAGGACAGGATAGAAAACTATTCCCCACAAAGTTTTAATTTGATAGCAAGAGGTGAAGGCATACATGCATGAATAAACCGAGGATCTTTAAATAATTTAGAGAAACATAATGTATACCAAAAAACCCTTTACATTCTCTACATAGATCATTACCTACTTTACTACACCTTCATCAGGCGTAAAAGTCTTCTTGTTAGAGGCTGAGCTACTCGGCCTTTGACCACTAGCGGAAGATCGTGATCTGGAAGGTCCATATTTGGGATTGTTTGCACGTTTCTGTGCATCTCTCAACTCTACTCGCTCTCTGATCTTCCTTAACGTTGGATAAACCTCGCCAAGAAGTGGCCTGAGGCTAGGATCACCCGACCAGCATTGCTCCATCAGTTCCCAGCAGTCATCCTCGAAATGGGCTAATCTTTCTGGGCGGACCCCTTTCCTTACAGAATTCCATAGCTGATCCTTGCTTGCACATTGCTCGTAGGCCAGTGGTAATCTAACGTGCCCTGCACATATATACCAAAACAATATGCCAAAAGCGTAAACATCAACACTGTTGTCGTATTTACCAGAGAACAGTTCAGGCGCCATATGTATAGGTGTACCTACTATTGACCCGGATATCATTGCACCGGGTTTGCAAAAGCCAAGGTCGGTCAACTTGGCTCGGTTCTTTGAATCCAGCTGAAAACGACAGAATGGAAAGAATCAATCAATTTCATCTTGAAAGCATCGACAGAGCCTGATAAACGCAAGCAGCTAAATACTTAATGAGTACTCGGGCCAGTTACTTAAAAATAGGCAAGAAAGGAAATAAAAGCCAATATTTTGAAAAGAGAAAATTACCACAGCGATTCTTACCAGCACAAAAGTATTCTAAAAATTGTCTTTAGTTTACCTTGAAGGTTTTTTGCCTTGCAAAACTGGATTTTACAATCCTTTCCTTTTTTGTGAGCTTTAAAGAAAAGTTCTATCTTTGTGACAAGATAATCTCGACTTCTTATTATTCGCCCAATCGCAGAATCCTTGTTAATAATTTTCAGAATTGGGAAAGTATCGGTACAATCTGGAATCAGTTGCGTGTCCGTTGAAATTAAAGAAAATAATCACACAAAAATCAAAACAAGAATCAGAAACACTCTCTTTTAAAAACCAAACAAAATTAAATTGGAAAAACTCGACCTTTTGCGGCTTAAAAGGCAATGAAACGCCCACAGCTTTATCTTGCGGTAATATAAAAATTAAAAAAATTGCTCGATGTAGAAAACACGGGAATTTTATTTTGCAAATCAAAGATTAAGTTGAAGAGCGGGGAAAACAACAATTTGGTTACGAGGCACTTGAACTGTGCAACGTTCGAGCGAATAATCAGCCAAAAATGTCACATGAATGGAACATTTTAAATTTCTTATTAGAACTCCTGAAATACATCAGATTTTATGGAGCACTGGTTGGTAAAGACAAAGCCAATTTGGGCGATTCTCCTGCTATTTATTTCTATTTATATCTGGATGTTTAACGTACAACGATCAATAACTACATACATCACTGTTGATGGTTTGAAAATCATCCTATCAAAACACAACAGTCAATTGTAAACAGATGGAAAAACGTTTTCAAAACAAATGGCAAACTTTTCGGTGGCAGGGCAGTGGAAAATAACATTTAACAAGGGACCATAACTTTGGAACAATTGTGCCAAACGACATACAAGCAGAATCAATATATTTCTTTCGTCTTTAAAAGCAGAGGAAGCATGCCCAGATTTTCTTTCTTAAGCGAAATACTAGAGCAGTATTATAAAATAGCACACACGTACAGTAAATACATACCAACACATTCTTTAATTTTATATCCCGATGAATAAGTCCTTGGCTATGCAAATATCTTATTCCTTGGATGACGTCAAGGGCGACCTGCAGTCTGCTTCTAAAACTCATTCCGCATTTAATACCTGCATATAAATCGCGCTGCAGCCTTTCCATTATTAGCAGCACCGCAGGAGACGCTCCACCAGCATACGTGTAGTCGATTACAGACCCAATAATACGTACGATCCGGTCATGAGCAGGAATTGCCCTACAAAGAGAATAGACCGTTGCATCAAATTTCATTAAACGAAAATTTAAGAGTAACTTCAAACTTGAATCCATCTAGCTCTGCAACTTCAATGAGAATCGGGTTGCTTAGGCTCTCTACCCAAGCACACTTAAGCCAAATTTCTGCATTAAGGTTGGTTTAACATCAGAACATATATCTGCCCCCGTCACATGAGTGACTATTTAGGATGACAAGAAACATAAACGTATACAGTTTACTAACTTTCATCTCAAATGTTGGACATTTAATGCTGACAAGTCTGCATATTGTATGTTTCTACTACGGGAAATCTGGTATTTTGTCTTGTTTATCATATCTATACCATCAGTCAAAAGGGCTAATTCAGTATTAGGCTAATAAACATATAAACATTGTCAAGGCTCCTTAGAGACAGCAGGTAAACGACCCACTTTGCAAGCTCAGTTTTTTAAGATGAGCATAAAAAATTTAAGGTCAAGATAGACTATACAGGCTGGACCCTGGAGAGGATTTATGAGCCCTGGGCCAAAAAGAAAGGATTTATGAGCCCTGGGCCAAAAAGAAAGATAAAAAGCAAGGCACGCCGGAGGCTGAATCTTCTAAGGCGTCCAGGGAAAAATTTTGAGACGGTGGTTGCTAAAACTGCGCCTATTTTGGTTGCTGAAATTGTGATGGTGGCTATTACTTCTTTGATCATTTCAATATAGTTTAAACATTACAGGTATACTATCGTCATAAAGGATGCACATTTCTTGGCTATAAAATATGCAATTCTTTACATTTGAAACATTTTAAAAAGTGAAAAACGTTCAAATACTAAATTTGATCAAAACGGACATGCTGCACCAAATCGATGTTAGGAAATAGAAAATTACCTAAATCGACTAGCTCTATTTGACAAACATATTGAAGTAGTTACTGTTGCTGCTTCTACCTTATTTCATTTAAAGGCTTTTACTATCAATGTTACTTTTATTGATAGGTTTTGATAATGGAGAGGCTGAATTGCTCCTTATTAACTTTTAAATTCAGATATATATTATCTATGGGCTCCTAAAGTCACATGTCCCTGGGCCAGTGACCCCCCTGATCCCCCTCTCCTCGGCACTGAATACAAGTGGCATGGAAGATGGCCAGTTGTGACCGAGTTGCAGCCTCAAAAATGCATATATCTAAGCCAACCTGTCACTGGAAAATGCTGGCTATGGCGTAGTTTGTACTTTAAGATTACTTTTGCTTCTTTAATTTTGGTGATAAAAGCATTTGAGTCATTACCTTGTGTAGTAATATTCCAAGGCGAGGTCATTCCAATGCTTGTCATCAGGAGGAACAACAGACTTAACTGCACATGGCCCCTTTCCACCCCACTTATCACAAGCATAAACAACGCCATATTGTCCACGCCCAACCTCCCTTCCAAGCATTGGCATTCCATGAAGTACAAGATCACGCAGTGAGGTACTGTCCAGCACACATCTTGCCACCCTTGGGGCAAACACTTTTCGAAGTTTGATCCTTTGCTCTTCTCGTTTCTCAAGCCTTCCAGAATGACGCAATTCCAGGATTCTCAAAGCATGTAAAAATGATTCATGAGACCTCATCAGACGTGCCTTGAACTGTGCACAGATATTTTTTGCCAACCGTGATTCACTAATGGATTGAATCATTTCACCTGCAACCTTCTTCTTCCATTCACCATCGACACGTGGGGCAGGTTTTCCAGGCAATGTCTGGATAGCCTGTTTCAGTTTTTCCCATAAGAGCCTTGTAAATGAGAAACTTGCCTCCACGGTCACTTCCACTTGATATGCCGCATCTAAGACCTGAAAGTTGAATTTGTCACATACTGATTATAAACTTCCTTGCATACAATATAGACTTACTTTTTCCAGCTTTGTAATAGGGGGCTAATATAATTTCCATATACTATTACACATTTTGAATTCTAAGTTAAAAACAATATCACCATTATCTACTGTCTCATTATATTGAACTATTAAAAGCCATCAAAAGAGAAAAGCTTAAATCGAGATCCATATCAGGCTTTTCATCAAAACTTAAAGATTGCAGGCTTTTAATCAAAACCCACTTGACAGAGTATTTTAGCAGGTAAACTTGAAGCATTTAGAATTAAATTCAAATTTCTATAAGATATTATCAATAAATCAATGTTATATTGATGAAAAACTGTTGCAACAGAAACTTTTCCAACTTTTTATCATGCAAAATATAAGTAGAGCTATTTGGCATAAGGGCTCCTCATGATGAATTTTCCTGTATACTATTGTAGGGATGCCAGCAATGGTAAATTTTGATAATTTTCCTAGCAGGACTATGTCAAGATACCACAAACAACAAAGGTAAATGGACTGAGAGACTGTGAAAAATTTTTGAAACTAGTTTTTCCACTAGCTTTAATCAAAGTTCCATTCGTTGCATTTGCCATGCCTAACAAATGTTTGCTCTAACCTGCAGTTGTTTGTTCATAGCCTGGTTCAAAGATTGTAGCTTAGAAATCTATTGAAGCTTTCTGATCTGCAACTTTACTTTTCATTCATATAAGGCTTAACATTAACATTGCAAATGGCTTTGAAAAAAGCAAACATTTCACGACATACTAAAAGCTTTTTTGTCTGACAATCCTCAGAGCATAAAACGTCTGACGTTTTATACTCTGAGGAGTGTCAGACGAAAAAGCTTTCCGTATGTCGTAAAATGTTTGCTTTTTTCAAAGCCATTTTCAAATTCTGTACCGCAAAAAAATTGTTCACATTAACATTGCAGTAAACTAGCCTACCACTATAAATCAAAAGCCTGAAAAAAGAGTCATATCATTTTAAGCCTGAATATCCATAGTTAAAACTTTGCATTTCTATTACCTGACGAAGTGCTCCAGATGCGATTGTACCATTGTCTTTTGCAAACTCTGCATCAGACTTTTCCAGGTTTTGCAAACATCTTGTCAGCGTTCCAACATAACTTTCCTTCAGGTATTCAACTGAACTTATAAGCTTGCTTGCTACTGTCTGGTTTAGCTTGCCTAATACCAGTTCTTGGACCTGGAGGGTACACTTTTCAAGATCTTCGCTTTCTAGAAGTTCAGAGTTATCATTAAGTTTCACTTCCCTCAGCTTTAAAAGTGATGCTTCCTCTTGGAGTCTTGGAGTCAAAGTTTCTATTGTGTCACGTATAACATCCTTAATCTCTTCCTGCTTTCTATTTGCAATGTCCATTAATGACTTAAAAAGCTCCTCTTCTTTTGACCTAGCATATGCAAGTCTTTTTGGAGTTATACTAATGTCTCTTGCCATGTCAAAAGCAGCTTCTATAAACATTGCAAGACATTTCAAGTGTACATCATTTAAATGACACGCAGCCTGTATTATGTGATACTGAAGGACTTGTCGAACAAACAATAAAAAACATGGAAACAAGGAGAAATCTTCTATCAGTCTGCTTTTTGGTAAAACGCTTGTAATAAGAGAAGTGGAAGACTTGAGTTTAAATTTGTCATCATCAACAACAAGATCGTTAGCAAGTGGCTCTCTGCTCAAGTAGCCCAGGTTGCAAAGCTGTTCAAATAGATGACTCCTAGCGTCAGCAAGCTCATTTGCCTTCACTTCTTCTTGAGCTGATTCTGTCAGTTCTAAGGTACATCTTGATGGCACTCTGATGAAAAACACTGGCATGTTTGGCATGAAGGATTTTACTGTCTCCAACTCACTGATATCCTAGAAAAAATTTGGAGATCATAAAAATTAAAGGAGCAATAACTTTCAACCAAAAAGCAGTTTTTGTGTAACCATAAGAAATGTTACCCAAATTCAGCTTTTAAGTTCAAAAGCTGATAAAGGAAAAAGTTTCAAGACTTAAATGGTTTCAAACTGAGAAAATATTTTAGGGACTGGATACCAGTCTGCATTTTATGGATAGCATTGAACCTGATATGCAATTTCTGAAAGACACTGACCAACTAGAAATAAGGAGGTTATTACTGGGGGTACAGGGATTTCAATAGGGGGCGCGCGATAGCACGCGAGCATGCAGGCACGCGCCCAAGGTTATCTTTGCGAGCAATTGGTACGCACCCAGTGACAAATATTTCTCTTGAAGAGCGCGATTACCAGGTGCTGATAGGTCAATCCACTTGAGAAACTGTTTTTAGAAACGGAAGTTTGACATCGAATCCTTGTTTCCACTACTCCGTTTTCCTGTCTCCATTTTCCGATCATTCAGTTTCCATTATTCTTGAGCGGTTCCCATTGCCCCGGCCCACACCGTTTTGGGCAAAACAAAAACGAAGGTTTTCCCATTGCTCTGTTTTGTCCGTTTTCATATCCTTGGTTCGAGCTTATCTTGAAACAGAAGATGAACGAATTCGTTTTTAATTGACTCCGTTTTTGATTTTTTCATTAAAACAATTTGTTTTTAAATGACTCCGTTCTCCAATGACATCGTTTTCGCTGTTCCCATTTAAATGATTCGTTTTCAAACAACTCTGTTTTTGGTTGATAACTTAGAGCATCATTATCAAATGCCTCCGTTTTTTAGCGTATCAATGGGAACCCAAAATCAAAAACGATTAATTTAGTTCCTTTTTCCTATGAAAGCGGAGTAATAGGAACAGGGCCTGATTTCCAACGGACTTGCACATTATTAATTGCCCCTTTGCCATTTGTTTGTTAAACAGAGCCTTCTTTTTGTTTTATTTGCTAACAAAATTTTGGTCTGTTTCTTCTGAAACTTCGTCACGTTTCTAAAGTCACTGAAACCTCTCTATGTCGCACAGTGCCCTTCATGATAACTCACGAGGGAAACATGAAGATAATTATACAATGTGTAGCATCCAGTTCATTAGTAAAAGTTTTGCCATGTTTAATGATTCAATAGAAAAAACTTTATTGCTTTGTGTTTAAAAAAATTTGATTCGCGCACCCCACTCTTATCACGCGAGTTTTTATCTGTGCACTTTGATTTCTGAACCTAAAAGCCCTGAGGTACATAGAATGCCAGATTAGATGAAAATGAGAAGATCAGGTGACACACCAAAATACACCCAAGGAGACTATTTTGAGAAGTTATCTTCCATGCAGACTTTTCTAGAAGAATATAAGCCAAGAAACAAAGAGATTCCAAAAAACAGAGAATGTAGAAGAAAATAAAAAAATTAAGAAACTTCTTCTTCTTTGAAAAGAGAATTCCCTTCTTCTAAGCATTCTGGTTTACACTGGCACGTAAATTCATAAATAATGGAACTCTTTTTGGTGGTAGGAATGCAATCCTTTTGAATGGATGGATGGGACTTTTTTGTACTGTGAACAATAGCCAGACAGTAAAGAAACAGTTTGTAATGGCCTGTTTAATTTGTCTTTCAAATTGCAAGGAACTGTTACCAATCCAGGGCAGTTTTAACCAGCCACTTTGACAGACCAAATTTTATAACTTTCCATTTTCTCTTTAATCTGAACTGAAATGACACCCTCTGGATAATAGCCATTCCCCAGAAAAATCTTTCTTGTTGTTCAAAATTTGAGTTGCAATCATAATATTCTCAGAGTGTCAGACGAAAAGCTTTAGTACACAAACATTTTTTTCAGAGCAATTTTTAAATTTTGCACCACAAAAAGATTGTTTGCATAATTAAACGTTTATAGTTGCCTTCTTTTCAAAGACAACCTGTTTAGACGTCTTGGTATAGCTGATTACCATGGGTGAATCTGATTGCCTTGTTCAAAGATCTCTGGCATAGAACATCCAGTAGATAATTTGTTGGTACAAAGTTTTGGTGCAGAGCAGTTTGGCTTTGGCAAAGCATTTAGTGCAGAAGGAAAGAGGCCAAAAATATGGCATAGCAGTATGGTTATTTCCAGGACTGCTGAGCCAGGGCAAATACCCTGCCTAATCATATACTTGGGCATGTAATGTTTTAATCTGAAAGCAATTATCATTTTCTGAAAGCTATATTTGTTGACAAGCAAGGAAACCACACACATTGGTTGCCCCAGGGTCTGGCATTGCTTTTGGCAGCCCTGGTTATTTCCAACCACAATGTCAGCTCATCACAAAAAACTCATTTTATTAGTCAATATCTTGTTTAAGAGGAAGATGGAATTAAGGCCCCGTTTACACGGGAACGGATCCACATAGATCCGTACCCAAATTGGCTACGATAGGCCTTGCGTTTACACGGGCACGGTAGGATCCGTATCTTTTCTGGGAGAGATCCGTACCTTTTTGGGTACGATTCGAAAGCGAATCCATTTGGATCCGTACCTTCATCGGCGCCGTGTAAACAGGAAGATACGGATCCGCAAAGGCACAGCAGTAAAACGAGACTGTTGCTGGGGTCAATAGAGGCTATTTCAATTGTACGCAGCACTCATCATACAACAAAGAAACTGTCTTCATCTTGTTTTATTTTCTTTTCACCTTTTCTCTTGTAATTTTTTCTTTATCCTGGCTATTTGGAAAGTCCTCTGTTGCTGTTTCTGGATAGGTCTCAATAAATTTAAGTAAAATGTCTTCGTATTTCGACATAACAGTCCCCCAGTGTTCTCCATTCTGCATTTTAGCAGCATTATAATCCATAACTATTTTCATCAACAAAGCTGTCTCCTCGTCTGTCAATGTAAAAATGAACGCTTATCGTTGCTTGCAAATGATGTCATCTAAGATATTCTCGCGCCAAAATGAAAATTAACAATTACCTTGTCATTGCGCATGCTTTAAACGGGAGATTCGATTTTGGTCCGTTCCCGTGTAAACGCTTTATAGTTTAGGATCCGATCTCGTGTAAACGCTTGTGGATCGTACCCATATCGTACCCAAAAGGTCCGGATCTTTTGGATCCGTTCCTTTTTCTCTCGTGGAAACGGGGCCTAAGACACCTTTACCAAAAATTGACATGATTGGACACAGCAAAATTTAGGCCATGGGCCATCATATTTCTTGGGATAGAAATCTTTGGCTCACAGTCCCCATTAGAATTCACACTGGCTGGTTAGCGTCTTGCCAGGTAGATCTTTCAAAATTTATCAAAATGATTTTGATTGAATTATACCGTTTTTCGCTTATTTTTCAATATTCCAGAAATATAGGACCTATTTGACAAACAATATCACAACGGAAATATTTGTATAAATTATTTGAATAGGTTTCACTGCAATAAACATACCTTGTCACTCAGTGTCAGCTGATCCACTGAGAAAATTATAATGGGCAGAACATCCTCGACACATGATTTGAAAACTTGTTCAACCGTCCCTTCTCCGTTAGACGGTGCGCAGATTATTTCGGCTCCAGTTTTGAGTAGGGGGTGATCCAAGCAGACCTCTGCTACTGCAGCAGTCATTGCGGGGTCTGTCTTGTCTCTTCCTTTAACTTCCAAGTCTGCCCTTGGGACAGACCTCCATGATCCTTCATATGCATCCAGTGCTGCCGCCAACTCGAAGCTGTCTGGTAAAACTAGGCTAAGTGTCGAATGTGTTCCGTGTTTAAATCGCACCATCCGCCATGTTACAGAATTGTCTAGATCATCTACCATAGGTAGAACTGGTTCCCCAACTAGTTCATTTATTGTACAAACTTTGGCATAGCAAGAAGTACCAAGTACAATGATTGAAGGAGGCTTCTGTGTTGAGAGGAATATTTCTTGTAAATCTGCATTGAACATTTGGTTGCGCAAGGTCTGCGATGGAAAGTGTCCGGACTGCTGTATTTCATAAAATGCCCTGTCCGTTTCTCTTCTTACTTGCTTGAGAAGCCGAGCATGTTCTTGAAACTTGGTCAGCTCGTAAGGTAAGTTTGCGGCCATTTCTTATCTATAAACTAGAAAAACAGATAGAAAATAAAGAACACTAACTTACGATCGCCATATTGCCTAAAATCTCTGTTTTGAACGCGAGAAAGCAATTTTTCACATCATTGACTGACCTTTGACACGGCAGATCCACAAGAGGCCAGCCTCGAGCGAACACGAGCATTACGAGGACAGGAGGACAATGATATAATCTGTCAAAACAAAGATAAAAAAGAAGTATAGAACTCGGCCATTCTACCACGGCATCAGCGCGTCTATTTACGAAAGTCAGCTTCTCTGCCCATGTTTTGCATAATAAATTAACCCTTTTATTTGATATTTTCCGGATAATAACTCCGCCAAAAAGCCCAAGCCCTAAGATTACCAATTTGGTGAGATTTTTCTCGGAAAGGCGTACGGGATTTTCGTGTAGCTGATAGCCCCTCGCCTTTTGTTTCCAGTGACAATTAAATGTTGAATCCTTTTAACGTCATGCAGAAATTACTTGGTTTTATGGAAAAGGGGGTATTGAATCTGAATGCTCATCAAACTTGCAACAAACGAAGTTATGGAGAAGTTCATAGCCCATAGGTTGTAATTTTAAAATTTTTAGGTGGCAACAACTACTTACCATTGCAAATTAAAGACTGAAATACGACATACTGTATATGAAGTGAGAACCTCCACTGATGGAAAGTACAGTTGATCAACAATGCCAGAACATGCTAAATGGTAAAGCAGAACGAAATGAGCAACTGAGCTAGAAAATTGCGCAAGAGAAATGAAATAAACCAGCAACTTGGTGTGCAGAGGAATGAAAGCAGCGATTTCTAGGTGAGCAGGTGAAAGTTTGAAGCAGGTTGTGCTTGAAGTACAGGTCAAAACAAGTTTTGAAAGCGATTCATAATCTCGGATTTGTAATCTCGAACGCTGCTCACGATGATCACACGAACGGAATTGAGCCTTTGCTATAGTCATTACCAATTCTGTGCATATTTTCAATCAATTTAAAATTGACAGTCACCCAACATGTTTAGATCCTCGAAAAGGTCGAGGTTACCTTAAGCTTTGTCGAGATAAAATATCGGAAGGGTAAGTGACAGCCAATCAGGGCCGTAAATCTGTCATGTGAACAGGGGGGGGGGGGTCAGCAGAGCAAATCAATTTAAAGTGTGCCGTGGTTCATGGCACCACCAAGCAATTTATGGTATTTGTTATGAAAACAGTCGAGGGGCAAATGACTTGAAAAACAAAAGTCAAGATTTTGGGATTTCTTAAGACTTAGTACATCTGATTTGTGTGTATAATTTGATAGATGAAATTTTCGGCCCCACGAATATGAACCTTGGGAGCTAGAATCAAGTTTAGTGACGTAGGAGGACCCACCATGGTTGGGTCCGACGCAAAAGAAAATTTTTGAAATTATACCTTCTAGAAAGGCTGAAAAAAGCACCTCCAGACTAAATTTAATAAAATACTAGATAACTCAGGATAGAAAATTCAACGTTTCTCAGAAGAACACAAATTATTGTTTATTGAGCGAAATTGTGTAGGGGAAGAGCCATGCTTAAACTCTAGAGACAGACGTTGAGGAAAGTAGGGATGATGTTGTATTGATTTGTAGAATTTTACTTCCTGAACAGAAATGTGCGTCTTCCTTATTTTGAGTGTTTTAAGTAGGCCATGTTTACACATCAAAAATGAATACATTCTAATGATACAGAAAGTGATTTACTAAATAAAAGCAAATAATAAACAAATAAAAAAATCACTCTGCTTACAAAAATAACGGCTATCAGCATAAGTCAACTCGCACTTGACACCATGACTTAGTGGCTGAATATTTGTTGCAATAAAACATAAAAACTTAATTGGTTCAAACCCGGCTACCAGAGATTTGTTTCTTTCAAAGAAAATGATGATAATTTATCAAAAAAAGAATCGTTTTGCTCCAGATTTTTGGGGGGGGGTCCAGTCCCCCCCGTCCCCCCGGGATTTACGGCCCTGCAGCCAATGGCCAACAAAGCAATGTATTTCAATTAATTCTGTAGCCAATAAGACCAGCTCTCTCTCTCTTTCCCCCCTCCAAGTTTGGGGGAGGATTAGAGGGGATTACTTGGTAAAGATATTGGTTTCCCTGACAATGGCCAATTTTGTACCTAAGTTCGGTGAGAAAACAGTCAAGAATCGCGTAATGAAGGCATTATCGATCACGTGAAATCGATCAATGCCTTTTCAAAATTCCTGTATCGTAAAAGGGAAGCTCGTTTATGGCAGCTTCCTCGTGCTTTTACTGATCAACGTTGCTCATTCAGTGGTGTATGTCAACAAATTCCCAGTCTACGGCAAACATAGTTAATTTCTCCAGCAGAAGAGTTTGTGATTTAAGGTTACGGTAAACGTTTGCTGGATGAAAACATCATTTTTTCGATTTTTTCACATTCAAGTAGCCGAACTTTCAAGGCACACAATGACACCAAATTTGAAACAAACAGAAATTTTGAAAGTGGAAAAAATCCCATGTAAACGAAGGTTTCCATAATTTCTTTATCAAAACTTTTAGTTGACGCCTGAAAATCTCTTGACCTTTTAAGCCGATTATCGTTGCTTTGCGGTTGTAGTCGCATGTCTCATTTACAATATCGCATGGCACATCCATATATCCAATGTACGGCCGTGTTTATTTAAACAGGCTTATTGATCTCAAATCTTCAAGTGACTTGACCCGGATTACACTGTGGTTTACGAGTGTATCTTGCAAGTGCGATCAGCAAAATCCCGTTTTCTCCGGACTCGAAATTCCTCTACATGCAGGTACGAAAAAGCTATTATGTACCCAAGGAACCACTCGAATGGCTCGAAAATTTGCACACGGCCAGGGCAGACGCTGGGCAAACAAAGTGTGTCTCAAAATTTTTTTATTTTCTCTGGTCCGTCTTTTATACCCAAATACAGCTGCGGGAGGGTGGAACAATTATTTGCCAATTTTTGACAGGGTATAGTTTCAAGAAGAGGAGGAATTTAAAAAATCTGAGACACACTTTGGTAGCTTAGGACCTGCACTTCCTGCTGGTCTAAGTCAGATTTTGTTAACTCAAACGCAAGGGTACATAATAGCTTTTGAAGGTGGTACACTTTTTAACCAGTAAATTCGCATGGAAAATAACATTGAACATTATTTGCCAATACTTTTTATCTGGCTAGATACGCCATAATCTTGTGCATCGAATGATATATAGTTTATCCAGATTCCTTGAGCCGTTTGGCCTTTAGGAAGAAAAAACCAATTTTCGTGTTCAAAACGTTTACCGTAACCTTAACTGGACCCTCGGTGAATAATAATCTTTTCAACACCAGGTTACATTTAAACAAATAAACTTGTCTTTAATCATTTGAAGCCATGAAATATGGCCTATGTAGAAAATTCGTCCCATCACATTAAAACAAATCAAATTTTCACTCATTCGAGTATGAAATCTCAACACAGGAGTGGCAATTCAATCTGAAGTTCATTTTTATTTCGAAAAATTAATTCTTATATGTTTCAGAAGGAATTTCAGGACTTACCAGTTTCTAAAACGTTCTCTTTAGCCCTTCCTCTGATCATGACGTCGAAATGAACGACAGGGTGAGGAACAAATTCCTTAGGGAACAGGCTAGACCATACTCGTCAAAACCGGTTTCTTTTAGTCTAAGGTCCCGGATGATTTAACAATAGTCTTCTAGACAGCAAACCAATCAAAATCGGAATTATCAAAACCTGTTTTTTGTATTGCAATAACTTTCAATAAACTACTATGCTATTGGCTACTAAGACAAAGAAGGGCCACTGGCCACCGTAGACTTGGCAGTGGTCACATGATTCAGTCCATGACGCCATGCACACGCTAGACCACTTCGACTTTACACAATAAGAAATATGTACGAATGTCACTGGCCTCGACGGCTTCGTTGAAATCAAAGATAATGGGCGAATGACACTGTTAATGAAATTCACAGCAAAAATCAAATTTCGAATAACTTGTAACTAAGTTTCTAACAAGCTTACCGAACGAAAACTTCGCCTACTCTATCGAAATCGCGTGATAAGTTTGAAACCGGAAATGAACATAGCCCTCAAATTGAAAATATCAATGAACCATAACATGATCCATTGTTCTAGATGTCAGTCCTGGCAACGGTAAATAAAGAAAAAGAAAACAAACGATTTGAAAATTTGCGTCCAGTCCTTTGAGGCCAAGGCCTAGCCAAACTGCTGGAAAACTGACATTGATAAGCAATCCTAGCGGTAGTGAGGTGAGGCTATTTCGAAAATCAAAATCTGGCATGTCGGCAAGTTGCCATTCTATGGCATGGGCTTGGGGATGGGTACCCTGCATCGCAGACCATATTCAGAACTCAGAAGGCCGTTTTTCGGTTTCTGCCTTAAATCCATCGGTTTTCAATATTGTCACAGCGAACAGGTTTTGACGTTATTTACATCCGTTTCCCGTTTTTTTTGTTAACTACCGTAAATTCTCGAATTGCCCCCCCCCCCCCTTGAATAGCCCCCACCCTAAAACTAAAAATTATCAATAAGCCCCCCTCTCGAATAAGCCCCCACTGCAAAATTCTCGAATTGGACCCCTCCATTTGATGATTGTTGCCTTCTGATGTTGCCTTTATGGCGTTTTATTGAATTACCACAACAAATTCATACTTTTGGTAGTAATTAATTAAATGCTCATAAAGAAATACCTACTAAAATAAACGAGGTATTTTAATAATGTCTTGTTAATGTCTACAATATTTTTTACGCCCCCCCCCCCCCCTCAAATAGACCCTCATCCAAAAATATAAAAAATGAATAAGCCCCCAGGAGGCTAATTCGAGGATTTACGGTATGTGTTCCTAGGATCTCAATCTTGATTTTAAATGAAAAATGACTTCAATATGTCTCGTATCTCGAGACTATGTTATGACAGACCCTAAAGTTGTGGTCGATGGTGGCAATTTTTATGAAGACGGAAAGGGAGGCGAGGAGAACAGGAAGAAAAACAAATTTCGTTCGTCAGATATCAGCGGGCATGCAGTTTTAAGAAAAATATTGCACGGATTTACGACTTTTGCAAATATTAACATAAATGAACAAGATCACTAGGTAATATTGGTATTTAGTTTGACCTCATTTCTGTATTTTCTCCAGCGATGCAATGGAAATTTTAAAGTCATGATAATGGCATGCCTCTTCTGTTCATTATAAATCATCATAATCAATCGAAATTACAAATCATTCATTTGTCGTTAAACACAATTCATAAGTAAGTTCACAACTCGTTTACAACTTGTTATTTTACGCAAAAAATTTCTTTTATTTCTAAGATTCATTTTAGGTTTATCGTAAAAAGATAGAGCAATTGGAAGCTGAAAAAATGTAAGATTATTACTCAAGGCCCCCGCCACCGGGGGGCCAACGTTTTAGCCTTGGCCCCCCACTTTCAAATTCATGGCGTTGGCCCTGTATATGGCGTGGGTCATTATTTTGGAAAATTCTACTATGCCACTATTGTAGCGCTTGAATCAGTATGAAATTGCACACGTTGCCATCACAAACACTAGCTTTTTGAGCACCTTCATTTCTTAATTTCTTATTACTGTTATCCAAAGAATAGCAAAAATGTCTTAAAGTTTTTCTGAGAATCTGTCACCTATTGTTCTTAAACTTCCCTAAAGTTTCTTTGTCCTCAAACAAAATATTTTGAAAAGATTAAAATTTTCCTTTGCAATCTTAAAAGCACTTTACTACGAAAGATATCCTTGCTTGAAGTGGAAAAGTTCCCCTATATTTCCAGCAACATTTCCAATCACTAAAAAGTTCTCTTATACCAAAAGTTTCCCTACATTCAATGAAATTAGTTTTTCTTTGTTCCATAAAATCCATCGAATGGCCTTTTGTTTTTGGAGAAAGTTAATATTAGCAATTCTTAGCAATTTAAATAGAAATTTGAAATTAATCTGAAGTTAACTAAAATGGAATTTTACTCTACTCTACAGGCCCGTCGGAACCGGGGGGGCTGGGGGGCTGGAGCCCCCCCCCCAATAATTGTGAAACTGTAGTATGTTTCCTTTATATCAGTGTTCTGAACGAGAAGGAAAACAATGGGCAGCCCCCCCCCCAATATGAATTTCATTCCGACGGCACTGACTCTAGGAGTAATGTGTGCATGTTTTAAAGAAGATACTAATGGAAAGGCCCCAGGTTCTTAGGTGTTCATCAATTGTTTCGTCTTGGCTTAACAACAGTGAATAAACGACCTTTGTGCTTCTGTGGAGATCACTCATTGAGTTGATTGCTACGATATACATTCTCTCATCTGCGTGTTGGATGTGAGTATACCAAAGCCGATCATCACTGCTCTGTAGAACATACCCTTTGTTCATAAACCCTGCATGTAAAAGAAGTTTAATTCAGTAAGGCATCGTATAGATACATTTGGTAAGTTATGCTTAAAGCTCGGGGGAGTGTAACTAACCCTAATTTTGGACGAGGATATGCAATTTTGTTTAAAAAATGTGGACCAATTATTCCGCACATGTCTGAAAAATGTTACCCATAATTCAGCTAACATGATGAAAACTATATTCAAAATTCCACAAAGCGAATAACATTTTTAAAGTACAACAAAATTATCAAACAAATTTTGCATGTTCTTTGCCCAAAATCTCAATATTACACATATTTATACTTTCATTTCTAACTGAACATTCATTTTGTTAATGTTGAATCTCCCTTCTAATAATTTTGCAATATTTTCCCAAAATGTTCCCCAAAATTCTGCATGTTCAAAATTCTGCAAATGGTACCCATAGTTCCAAATGGAGTATTTTTCATTGTACATGTAAATTAAAAGTAGATTAGTTGCTTTAACATGGAGTAATAGATCTACTTAAAGCCTCTTTGCTAACAATGAGCCATTGCGCTACGCAAACATCCCACAATGCATTTTTAGACAGTCTGAAATCAATTTTGGTTTATCTGTAGAAGTTTATTGCCATTGTTTGGGACATCCCCACTCTTGCAAAGGCTCCATTGTTAGCAATGAGTCTTTAATTCTACACGACTGTGCTTTGGAAAATATTTTTACAGTTTTTCGAAATAATTCAACAATGGGAGTGTTTATCAACAACTACATAACGTGATGCTTGTTTTGACCAAGGCCTATAGAGGAGACCGAAGGTCTTTTTTGTAAAAACTTTAAACTGTTGCAAGAAACTGTTGAAAATTTATGTGAAACGGGTGGTAGATAAACGGGTCTATTTGTATTTCTATTACTCTAGATATTTTTTTATTTTGATGCAAACAATGGCCTGTTGAGAGTTAAGCAAAAGGAACGCCTTTCATTTTGTTCAAAGAGCATTGACTACCAAAAATAGCAAACAACCGCTTTTATATTTCTCCGTTTCCCAGATTGCCTGCCTATTCAATGTATTGTTTTCTTTAAACTGTTTTTCTTAGTCCTTTTTATTTCATCGGACATTAGAGTACTGCAGGCTGATAAAAATATCATGGTGAGCAAGTGAAATGGCTCGAGATGGCAAGGAATCTAAGGCCTGGTTCACACTGTTCCGTTTTCATAAGAAAACGTGTCAAAACCATTCGTCTTAGCTTTGCGTTCATACTGTTCTAGTGTGAAAACATATTTATTTGAAAACGCAGATGAATACGCATACTTTTGACTTTGTGTGTGTAATGTGTATTGAATATGCTTTTTCAGTGGGAACACCAAAAACGAAGGTCTTTGCAAAAGCTAACAACAGCAACAGCTCGTACTTTCTAGCCAGCCAATTTTAAAAAATCTATAATGTGAAATTCACAATTGCCCGTCGCTTTTACAAAAGAGTTCTTCGCAATTACACCTTTGCGGAGTTTGGAGGCAATGTCAGTTTTAAATTGAGGTCGCTGCTTAAATGCTCTTGCGCAACCAACATGCTAAGCGGCAGCTGTCTATTTTCATGCAGTACGAAATTAGGCCGGTTTTGGAATTATAATCGCAAAGCATGCCGGTTGCTCAAAAACCTTTAAAGATGAGGCTACCAACTATGATTATGTTGGGGAAGTGTGACAACATGCTTCGTATTCATAGCTAATTAGTTTTCACCAAATAAAACGGAGAGAAACGAATACGGAACAGTGAGCGTGAAATTAGCCTAACTGAGCATCGGGATTGCTTAACGAATATCCTTGTGAAGTCAAAAATCGATCATTCGACAGTAAAATAACCAAGCCTTTCCCTTCAGAAATCATCCCTGATTAGATCAACTTTTATCATAACGTTGAAGGTTCCAATCATCAGACGTTGTCTGTATCAGCATATAACATATCGTTCCGATTAAATCAAGTATTCTCTTACCAAAATACAAACCTATTTTGCCTAGTAACCCTTCATAAGGCCAGGAAACAGCGATCATTCTTTTCAGTTTTAAACTGAAAATATCCAGTACCTCAAACGTTAACGGGTCGTCTTCTTCAAGGATATCAATGTTTTTGATAAAATCTGCAAGAGACAGATATAATTGCAAAAATATAGAATTCTTTTTAGAAATAATAGCTTTGTAAAACATACAGCAAATACAAGGAATAAAAATGTAGAAAAAGTATTGTAATAGGCATTTGAGATTTGTTTACGGTCCTTGTGCTTAATGATCTCTTAATTGAATTGGTAGAACAAAAAGCCTTTAGATGTGAGAACAGTACAGTGAAACTCATGATTCAGTTCAATTTTTTCAGTAGAATCCTCCCATGTAAACATACCATGTTTTATAACATTGAGTTGAATTGCACCTTCTAAGTATTATTTTCTGCTCGCATGAAGCTCGTTATTGCGCAAATACTTATTTTGCTCGAAAGCTTTTAACTTGACCTGGTTTGTTTTTGTCTAACAGACTACGACACACCTTCCACACGAGGTGGCCAACAAAAATTACTGTGATAACTGTGATCCTAGCACTGGCTGATCATACCATTTTCCAATAACACGATTTGTATCAAGTGAAATTCAAAAATACACTTGTTTGGCCATCATGCTCCCTCTAAACATAAATAGGAACATCTGGATGATCGCTTCCTATTCTTGTTTAGAGGGAGCTGGATGCTCGCTTCCTATTAGGGTGCTCGCTTCCTCATCCAGCTCCCTCTAAACAAGAATAGGAAGCGATCATCCTTGTCGCTCCTGTAGTGTAGCAGTAAAAAACATACTTGAATGTTTCTCAATACTATCTTTTTACATTAAAGTAAATTTGAAAATTGACATCAACTTACGCTCTGAGCAAAGGTGCTTCGTTTGCTGAGTTGGTTTTGATTCATGTGGCCTTGCAATGTTGCTTTCAGTAACTGACATGTATGTTTGAGTTGAACTCAAACTGGCAGACAGCTTACTTGAAAATGCTGAAATTGGATAGCTGTTTTGCAGAAACGGTGATTGCGTCATTAAGAGTGAAACTGAAATACTTTCAAAAGGAACTTTGTATATGCCAGTTTGTCCTACGTTCACGGCCTGTGTTATCTTCAAGCTACGTAAAGTGTTAAATGAGCCTCCAAGATCCTTTGATGTAGTTTCTTGGGGCTGTTTGAAAACTGATTGCGTTCCTAACTGATTTGCTGAAGAAGGAATGGCTGATTTGCTGAAGAAAAAAAATCGATCTTTTCGAGGTTTCAAACCGCCAAAATCTGTATGCATTAGCTGCGTAGATGAGGATTTTTGGATTGGCTTTGAGGACGTAAAAGGTACTATGATCTGTAATGTTCGTGTTGTTGGCTGAACGTTTTCAATTTGGCGTAACTGGTCAACTGTATTTATTCTATGTTTCTTTAATGAAGGGAATAGTTCAGGTAACTTTGAAGCGGAAAGAAAAAGTTTTGTTGAAACAGATAAACTTCCCATTGTGTGAAAGTCTTTGCTGTTTTTGTGGGTTTGCTTTGAAGGTCTGCTTACAATTGAAGAGCTTGGTCGTAGTGTATCATACAGAGGTGCGACACTGCTGTGTGCCACAAGGATCCTTTCAAAGCCTGCTGCTGATGAATGAATTTCTTTCAGAGATTTTCCTACCAGCACTGGCGTCTTCAGTTTGAAGGAATTCTTCGATAAATTTTTATTTTTGGTCCTTTTCATAAAGCCTTGTTCAAGAAATAAAGGAGAACGCTCCAGAAAAATGCTCGTGGGTAAAACGGTAGAGGATGCCGCCTTCGTTAACGATCGTTTTAATTCGTTTTTTCGTGACAAGAGCAACCTTTTAGATGTTGTTATAGTTCTGAATCTCTTTACTGAAACTGTAGTGGGACGGAGAGGAGAAAGAGAACTCAACTGCCTACTCATTACCCACTGCTTTAGATTTTCAATGTGAATTGACGATGGCGACAATTCTGTGGAAGATGCAAAATGACCTTGGCTTTTGAACGGCAAAGACATACTTGCAATTTCTGGTATATGGGAAGAAAGGACCGTTTCAAAAACCTTTGGTAAATGGACCGTTACAAGTTGCTCAGCTGAATCGAGGCTGGGAACAGAGCTCTTTCCTTTCATTAACAACTCCATAGCATCCGTCTCTGTTTTGTATTCTGAATTTGTTAATTCATCGATTTCCTCTGAATTCGGTACATTGTTAATCTCCCAGGAAACTGTTGGCTTTAATGTGAACATCTTTTGAGTAAGAATTGACTGTTGCTCCGAATTAACCGTAACGATGGCTCCGGGATTTTCCGTTTGGTCACGAAAGTTTGACAAACCTGTTCGATCAACGATTGACGATTGCAGCTTACTCTGAACAGTCAAATCTTGTTTTCCGATGCCATTTTCTGATATCAGAGAACTCTCGATTTTTGTTGTTATGCTTTGGTCATCTCCTGAATAATGTACTTTGTGCAATGATTTTGATTCAAGTCTTGAATGGATTGTATTTTCATCGCTAGGTGGCATTTTCTTTGACCTAGAAAAACCCTGAAACGCAGTCTGTGAATCGCTGTCTGTAAAGCTAGTTTCAATGAATGGATATCTAGTGCTACCAGCTTGTTGGGCTTGGCCAGAGTGCATCGAATAAAAATTGATCATGTGATCTTCCATGTTCAAGGTAGACTGCAAGTTAGCCTCTTGGGCGAGACCAGGTGTCTTGACTGTTGCAGTGCTTATCGTCGAATCAATTTGGTCAGAGAAGACTGACGGACTTAAAATGCTTGTCCAAGAGTTGTGCTCTTCTACTCCACTGCGTTTTCGTGAGACCTCTTCCAGCTGCTTGTCTTCTGCAAGGTCATGCAATGTAGCTGCATTCGTTTTCAATTCTCTCAAAGGCCATAATGACTCGGCTATGTGAGATTTGATGTCACTCATCTGGCGTACGCTGTCTCTTTCTCGAACATGTTGATTTATCGTCCGATGAGAGAAGTCGAATGACTTCTGATGAGCCGTGGGTGATATACCTACGCTTTTAAGTATGATTTTGCTCTCAGCTGTGTCATCTCCCTTAAAAAATTCCAGTAAAGTCTGACTTGAACCTTTAAGATTATATCTTGGTACATTCTCATTCACATCAGTTACTCGCAAACCTACGGAATTGCTTTTCTCATGCAAAGAGGCGTCAACAAAAATGCTTTCTCCTTCCGTTTGTCTATGCTTTGTACCATCACATTTGATATCTGCATAGCAAAAGAAAGACAGTTACTTGATGGAAAACCAAAGAACAGAGGTCTTTCTATGATCTTCCCCTATCCACCCTAACCCCCCCCCCCCCCCCCGGTCAAAAACTAGCCGTTTCCAGAGCGCATTAACAGGATCTTAGGCGTAAATTTTGACTATTTTGTATCACATTAACAGCCTCTCATTGCCAGCACTTTCAAGTGACTGCCTCTCTAGAAATATTTCCAAAGTAAGTCCAAAATAAACGTGTAGCATATCCAGGGTAAAAATGCATTCTATTTAACTTACCACTGATCCTGTAGATAACCTCGAGTCGCCTACTCTTTTTCAATTTGTCTCTTTTGAATCTGATTGAGATGTCTCTGGCATCTACGCAAATGCCCTCGCCATAGACATTTTCGTATAGCGATTTCTCTATTTTCATCCACTCAGCATTATTCTTTATTAATACTGAAATGTCCTCCATGCCATCTGCATTCAAAAATCAAAAGTTATTCTTCCATTGCAAGATAGGTAAGTGTTATCCTTGAAAACCTACCGGGAACTCTAGGTAAAGAACTAGCTTAACGTCATGGACAAAAGGATTTCAACACTTGAAGATTATACAGTGGCCTAAGGCATGAAGAGGAAGGGATAAGGGTAAAACAGGTTCAATACGGCATAGGAAAAGTGTTTCTGTTTTCAAATAAAAGCTTGCATCCATAATGACATTTTGAAGCTATCCAATACTAATATGGTACCAACATGCTTAAGAATAGGTAACGCCTTGATTCCGCGTACCGAGTACATGATCAGCTATCATTACTTAACGTGAAGACATGAAGCAATTTTATCATGCATGAATATATGACACTGACATGAATATAGAACCAAAACTTACTTTTCAAGCCTCTAGGTACCAAGTCTAAGTCTTTGAATCTAACTCGAACTGTCTTGTCTTTGGGTACTTTGATGACATACTGACAAGAGAGATTTGTTGGGTACATAATTGGATATCTCAGCAATTTTATGGTACCGTAATTCCAAGAATATTCCCTGTAACATCCTGAAAAAAAATTGAATTTTGAAAGAGGGAATGAAAACAGAAAAGCGATTAGCAGGCCCGAAGTAGCAACGAGCACGGTTACGAAGGCGGCGTAGAAATGAGGCTGGAACATACGTATTTTCTAAGAGCAGTCGAGCAAGCTTTAAGCTTCTGTTATAAAAATTCCCTTGTTTAAATTTTAAATTGAAATATCATATTCAAATTTGTGTTTATTAAAATTTGCTTCAGAAATGATTAATTTACTAGGCGGCATTTAGAGTAATTTTAACTTTCATCATACAAAATATGATGATTAAGGGCATCTTTGGTCAAGTAACTTCTTTGGTCTGCTAAAAAACGCAGCATGCTATCTGCCATCCTTAGCATAAAGACAAAATATAAAAAACAGAATCATATAAATCGTTTTTTGCTCTTAGCTATAGTATCCAGCAATGACTTTGGACAGTTCACTGTTTCTATTAAAAAACGTACTATAAGAGCATCGATTGTTGGAACTTATTGTTGTCTTTATGGAATGTTTTGACGATTGTTGTTGTTTATTAATTGGAGAAGAAGAAGTCAAAAGAAACATTGGAAAAGAATCTTACGAGAAGATCACAACTTCCATGTAAGAAAAGAATTATAAAATCCTCGGGTGTGATCCAATCTGTACTCATTTCTTCACGTTCTTCATCTGGTTAGAATTACATTCTTCTTTCATAAATTCGTGTTCATTCTATCGCATTCTACATTTTGTGTGAGAGAATCTTCTTACCATTGAGTTCAAATACAGTCCTCTGAACCTCTCTAAATCTAAACATTTTAAAAGGATCTATTCTCTTTATTTATATCATATATTTTACCCTATATATAGAAACTGAACTGGAATCATGTAGGATAAAACTTTCTAACATCGAGACTCGATTTGCTTGAAAAATAAGAACATCGTGAGTTTGCTTCCAGCGTCAACAAATCAACAGTGCAATTAAAAATATCTTGCAAAACGTTTATTGATTGATCTTAGAAACAATTTATGGTATGTAATTTTAGAAAAATCAATATAGGAATACGAGCAACATTGAGAACTCTGGAGCCTTAGATTGTCCATGAAATAAGACCAATGATAAAAATAATATTTTCCCAATATAAAAAAGTTTGTTATCCAAAGAAACGGGAAACGTATTGTTATCAAAAGCTTTTATATGATACGTCAATGGAATTAAAAAACATGATCAGGAAAATACGGATAAGGTTCAATAGCACACAAAGAATCCATCATGAAATCTGCGATTTGCAAATTCAGTTCTTGAATTTCTAAAGATTTGGCCATAATACGTCCTTAGGAAAGCTACTGATAACAAATATGTCCCTCATGTATGCGAATAAACAAATTTATTCCTCATTTATGATACAAACTGATTTATTTTGCTGTTATCAAGGGGAATCATACGCTTGCCTAAATTAACTTGAGTAGTTTTCTGATGCTTTAAGCATGGTAACTCACCATTTTGTTGTTCTTCCTTGCCATCAACTGCACAACAGCAAATTGCAAAAATCATTAATATGATTCGAATAGACAGTCTTGTTCCTTTCATCTTCATGCAGAACCACACAAAAAATGGCAGTTTAAACAAAACTAGCTTCAGAAAGTTACAAAAGGTTTTCTTACAAAAATCAGAACTGCTGGAAATGAATGACGGAAAAACGACGCCTGAGTCATCGCCTCGTTTTGAGGGCGTTGCTGGCCTGGGGTGAGACTTCTCTTTTCCAGGATAGCTTTTGTGATGTTAAACCAACAGGAAGATCTAAGCGTGAAGATCTTGGCAGTTCCGTGGATTAGGCTGTTTTCACGGGGATCGTGCCCTGCAGTGACACACCCAGACGCACGCGACTTGTTGGCAACAAATTTGCGTGAATTTTGCGTATTAGAGGACACACAAGCAGACAGCAAGCGCGGGGAGAGATGAAAACACTGAAAGGCAATACTTTGTTTTCTCTCGAAGAAGGAATTTTCCAATTTATCCTCCAAAACTCTTTAGTCAGTCTTGAAGCAAGGATATTGAAAAACCAGTCGTTAGTCAAAGTCAAAATATTGTTTTCCAGGCATATGATATCAAGATGTGAAATAATTTAACACAAAAGTGCAATGGCTTTTGCTTCATGAGATGCTTTAATAAAATTCTTAACAGCAGACAAAGTAAAGTAAAGGAACGTTGAAGAAGGAAGTATTGAGGCTTCCAATGAGAACTTAATAAAATCACTGAATGATTGGTTTGTCAATCAATATATATCAAATGAGTGGGGATGGGCGCAATAATATCATACCAAAGATCGGTTGAACACAAAGTGATTTCTGAAACGCTTATGTAATATTTGCCTACAATATGATGCGACAATTTTAGTTTTTTAAGGCATCTGATAAATAAAAGCATAAGAGCAGAAAACAAGTAACTTGAAATAAAGCAACTCTTTGAAAAATTTATTTTAATACTCAAACAAAGTTGACTAACAAAATTTACAGCATTCTAAGAATCATTATATTCAATAATTTCAATCCGATCTTCTTATCAAAATATACATCAACAATCTATCTTTCATCAAAAAGAATATTTATATATCTAAGCTATAAAATTTGTACTAAACTTACTACAAATGTATGAATGAAAAATCAATACACTTAATATCTAACCATGAAAAACATTTCTAACAACTTTTCTTGACACAAAATTCGACTCGTGGTTAATATCAACAATGGGAATCTAAAGCATGTTAAAAGTACCTTGACTTTCTCTATAGCAAAATAATCTGGTTATTTTATAAACTTTGGCTGTTTCTGTGGCCTTCGAAGTTCCATCCAGTCAAAATATATAGAAATATACCAAAATGTGAATTTTGCAAGAAGCTTGTCCACGGAGGTGACTTGAAACTGACAAGAAACAGTATTAACGAGTTCATCATCTAAGATGTCTTTTAGAACTAAGAATAAACAAGGTCATCCCATCTCCGTTTGCAAATAGTTTTACTGATTTACTTTTTCGAAAACATCAATGAAGAAGTGAAACAAATCTACATACTTTTGCGTACAGCATCGATTTTCATGAATAAAAACTCCCAAAATATTTTGTCCCAAACAACCGGAAATGCATCATGAAAAACGACTTGTGATAAAATAATTTGCACAATCCCTTTACCAAAAATTTCATTTGCAAAGTTCATTCATATTTTATGTATTTTTGATATATGAAAATTCGAAGAAATTTATTGAAATCGAACCGTGTCACCTCTTGATTAGAAAAGTCTAGGAGAGTCCCCCTTCATTGTCACAAAAACGTGACATATGTAAGATGGGAGAGTAAAGAGGGCGACTTAACGTTAAAGCAATGTCACAGAAACTTTTAGATGATTTAAACAATTTATAAACTCTACGTGTTTTCTAAAAAATAAGGTAACTGAACAAACTAAACATATTGTTCTGAATGCAGTTCTTGTGCACTGTAAAATTTAACTGGTTTTTGAACAAGTTCGTTTTGTCTTGACTGTCTGGCTGAAGCTCTTGCGGATGAAACCCTTTCAGGCTTCAAGACAATTTCTGAATCCGTGTCACTATCACTCAGCACAGCAATATCCCTGTACACGTCTGCTAAATTTTCGTATTTCATCGCCCAGTTTAACAGTTCGTCCCAATTAATTGAAGGTATAGAATCGCCAGCAGCAGCCCTTCGCTCCGAAACAGGCACGTTTCTTATACTCCCAACGTCTGTCATACTTGTTACAGAGCTACTAATCGAGTTTCTTCGCGGCCTAAAGCTACTTTCTGCGTCGCTATCACTGGCCTGTGGATGTTTGGTGAAGACTAGATGCTTGCGGTTGAGTTTATTAGTTGAGATTCTCTCATCTCCGTACTCATATTCGCTTCCAGTGAAGGATCCATCCGAATCCGATGATGAGTCTTGTTCCACTAAATCGCTTAAACGATCACTTAATCGATCACTCCTAGTGTTCCGGTCACTTACAGTTGAAACATGATCATGCGTACTAAACTGTGGAACAAGATGTCTAAGACGATCAAGCCGTCTATCAATAAAATCCCGCCTTATATCGCGCGAATTAGAACTATTATTGTCATTCTGCCAGCTCATTTCGCTAAATCCAATACTTGCGACCTCCAAATCGTATAGCTCTAGCTGGGACGAGCCATCTACAATGTCAGTCAAACTGGCATGATCATGCTCACTATCGATGTCACTTCCAGTCGATTCGAACCCGCTTTCGAATGGTGGCGTGGCTGTGCCAAATTGCGAGCTTCCTTTGAGGTCATGCAGTCTCTCGCTACTGCGTCTATTTTCTCGAAATTGAGGCTCGTTTATCCTTGGAGCTAGCGAATCGGGTTTGCTGAATCCCCGTAAATCTTTGAGAATTCGTTCGTTTCGCTTCATTTCCATATGCATATCATCCTGGTACTTCATTAATGGTAAAGATCTGTTCGAGCCTTGCGTTGTTTCAGCCTCTCGATGAGATCGAGGCTGGATAAAAGCAGGTTGAGAAGTGCTTATAAACTGGACACCTCTTCTTGAAACCAAATTCAAGTCATCAGCCCGTGAATCTTTTATGAAAGCACTGTTTACAAAACCTTGCTCCTTAGCAACCTTTTCTTGCGCCGCCTTTTCATCCGTAAGATATGATTCTGAATCAAAGCCATGGTTGCTGAAATTCGCACTTGTTGTGTGCCTCATTTCAATGGCTGAATCCGTAACGTCACTTTTCTTTGTTTTGAAGGGCTGCCTTTTTCGTACGAAGTAGACCACGACAAGAATCAAGGCTATTCCAATCACTACAACAACAACTATTATAACAATTTCTGAAGAGCTTAAGCCACCTGACGTCCGTTGTGGTGCAGCTACACATTCATATACTTTGGTTTTATGAGCGACACACGATTCTCCTGACTTACATGGTGACGTCAAACAAACAAAAGGCGTTTCGCAGTTTTTACCAGTGAAGTTCGCATTGCAGTTACAGATGTATCCACCGCTATTTGGAGTGCACTTGCCATTATTTTTACAAGGTGCGTTGTTGCATTGGCCTGGTTCCACACATTCATACTTCTCCCACAAATCTACGCAGTAGGACCTCGCCGGGTCCGTGCATGGATTCGGTTTACAAACTTCACGGCCGGAGCAGCTTTTAGTTACCGGCCCGACTCTTGTCACGTTGAATTTCTCAGACGACGCGGACGCTAAGTTTTCGTTATTCAGAGAAATGCGATTCAAACACCCCTTGAATTTAGGCAAAAGTTTGCCATTGATGTACTTGGGAGTCTGTGTTCCTGCGATCGACACAGCATCTGTGTATGTAGAATAGAATCTATGTGGAAAAACTTGGAAAGAGCTTTGCACGATTCTTTTGTCGTCAAGAGCTAAATACACTGTTCTGTCACTTACATTCAATGAGATGTTGTGCCAGTTACCGTCAGTGATTTCAGGTTTACTAATAACCAGCGCACCAGATTCCCCGTTTTTCAACTCGAACTTGTAGTGTATGATTGCGTCTTTAATCTGCAAGAAATACATGATATAAGAAAATGTAGGAATCCAGGAAAAGACAAAAAGTTGGACAAAAAGTATGGCCTTAAATATGATGTTGGTCGTAGTACTTATAATGTTTGGTTTAAAATATAACTATGCTTTCAAAGAAAAGACCTTTCTCGATCCTTAACATTTCCCATACTAATGTGTTGGGAATATGGTAATCGACAATTACACGAAAACGGCAATCTTCATTTGTCAATTTTGGAAATTAGATTACAAAGAGTTCCTTTTTAGCCTAAAAAAACCTCATAACTTTAATGGAAATTTGGTTTAGCAGTAAGAGTCAATTCTTTTTGTGAATTCACAACAATTGATGGAAGTGCAATGAAACTTTGAAAATGCTTCAATTTGCCTAGAACGTTTCGTATTAAGATTGTTTCATATCAAGGCTTAGTCCAACAGAAAGGAAGCGATTAAATAATCTTTTATGCCAATTCTTTTCCATTGCTCTATGCAAAATCTGTGTGACCAACATCAACATTGGCCTAAACAAATTAAATCTGATAAATGTATTGTAAGAACCAATCGGCAAAAGTATGATCTGATTGTTTCACTATTTAAGAAATCATTAACGGTTAAAAGGTCTAGTCGAAATAAAAAAAGCACTAAAAGCTTTGTAATACGTACCAAAGTGAACAAAAATATCAAGAACCGAAGTGAATAGAAAGTCTTTTTAAAGAGTTTGTAAAATCCCTTTAGGCTTTTATTTCGACTTTGCAATTTTTAAGTGTGATTTTATTATTCATATCAATTACTTTTCATTGTATTTTGAAATATATAATTAAAAAGGGATAAGATGAATAAGGCAATCATATCGGTTCTTGAACCATATTAACCCCCCTCCTCCATAACGATCAGAACAACAATCCTCAAACTGCCCACTGGCTGAAAGAAGAGTCTACTTACGTGCAATACGGTGAAGTTGCCAGTAACATCAACAGCATACATAAGTAATCCATTCTTTTCGCGAGTCCTGAATTCAATCAGAAACGAATTGGGGGCTGGCGAGCCATCAGCCACTGACCTGCGCTTCCGGGTCGAGGCTGTTGCCAAAGCTAGCTGCATCTTACGTCTGTAGCTGTCTTTCAATTTAAATGTGACGAAGGAGGATCCACCAAATGTGAATGGTTTGGCAACTAAAAATAAGAAAAATATAATGACAATACGACGAAAAAAGCGAGTTTTTGTCAAGAATAAGACATCCAATTCCGTGAACAGGTTGAGGAATTATCACAACAAGCTGTTTAGCATTCACTGCTCACTATCAGGCTTTCATAAGGCGCTTGAATGAAATCTAAATTTACTGAAAAGTAGGACATTGTACCAAAGTAGTCCGTAAAAAAGTGCAGTGTCCAGACAATCAAAATGTTAACCAACTTTATATTCCTAGATAGCTAAAATGGGATCAGTCGACTTTTTCCTCTATTACAATTAACTAAAACAATATTAACAGATAAATGGCAAAAAATAACGCCACTCTATCACGTGTGGTAGAGAGCACTAAGGTACAAACAAGAAGGGGAAGAGAATTACACGAGAGCCTACTAATTTGTTGAGACCTCTTGACGCTTAATAAACGAAACTCTTCCATACCGCATTAGCCTTTTCGATGTTTTTGGAGTCACTTTAGTTTTAATTAACTTTCCATTATAAGAAATCTGTCTATTACTATTACTTATATTTCTATTCTTAAGAAATCACTATTTATTTATCCATTAGTTTCTCGGATCATTAATATCCGAACTATCTAAAGATTCATTTAACCGAGGAAGCTCGTCTAGAAATTGTCTTCATCTGCAAATTCGTCCAAATGTCGATTTTAACCACACTGATTTGTCTTTTCTAAAATGAAGCTCATTATGATATTTCACCATGGTCCTGATTTTGCTGCTAGTATTTAAACTACATCTTCCATTAATGTTACCATATGCGGCAACATGCATCAAGAATGCGGCAAACAAATGGTGAGAAAAGTTTGGAATCGTGTTTCAAGCGAGGCTACCCGTTTATTTAGATGTCTTGAATATGTCAAGATCAAAACAAAATTTGTGTAGATAGAAAAAGCTCATTTTACTTTTCGTTATTTCGTTATTTCGTCATTCGACTTTTTCATAAAAGCGTTTCACCGATGTTAGGAGGTAAGTGGATTTCATGTGGATTCCGTTTACATTTCTTCTGTCAGAGGAATGCTGAAAACAACACAATGGTTGGGACAAATAACACCTTTGTCGCTCTACCAGGTTAAAATTGAAACAGGAAAATTCTAAAATAATGACAATAGTACCTTCGCTGCAAGAATCGCCAGAGTACCCTGCTTTACAATGACACTGGGCGCCTCCCCAGCCTTCTATACACTCGCCATTCTTGCATGGACTGCTCGTACATCTAGCAGCTTTGGAACACCCGCTCGTGACGTAATGCGACTTGAAAGATGTCGCCTGATCGAGGTGGTATGCGTTGATATAAACATTTCTCATGCATCCTGTGAAGTCATCAGTAGAGACTTGCTTGGGCCTTTTTAGTATTGGATCGATCGATGGAACACCTCCCACGTATAAAGGGGCACCACCTATGTCAGGTGACCTGAAAATTGAAACAATTTAACATCAAACATGATGTACTTGACGCATTAAAAATAAGTTACAGGGCCGTCGGAACCTGGGGGCCGAAGAAACCCCCCCCCACCCCAATAATTGTCAAGCTATAGTATATTTCTTTTATACTGAATGAGTAGGAATACAATGGATAGCCCCTTCTTCCTAATATGAACTTTGTTCTGACGGCACTGAGTTACATGATAAAACTGCAATATTCACGAACAAGTTTGAGCTCTTTAATACAGCCAGCTATACCTAGCCTATCATACACTAAATAAGCTAGTTTTGTTTTCAGTATCTACTTTTGTCAACTGCGCGCACTAACAAACATCAACAACTGTGTGTGGTATCATGTGACCCGTTTGAATCATTGCAACTCTCTGGACACAGCGCATGCGCGAGTGGCCAGCTAAGAGATCGTTGTAGCACAGAATAATACGCTTGCTCCTCTGTCGCGGGCAACTGCGTTTTAAGCAATGTTGACAATAGGCACCATCCTTCTTGAAACATGAAGACGTCCTTGCATATAATTCGATTATCAGCTTTTTACTTAATTACTCTTTTAGACCGACTCGAAATTAGAAATTCATAGCTTGTACCTTTAAATGGTAAAATGTAAGGTCATATCAAATTTTTAACATAAACTATCAATATTTTAGGAGAGGATTAAAGAGTCTCTCTTAACCGCTGCGGAAAGATGACATTTCCTAAATTCAGACCTAATTAAGCAGAATATGAATAAGTTACCGCACGAATCCTCAGGGAAAAGAGAATTTACGTTCGATTTAATCTTTTACTTTCAAGGACGAAAGACTTGGTCACTAGATGGTTATATTTCAGAATTTTATAGCTATGAAGTTCCGCCTCTCTGTTTCCCACACAGTTCATCTCTTTGACGTCCAATGCACAACTACCTATAGCCCACAGCACAACTATTGTACTTCCACAATGAGGGATATGCCAAAGTCTAAATCGAGTTTTTAGCATAATTTTGATAATTATTGACAACAGGTGGCAACTTAAATGAAAGGTGTGCATAAAATAAAGGAAAACACCATAAAATACTATACAAATATAAGCGCCTGTCTTTTAGGATATTCTTAGAACAACGAAACGTTCTAAACAGTTTTAACAGTTCAAAGTTACATTAGCTGTTTGGGAGAGAAAAAAGGGGGAGTCAGCGTATGACTTTAGCAACAACAGAAAATGAAAACAATGGTAATGACTGTCCGTATAAAAATGTTTGGATATTTTGTAGCACCCTAAACTAGCATTTGATCGACTTGCAGGAGTCTAATCCAAGCTTAGCTTCATTGCTTCAAAAACATTGCCTCAATTGTGGTCTAGAAGGCATCCGGAAGCTCGCGGAATAAACAAAAAAGGCAAAACTGACTTTCTTTTACGATATAACTTTTTTAAGAACTGTTTTCCATGCGTTTTTTGTTTCCTGGCTGTATACACCTGGTTAGATCGAACACTTTTTTTGCCTTGTTTAAAAAGGCTTCAGGCTACTTACTTGAACCAGAGTATAATATCTTTGCCGGATTCATTTTGTAGGGAATTTGACAGTTTAACATAGTGAGAAATAGGTAGTATCACAAAAAGACAAGTTAATAATGTTACACAGACAGTGTTGTGCTCTGTTTGTGAGTTGCCAAGAGCTACTGGATTACCGTTGCATTGTACTGCCCTCTAAATGATCCAACCCACACAGTATAATATTTAACAAAGTGACCAGTCGTCAGTGTAAAACAGGTTAACGAGTGTAGATTGCCAAACATATAACAACATGATACGAGGATTGACTGCAATATCAAATCAAAAATCAGGGTCAAACATGAAATTAATTTTTTTCTTGAAACTTCATCCTCGTTCTCAGTTACATTTTAACGTTTGCAGACAAATCATCACTTTAGAGGAAATTACTTTAGAAACAATTATCTCAAAACAGCTGTATAGAGATTTAATCCAAATTTTTATCTTGCTGGACTCAAATTTTGGAAGGATTTGTGAAATGATTTAGGCTGATGTAATTTCTTCGTTTTGTTGTGCCAGTACATGAGAGGCGGTTCCGTTGTGCTAGTTCATGTGCTTTGTTTATGTCGTTTACATGAGGTAGACTGGGATCGAGCAATGGCGCAGCGGAGCCGCGTTAGAGGTCTTGAAAATCTAGTACAACAGCAAACGTCCAAAATTTATCTTTTATAAATTTTTCACTCTCATTAATTTTGGCATTAGCAACTGCGCATCAGTTTTCACTATATCAAATGTTTAACCTAGTTTTGTGTCCGCATTCGACCCATAATTTTTAATACTGGTCTCCACGCTATGCTGTAACCAATAGAACCCTGGTGGCAAGTTTGTGGAAGCACAGAAATTGGTTTTTAGACAATTTGCCTTTAAAACAGTCATCCGCACCATTTACCTATAGCATAGCTATAAAAGTGTTCACCATTAACCTACGAAGCTTACTTCGAAGAGTTGAAATATTATACCACGATTATGCCTAAACCCATACTTGTTCAAAGGAAACCCGTTTATAGGAAACTTACTGATAAAAGGTCTGAGCGATTAAGAAACTTTACTAGTTATGTGTTTCATTTCTAAGAAAAATGCATGAAGTGGCTATAGGGAATTACTTTATCAGACAGAGGCAGAATACTTTTACTCGTACAGACAGACACAGTAGACAAGCAGCTCTAGAAAAGTTATTTCTGCTTACATTTCAAATAAGTCTTTAAATTTAAAAATCCGAACGGCTTCATAACAAATTCCTGTTTCTAAGCATCATATACTTTTAATCAATAGCTGATCAACTGCAGCTGAAAGAGATGAAGCTAAATCCACAAAGCTGTTAACCTAGTTTCTGATTTCCTTGTTCAAACACTAGGAAGATAAAATTGGCGCAACCAAGGAGCCAGTCACTAGCGAATTCAGCAGCATAAGGCAAACACTTTCATCCTCAAATCTAAAGTAGAAACCTTGTTAAGTAGGTAAAAGTAATTAAGTAATAGCATCATCTTTAAGACTTTATTGGCCCAGAAATTCCTATTCGTGCCGAGTACCTCAGTGATGTAGAGGACAAATGATAGTACCTCAGTGATCTAGAGGACAATTGATAGCACATTTATCCACAAAATGCCAATAGTCCATAACTTTATAATTAATAAATTCACTTTTACTCATAGCCACAGCAGTTGTGACCTTTTTCTTCTTCATAATGGAAATTTTGACTTTTTTGCCCCTAACTGGCACCCTTGCCTAAAAACCGTACCTATGTTGCTCTTTCTCCGAATTTGAAAATTGCAGATCTCTCTTAGATAATAATGCAGTTACATAGCGCAACCTAAATAAATTTGAAATTTGGTTTTAAGACACCAAAGCTTCAGATGTAAATTCAAAGTTGAGGGGAGAGTTGAAAATAACAAACAAATAGCAGAAGATTTCTACTCAATTGCTTTTACTCGGAAAAGAGAATATTTTTTGACAGCAGTTTGAGTGCGTTGAGAGAAGGTTTAGTTATCTGGTTCAATATATTTTAGAGGCTAGTTGCTGGATACGAGATGACTTTTGACAAGCTTTTGCTTTTAGAAGTGGGAGTTGTAGATCTGTATTAGTTTTAGTTAAACGGAATGTACGATCGTTGTTTCCTGAGCATTTCTAAAAAATGCCCAGTATGTAAGCAAGGGCAAGCCCAAGCATTAACTTATACGTTTAACGTTGAAGTTTCGTTTTGCATTAGATCAGAAAACCGTGACCCTCTGTACTCCTATATAGTGAAAAAGCTTGGATTGTATTTGCTAGCCTTATTCAAATTACTGTTCGTAATACTGTTCGTATTCCTCTGACACATGGACTGATATTAGATGTTTCTACACTATAGAATGTGGTAAAAAGACAGGTGGGATACGCACATTAGATGTTGGCCCCCATGGGTATTACATAGGTTGAAGACTTATATTAGAAACTTCCAATGCATGTCAAATGGGGACTACACATTTTAAAATCGCTATAAAAATCCAAACATTATCCTGCCAAAGAAATCAATAATTAAGTATCAAGCAGTCAACATCACTAACTATATGTTTAGGTATAAAAAGAAATAGCGATCCAGATTTCATTGCGGAAACCATTAGTTGGATGTTGATTTTAGATAAAATAGTTAGAATAAACAGGTGCATACATTTATTATTAATAGGAGATAAGAAGGATTGCCAATAATCCAATATCAAAGTGCCGACATGGTCGCTCAAAATTCACTTATAAGACGACTTTGCCAAAGTATTAATCATGGGGGTTTTAGGCTAAATTCCATCGACATCACATGAGCAAATTATGACGCGAAATCCATCTTGTTCTAGACAGAACGTGCTTCTAACTTGGGAAGACTGGGGAGGGTAATGTGGGAACGATATTTCTATACAGCAAGAGGCAACGTGGAGATCTCAATATATCAAAGGGGTTCTTCGTGTGAAAAAAGTTTGCAAAAAGTTTGGAAGAGTCTTAATGGGAACCTGGCAGAGTTGGGGTACACGGAAGGACGGGGTAGGAAAATAGGCTAGAAAGAAATTGGCTTTGCAATGCGTTACAAAAAGCAGGTTTCCCTGCATTCGAATAAGACATGGTCGACTGACAACCATCAGAGAAATTCATTGAAAAAAGCACAACCTGACCTCAAGCACTGTGGTTCACCTGGTGGTTAAAATAATTTAATCAACGGATATTGCAGCTTAATGCAATTCTGCTTATCTTGGTTTTGGGGATGTTCTAAGCACAGACCGTGAAAATTTAACCATAATAATTGCAATTACCTTATAAAATAACAAAATTTTGACAGCCATTTCCAAGTGATTAACATCTTTAAAAAGACTTAAATATGGAATGTAATATCTCAGAACATTAAACGAGAACCAGTGGCGGACACCTGAGGAGTGAGGGAATTGACCGCCCCTCCCCCCCAATACTTTAGAGGACAATGGTCTTTCTTTCTAAAACAATGGGAAATGTGACGTCATCACCAATAGGCTTGCCCCCCACCAATATTTGACCAAGTGTCAGCCCCTGCCGAGAACAGATTGAAATCTATCAAAAACGGTACCCACATTCTATCCAAACGGCAGGTCAGGCGAAAAAATTCCCAAAAGTACAAAAGTAGCTCCTCAAAGCAACTTGGTCACAAACAAGTATTGGTTTGAGTTACTTTTACGAACCTAAAAATAGGTTGGGGTTGAGCTTTTGCATCGAATCAATGGGCGCTTCGAACTGTTTCGTTTCATTGTCAAACACAATACTTTAAAAATTACAAGCAGTTAGCCACATCGTGATAAACATTTGATAAACTGACGAAAGACATTGTAATATCTTATCATGGTAAGTCTGTATCTCGTCAGTTCGGAGCTCTCAGATGAAAAAGAGAAGTTAATTTACAGGATCTATCAAATGGCCCTTGAAATTTATTCATTTACACCTAATCAAAGTATAACCAAGCTCAACATGGTAGCAGCGATGCACACTCAACTGAGGATGTCGATGGCAAAGATGATGGTCACGATTGTGATGATTAGATGATTGTGATGACGATCTTTATCAAATAATATTGTTGCCACCAATTATTGCCCTCACTTTTCAGAAATCTTTAAGACAGGACTTTATCCCCATTAGCTCCCAATCCTATTTGACATATTTTAGATACTAAATCACTCTGAACAAGATATCTCTTTTCAGTGTAATGCAAACGCGAATCTTCAACACAGGAATGTCTGTGCTAAGTTTGGAACGTCAGCCTAAGCCACAAATACCATTCACCCTCACAGTCATCTGAGGGGTCTCATCTCGTTCTTTTTGCGATACACGCTTGAACTAAATTAGAAATTTAATGGAATGGATTAAGGATTAGGCCATAGGATGGTAGAAGGATATATGCTAAGCTTATTAGATAAGAACACAGCAAACTACCATAGAAGGCTTGCAGAATGACTGGTGATTATCTAAATAAAGAAGTCACGTGTTAAAATGACTTACTGGCTAGCCTCATTCAAAGAAACTTGCTTGATACTTTTATCCACTTTGAGCATTGCGACCTAAGAGAAAATATTTATAAAACAATAAATTAAGGTCATGGCCACATCAAGGAAGGTAATTTGAACGTGCTTGATAACATTTGCAGAGTAGTCATTTCGGTGCAAACTCGAAATTTTATTCGATTGGTGGGCCAATTTTAACAGAGAAATGAAACACAGAAAGATTTTCTACGGTGGTTTTGTTGTTGTCTTTCCGTGCTGGTTTGAAAGACAATCCCTAGTGAAAAGGAGAAGACGTACTTGATACGACAGGGTTTAGATTAGATAACAACCTGAAAAATGCCCACCCATCTTATTCTGGAAAAAAGCTTTGGATTGCATTCAAAAGCCTTTTCATAATTAAGTATTCGTTAAAATCACTATCTAATTGCAAAAACTTAATTCTATACATAGGGATGCTCGAACAAATATTCAAGATAGAAATTAGAATGCAATTTAAGTAGAAACTTACCTGGCTGGAAAGAAAGACTGAAACTGAATGCCATTCACCATCGGAAACTGCCACAGCATCTGCTAATAATCTACGAATTCTGCTGCCAAAATTGTACGAAAACTGCAGTTTGCTGTTGATAACCTCCAGCGCAACGAAAGGTGACATCGCTCCTTCTTCTGTTCTATGAAATCCATACATCAGGAGACTATGCTTGTCGTAAGTTGCAAAATCAAGAGAGACATTGAGTGCCTGTTGTGGGACAACGCCTTGATTTGTAGATAGGTACGATAAAGCTGAAAAAGTCATTGGGTTGATTTCACAGAATCTTCCCAAACTCCCGAACTTACATGTGCATTTAAAGGAAACATCAGTCAAACTGCATATTCCACCGAACAAACACGGGTTTGGTTTGCAAAAATCGATAGTACTCTCGCAGTTTTTTCCAGTAAACCGTGCTGCGCATTGGCACTGGTAACCTCCGTTGGTGTTCACACACTTACCACTGTTCTGACATGGTGATGCCAGACATTCATTGACGTCATCTTCACAGAAACTGCCAGTAAAGCCTTTCCTGCATTCGCAGTGACGTGCTAATACTCCAGATACGCGGGTCTCTAAACACACTGCACCGTTTCTGCATGGATTTGGGACACAACCAGATGACATTTTTTCACAACGACGCCCGTAAAATCCTGGTTTGCAACGGCAAGCAAAAGTGGCCTCGAAATACACACCAATAAATACAAGCTTTTCAGAGTTCCAAGTCACTGGATTGTTTCCAATTTCCTTCAATTCATAGCACGTACCATTATTATTGCAAATTCCCGACGAGGTGCATGCTTTGTACGGTACTTCGATATGGGAGGCACCAGTTACTTGTTGAAGTTGTGACCTGCTTCCAAGTATTCTGCTTTCAAGACCATAAATTGCTCCTGCAGCAAACGTAGCTCTATCTTGTTGAATAACAAGCATGTCAATCGTATTCGGGGTTTGTCTCATGTAGCCAATAACACGGATAACTTTTGATGAAGGAGAAATTACTTCTAAGGCGCTGTTAAGGCGGAGAACCATATCATTAGTAAACTCTGTTACTGTTTTCGAGATGCCATGCAGTCTTAATACCATGGTTTTGTTGGCAGTAGCATTTGCAATAAGCACATGATCAATATACACTGAGTCCTTAACGGTAATGCCATGTGTCTGTGCTGTGAAGTTCAGGTGCCTTTTTTCAGCAGTTCTGTGCGATGCAATATGAAGCTGGCATGAAGACGTTTCGAAATGGAACAAAGACGCAACATGATCCAATGAGCAAGCATACATATCAGTGGTGTCTGGGTCTTTCGGTGATAAATCTCCAATTAGTCCACCAGAGGGGTACAAGCCAAGGGTATTGATGATGACGGAAGCATTTCTCGGCTTTGGTGTGACGTCACTTACATCTAGTACTGTAATGATACAGTGCGCTCTTGACTTCTGTGGAGGAGAGCCATTGTCCGTCACGTCGATTGACAAATTATAGGCTGCTGTAGCTTCTCTGTCCAAAGCGGAACTAACTGATAATTCACCTTTTGCATTAATTCTGAAAGGCTGACTGCCTTGTATACTGAAAACAAATGGTCCTTTGTTTGGATCGATGTCGTTGTCACGTACAGCAACCACTGTAACAATTGTACCGATTGTCGCATTCTCCTGGACCATACCGTCGCAGTTGGAGATGCTTGGCTTGTTATCATTAGCATCGAGTATTTTGATTGACACTGAGGTAGTGTTTGATGCAGGCGGCAATCCGCTATCTACAGCCTTAACTGTGACAATGAAGTTCGCTACTTGCTCACGGTCGATTGCAGAGCTAACAGTGATTAAGCCAGTTCTTTTGTTGATAATAAATGCTTCAAAGGGTGACTGCTTTGTAATTTCGTAGGTTATAGCTCCTCCAGACTTTGCATCGGTATCAGTAGCAAGAACGGTAAAAACTGACTTGCCAATGACAGAACTCTCCACAACATTGACTGTATAATGTGAAGATGAAAACATGGGTGGTATGTTTAACGGCTTGACATCTACATGTATCACTGCTTCGTCAATTTCACTTGGGGATGAAACAGGTCTAATATCATTTTTAACAAAAATTGGCAGCACATACCGTCCAATTTCCAATTTTCTGCGAACCTTCAGAACTCCACTAGCCATATCCAAGCTGAAAAAACTCTTTTCGTATGAAAATTTTGGCAGGTAAACAAGAACACCATCAACACCATTGTCTTTATCCACAGCAAACACTGTTCCCACACTGCTGTTGATTGCAGAAAACTGAGAAATCGAAAAATTGTATGATTTCTTTGTAAACCGTGGATTGAACTCATTTACTCCTTCAACAGTTATGTTTACATTGACACTTGATGACAATTTTGTCGAACCATTATCTGTAGCTAGTACTTTTATGTCAAAAAAGGAATTCTGCTCATAGTCAATGCTAGTTCTTGTTCTAATAATGCCACTTGCTGAATCAATAGCAAAATAGCGACGACCTAATGGACTTGAAATATCGTATGTTACTGTGTTGCCAGGAGGTGAATCTTTGTCAGTAGCCAGTACTTGAATGACAAATGTGTTAGATGGGACGTTTTCTTTCACTTTAGCTTCATAACTTTTCAATGAAAATACAGGCAAGTTGTCATTTACATCAGTGACAATGACACGAACAACAGCACTTGAGCTGCGAATATTGACTTTACCGTGGTCAAAGGCATTGATTCTTAGATTATATGAACTCACTTGTTCATAATCCAAAGGTTTGATAAGATACAGTGAGCCGTTATTTGAGCTAATGGCAAATGTCTCATGAAGGTTTCCACTTGCAACAGTATACCTTAGTAATCCGTTGTCACCAGTATCCTCATCCCGTGCTAGGACAGTAAGTAACTCTTTGAAAACCTGCTGATTTTCAGGAATCTGTTTTTCGTAGGTGCTCTTACTAAATACAGGCGAGTACTTATTTTCTTCAGTGACAGTAACATGTAATGTTGCCGTTGATGTTTGTCTTGGTGTACCTAAATCTTTAGCCTGGATCAAAACTTCTAACATCTTATTCACGTATGACGTCAGTACAGATTTTACTCGCACTTTCGCTCCATCGAGTTTGAACTGACTTGAGCCATTACCGCCTACAATAAAGTACTCTATTTCAGCATTGACACCTGTATCAAGATTATCCACTGCGGAGACCTCAGCTACAACGTGATTAATACTTGATGTTGACTCCACGAATGCTGTATACTTGCTACTTGAAAACACAGGCATGTGGTCGTTTGCATCGACAATACGAACAAACAACGTACCACTGGCAACAAGGAATGGTGGTTGAGTATTTCTTGCTTTCACTGTAAACTGGAGGACATTTTTGCTATTGCTTTCACCAGCTGCAATCTTTGTATAATTCACCTGTCGTTTGAGGCTCAACGAGCCAGTGTACGGATCGATAGCAATATAGCCACGCCCAGATCGTGGCTCAATATGATAAAAAGACAAAGTGTTGATGCCGTAGTCATTATCCTGGGCAGAGACTGTTCCAAATACCTGTCCAACTCTCGTGCTTTCAAGAACATCTTTGAAAATTATCGGTGGTGAAAAGTACGGCGGGGAATCGTTGATATCAGTAACAGTTACTTTCAAGTTGAATATTTTCTGGTAGGTTGGGTCTCTAACTGAAATTGACAACATATATGACGATTGGGTCTCCCTGTCTAGGGCTTTGATTAGTGTTATGCGACCAGTGTTGAGAGTGATGCTGAAAACGCTTGAAATGAGATGAAACGTCACTTGTCCATTTGCTCCCTCATCAGAATCAGTCACGTTCAACGTCATCACTTCACTATTGACAGGGAGTGTCTCAGATACATTGATGTTTTTTGGACTGTGTATTTCGGGTTGGTTGTCATTCAAGTCCCCAATATCTATGATAACATTAGTTGCTGTTGATAGAGATCGCTGTCCAACAGGATACGCAATAACAGGTAGTGTATACTGTTTCTTTTCTTCTCTGTCCAAAGTTCTTGTTGCCCTGACTTCTCCATTGATACTGTCAATAACAAATGGTAAGGTACTTGCACTTGCTCCTAGTTCAAAACGCAATCTAGAGGTCATTGATGGATTGTCTATGTCAGAAGCAATAACACGTGTAACCAATGCATTGCTGCCTTGGTTCTCTATGAACAAAATTGGCGCTGTAGGACTTGTGACGATAGGAGCTGAGTCATTCTCATTTCTGACTGTTATAACCAACTTAACAAAAGCTGACAACGGAGGGTTTTTACTGTCTCGAGCTTCAATCCACAACGAGTAAATGTTCTTAGTTTCATAATCCAATTCCCTGTTCACACTCACGTTTCCAGAGATATGACCTATAGAAAATGCTGCTCCATCATTGCCAGAATGAATGTAATAATAAATCTTTCCAGCAGGTCCCACATCATCACTTGTAGCATTAACTATTTTCAAGGTTGTACCAATGACAGCATTTTCTGATATCGAATCATACAGGCCACCATGAGTAAACTTTGGATAGCCAGTAGCTGCAGTTATGGCAACAGTTGTTGTGTCTTTGAAAGAAGCCTTTGTTGGATCTCTTACCTCAACTTGGATCTCAAACGTCGTGCCTATGGGGATTCTTGTTCTTGTTACAATAACGCCAGTAAGAGCTTCTACACTAACATAGTGTGAAGACCCAGATACAATAGAATATTCCATTCTTGAGTTTGAGATTGTATCTCTGTCGGTAGCCTGTAACTGAGTGACGAAAGTTCCTACAGGTGAATTGAACTGGGTTTTTACTTCGTATCTTTTCTTGCTGAAAACAGGAGGAGAGTCATTATCATCGTCAACAAACACACGAATGACAGCAGATGAAGTTCGTTTTGGATTGCCTTTGTCTGCAGCTTTAATTTCCAAACGATAATATTCTGTATTTGTAGATGAAAGTGGATCTTCTCTTTCTAGTCCTCTTGTTGTGGATACAACATACTCATTACCAATCCTTTTTATTTGAAAACGTCCAAAATCACTCACAAGACTGATGTCTACAGTAGAGTTGACTCCATTATCAAGATCAGTTACCTTCAATCTTTGTACCTCAACATTTCCATTTAGGTTTTCTCGTACATGCTTGGTGGAATTATCTGGTTGAATCACAGGATAATTATCATTATCATCAAGAACATTGGCAAAAACTGTTGTCCTTCCAGTAAGCGACGGAAAACCGTTATCTCTTGCCAGTACTGTTAGCTTAGCCAGACTGAAAGATTCTCTGTCCAATGCATTGACTATGGAAAGACTCCCATTGTTTGGATCAATGGAAAAGAACTTAGATACCTTTGATCTCTCTATGCTATAAATTATTTCACCATTCTTGCCAGAATCCTTATCATTCGCTTGAAGGACCAAAACATTAGGGATTAGAGTGTTCTCCATCACGCTAATGTTGTAACTCGTTGAAATAAAACTGGGTGGCACATCATTAACATCTCCGATTACAATACTCAATGTTGTTAGGCCTCGTCTTTGTGGTACACCGTGGTCTTTAACTTCGATTTCCAAAGAATAACGCGTGTTAACTTCATGATCAAGCGATTTTTCCAAATACAAAATACCTGACTCTGGCTCAATGCTGAACGTATCATTGAGATTTCCAGTTAGAATACTATAAGCCAGGCGCGCATTTTCACCAGAATCCAAATCACGTGACGTTAATTCAATCAAAGTACTGCCAATCATAGTGTTTTCCAAAACTGATATTGACAAAGCATGATGCAGAATAACTGGGTTATTGTCATTAACATCAGTAACCGCTACAGTAACATTAGCAACTGACACCATCACTGGATTTCCACTGTCTGACAAACGAATTCGCATTTTGTATTCTTTTCTAGCCTCAAAATCAAGTCGAGACAAAAGCAACAGGCTTCCATTTTCCATAAGTTCGAAAGTGTGGCCGGCATCATTTGATTCAATAACAGCATACCTGACTGTTGCATTTATACCATTATCTTTATCAAATCCATCAAATGTGTAAACTATAGACCCAACTGTAGAGCTTTCAGGAATGCTAACCAAGTTCGAATTTATTAAGACAGGTGGGTTATCGTTTACATCCAAAACATGAACAGTGACTCTTGCGTATGACATGCATTTTCTTTCGCTCTTTAGTCCAGAGTCAACTGCTTTTACCAGTAAAATGAAAACAGCTTTTTCTTCGCGGTCAAGAGCTCTTCTTGTTCGTATTTCTCCTTTGCTATCAATTCCAAAACTGTCAAAATCATTACCGTGAGTGATCTGATATGTAACGACGCCATTTAAACCACTGTCTTTATCTGTGGCGTGAACACCGACTGCTAACACACCTGCCTGCAAGTTTTCTTCTACAGAAACTATGTAATCCTTCTTTAAAAATATTGGGCAATTGTCATTAACATCGGCTATATTAACAAAAACAGGCACAGTTTTCGAGAGCTTTGGTGTTCCGTAATCCGTTGCTTTCACATCTAGGATAAACGTTTGAATGGACTCATAATCAACGTTTCCAGTTAGCCAAATTTTTCCACTTGAGTGATCAATGACGAATGTATCTGGGCTTTTGTTCAATATTTCATAGTAAACTTCTCCATTGCGACCGGAATCGCTGTCAACAGCAGTCACCTGCCCCACAAGAGTACCATGTGGACTATTTTCTTTTATGGTGAAAATATAATAGCTTGTACCAAAACTTGGCGTATTATCGTTTATATCAGCAACTTTTATTCTCACCCGCGTAACTGTTTTACGACTCCCTTCATTACTTGCTTGCACCAACAAGTTGTAAAACTCCGTCGTTTCACGGTCTAATTGCCTGCTGAGCGTAAGTCTTCCTGAAGATGCACCAAGCGAGAACACTGAAGCACTATTCCCATCGATTATTGAGTATTTGACAACACGGAAGTCTCCAGAATCGATATCAATAGTTTTAAACACATACAGTTCTGATCCCACACTTTGGCTTTCTTTAACAGTTATTTCTTTTGGAGCATCAGTAAATACAGGTGCATTGTCGTTTACATCTTGAATATCAATTTGAACTTCACATTCTACAGTCATTGGTACCGAACTTGACTTTTCAATAGCATAAACAACTAAATTATACTGCCTTGGTCCAAGCTCAAAATCGATCATTTTCCTGCTTGTAATCAGACCGGTTGAAGAATTAAGAAAGAAGGCGTTGTCAGTGTTTCCAGATTTTATGATATATAGCATCTGTGAATTGCTTTGCCTCGAAACTGCATTGAGACTGAAAACATTTGTACCATGCACAACATTCTCAGCTAAATTAACACGTCCCTTGCTGCAAGTTGGAGCGTTTGATGGTGAGCCGAAAACGAATAAATAAAATAGAGCATTAGAAGATTTCCTGTTTTGTAAACTTTGATCACTTGCCATGACTTCAATTTGGAACACGTTCTTGGTAGATGAAAGTGGTGCTATTACTGTCAACTTTCCAGTCAATGCGTTAACAGAAAAACAAGCATGATCAAACTTACGATTTATTGAATACCTCACTGTTCCATTGACACTTTCATCTAGATCGTAAGCAGCAACTGTCATGACTTCCCAACCTGTTGATGTGGTACGTGTGAATCCTGCACCAAATGGCGGCAGGAAGACCGGTGTATTATCGTTGACATCTGCAATGCTGATGGTAACATTCTTTGTACTTGTAAGTCGCTTTGTTGCGTCTGAAGCATTGTTCGCTGCTTGAATTATTAAAAAATAAGAATCAAGTTTCTCTCTATCAAACTGAATTTGAGAAGAAATCTGACAATTCACTGGATCAACTTTAAAGGCGTTTTGCACAGGACCTTGCTCAATTGCAGTGTATCGAATAACCTTGTTGCTGCCAGAGTCCAAGTCTGAAGCAGAGCACTGACCAATCACTGAAGACAACGCTGCATCCTCTGGAACAATAATAATCGACGGCTCGGGGTTGAATTGCGGGTAGTGATCATTCGAGTCTGTCACATCAATTCTCACACTTATATTTTGGTGCAAAGATGGCGTTCCACGATCACTGGCAGTTATTACAACAAAGTACATTTGCTTTGTCTCATAATCAAGTTCGCCAATAGTGTACAGTTCTCCAGTGTAAGGGTTAATTGCAAATGTTCCCTTGACAGAACTTGACGTCAAATAATACACTACAAAGCCATTCTCCCCTGAATCTTTGTCAGTGGCATTAAAAGTGGAAATTGTTGTTCCAACAACAGTACTTTCACTCACAAACAATGACGTCACTGCACCATTGAAAACAGGCTTATTGTCATTTGCATCAGAAACGTAGATATGAACTTGGCATGTCGAAGATAAAGAAGTATTTTTTCCATCTTTTGCAATTAATGTGAAGTTATATTTATCCTTTCTTTCATAATCCAGTTGAGGAGTGATTGGTCCTGATTTCAAAAGAATTGTACTAGTACCTCTGTCTATAGTAAACAATGTTTGGCTAGGCCACATTTCATAAATGGTCGCAGAATTTTCATTGCCATCTCTATCAACAACATGAAATTTCAAAATAGAAGTTCCAGGGGCAGTTGTTTCTATAACAGTTGCACTATAAACTTGTTTTTCAAATACAGGCCCATTGTCATTTTCATCTTGAAGTGTGATCATCAGAATACAGCTTTCTTTATTAACTACATTGCCACTCTGTTGCTCTGCAAGTACTAAGACAGTTAAATTTTCATGGCCATAACTTAAGAATATCTGCTCTCTGTCCAAACTTTGATTTGCCTTTATAACACCATCTCTTTTGTTGATAGATAAAAATGGTAGTAAACTTCCAAATTTGAAAGATATCATGCTGTTTCCAGATACAAGGTTATCACTCATATTTGCAACAGAAATGTTTGGTGGGCTGTTTTCCTTCAAAACTGAATACACAACAGGCTCTTTAAATATGCTCCTTTTTGCTCCCTGTTGCTGAACAAAAATTGAAACTTGTGCAGAACTTGATTTTTTGGGATTTCCTTGGTCAAATGCAGATACGTTAAGTAAAAAATAATCAATTTGGTCACTTAAAGACAATGTTCTCAAGTAGATCCAGCCACTGGGAAACACACCAAATGTATGTCCAACATTGCCACTTGAAATTTTGTATAAAACTCTTCCATTTCCTTCATAGTCATAGTCATTTGAACTAAGTTTTAAGAAGCGGCTGTTTACAGTTAGATTTCCTGGAATAATTACACTGTAATATGACGCTGATAGCACAGGAATGTGGTTGTTAAGGTCAACAAGCCTTATTGTAAATTTTGCATTTCGAACCTGCTTTGGTGTTCCCATATCTGAAACCTGGATGGTAAGCACAAACTTTTCAGGGTTTTTTCTGTTCATCAAATTCTTAGTCAAGTAAACAGCTCCAGTTGATTGATCGATTTCAAATATACCATCAGATGGCTCAATGATTGAATACCTCACAACTCCATTAGCACCTGTGTCATAATCAACAGCATTTAAATCAAAAATTTCACTTCCAATTCTGGCATTTTCATTAACAGTGTAGTCCCTTAAAACCTGTTTTGATAAAATTGGTGCATTGTCATTCAGATCATTAACCCAAATTGTCACTTCAGTTTTTGCTGTATGGAAATTTGATTCATTTGTCCACACACCAATAATTAGTTCAGATTTGGTCATTTTTTCCCTGTCAATAGCTTTTTTAGTAAATATTTCTCCATTTTTATTGATTCTAAAAACATCAAATCTGTTTCCAGCAATAATATAATAGTTGATCTGCAACTGTTCAGAACGTGCCAATGTCACCTTCCCAACATACTTCCCAATTACATTTTCATCAACGTTAAATGAAAAGTGATCTCGCTCAAAAGTTGGATTCAAAGAAAAATTTTGTAACACATTCAGTTTAACAGAGACTGTTGCAGATTGTCCATTGCTTACAGCATTAACACTGAAATCATATTTACTTCCAGTAGCCAAAAGCATTGTAGAATTCAAAACACCAGTTAGTGGATCAATCACAAAGAAACTGCAACAGCTACCTGCTACAATGCTGTATTGTATTTGTCCAAAGACACCAGAATCAAGGTCCACTGCAGTCAGCGTGTCAATGTATCCATGAGATTTTGAAGCAAGAACATTTAAATAGAGTTGCCTCATTGCAAAAACTGGTGCATGGTTATCTGTATCAGCAACATTGATCCTAACTTCAGTTTTACCATACCTAGACGGAATACCTTCATCTGTGGCCTGGACATAAAATGAGAATGTGTTCTCTAATGAATACTCCAGCTTGTGTAAAAGAACAATTTCCCCAGATAACCGGTTAATATCAAAGTATTTCTTAACTGAAGCAGATGGATACACAAATTCATAGAATATTTTCCCATCTTTTCCAAGATCCAGATCCTTTGCAGCAACTTTAAGGACAACTGTGTGTATTTGTGCAGTTTCGTTAATTGATATGGCATAAAATGACTGATTGAAAACAGGGGAATTATCATTTGTACTTTCAATAGTAACATTAAAAGTTGTGTTTGTTTTAAGGGCAGGTGTTCCAAGGTCACTGGCTGTTATGGTTAAAAGAATAAAAGGCTCTTTTAAAATTTCAAAGTCAATGACATCTGTAGTGGTAGTGATTAGGCCTGTTAAATCAGATATTTTGAACCAGTGTCTATAGTTGCCATTGGAGATGGAATATCTTACTTGAGATCTTATATCTGTGTCCAAATCAGTTGCTCTCACATAACCAACATAGGTACCAGAAGGACAACCCTCCTTGATTCTAGATGTATATGTACTTCTCTCGAAAGTGGGATGGTTATCATTAGTGTCTCCAACATTGATAACAAGAACAAAATCTGAATGTAAAGATGGATTGCCAGAATCTGTTGCCCTGAGTAACAGAGAAAAGCTACTTTGTTTTTCCCTGTCAAGTTGAGTATTTGTTGAAAGAAAACGGTAACCGTTTCCAGCTGATGTTATTTTAAACTTGTTGTTGATATCTCCAGAGACTATTGATAATAGAACTGGCCCAAAATCTTTATCAGAAAGTTCTATGAAGAAGAAATTATCGTGATTAAAATTTTCAACAAGGGTGATATTTTTTCTTTGGTTTGAGCTTATTATAGGATGGTTGTCATTAACATCTTTTACAGCAACTGCCACAGTGGCAACAGCAGTAAATGCTGGATTCCCTCCATCAGAAGCTTTGACCTTCAATGTGTATGATTTTGTAGTCTCATAATCAAGTATACCCTTGAGAGATATTATGCCTGTTTCTCTACCCACCAAAAACATGCTTGCATCTTGCAATGAGTATTTGATCTGCCCATTGGTTCCTGTGTCCTGATCTGTTGCTCTTAACTGGAGCAGAGTTGTACCAACTGTTGCATTTTCAAATATTTCAGCTTTGTAAGAGGTAGGATTGAATAATGGTGTGTTATCATTTATATCCTCAACTGTAATATTAATTCCAACATGTCCAATTAAACTAGGCACCCCATTATCAGCTGCAGAAATATTAAGATAATATGAATCTTCTACTTCCCTGTCCAGCTTCTGTTTCAGTTTCAAATGAAGCAAGTTTAAAATCACTTCAACACCAAATATGTTCAGTTCATTGCCATTTAAAATTGAATAGTTCAAGACACTATTTGAGCCAGCATCAGGGTCAAATGCACTGTCAATTGGAATTAATGAACCAGCTTCAACAGATTCAGCAATTTTCAAGTTGACAACTGGAATTTTGAATTTAGGAGCATTGTCATTTATGTCTATGACCCTGATCACAACTTCCGTGGCATAAACAGGAGCTGAGCTTAAAACAACATATCTTAATTCATCTGCTCCTAAAGTTTCACGGTCGATTTTAGCACTTGTTGAAATAGAGCCATAGTTTGGGTTTATCTGAAAGTAATCAACTTGCCCTCCAAAATAATATTTGAAACTATTCCTTGTGGTAATATTCCCAACGAATGTCCCAGCTTTTTGCTCTTCCCTTACAGAGAAATATTCGACAGCGAATACCGGTACAAAACACAATAACGCAGCAAAAATAAAATAGATTGCACTACAATTCATGTTTATTGCCAGTTTGTTTCCAGCACATTTGTTTTGTCAATCAATCATTTCAAAACCAATTTAACATCCGCCGTCAGGTAATCATTTCGATAAATTGGGGCATTTAACATTCTTGTGCAAATTCAACATCTTTTCCTAGCTGACAGTCAGTAATCTTTTAGAACAGTGAAAAGAAAATGCCTGTGAATTAAGACAAAAATTACGGGTTTACCGACAAGAAATCTGACAGCGAACTGCAAATAACCACGAAGAGATTAACATACTGAAGGACAGAGTGATTGTATTCTGATGTTAATCGCATTTTCTAACACGCACTAAAGGAAGAGTGTTTATGATTTGAAATTATCATGAATCTATGTAGAGTTACGACATAGGTAGTTGAATATTCATAGAATATTTGAAGATAACTTACCAAAAAGACAGTCATTACATTCAGGTATCCAACGATGGGGAATTATCCTTCAGCATGATTCTCAACCTGGCCTTGAAAATGTCTTGCCTTGTTGGGCAATTCCAGAACTCGAAAAATGCAAAACACTTTCCTTTACATTCAATTACCAAGTATAATGCCTTCTTCCTACTTCCAGACAATTAAAACTACATCCCGTCAACACTGACTGCTTCTCTACTTACTCTTGTCAACCAAGACGAAAGCCCGTTGACTTGGACGCAAATGAACAACCACAAAACCTAACATTAGTTCAAGTGAATTGTTTCTATTGAATTGGATTGCCGCCTTTTACAACCTAACGGGAGATTTGATTCAATCACAGTCAATAGGTGATTCAGTGTCTATTCAATGCATAGTGCTCTAATTAACAAAGCCCACGCATAATTAGGTAAAAGATCAGCTTAGAAGCCTGATAAAAGAATTCAATAAAAATTACAGAGAAAGCGAGGGGTAGATATATTTAGGTAACTTGATACCTTTATTGTGTTTAGAAACCATAATTAAAACACGCATACACGATCATAATTGTAGATCGTGTATGTGTATTTCCAATTATGGTTTTTAAACTCAATAAAAGTACCAAGTTACCTAAATATAATTTGTCATATGACACACGGGATCTCATAAAACCCTTGGCCCAAACTACCAGTGACCGAAAACAAAAAATGACCAGCTTTTCTTTATCACTAGACGACGACAATGATTATGATAATAATAATCATAACCATAATCTTGCTTATCATCATGGTCCATGGTTAATGATGGAGATGATTAAAATTATGATAGATATGAGGAAGCGTTGTCGTGAAAATTGAATGAAAAATGAAAATTGCCCCAAGGTTTCCAGAGTTATCCAAAGAAATCGATCTATTTTTTCTAGAATTAGAAACAGTCGTATTCCGTTCAGAATATCTGCCCTTCCTCATCAATATGAAATGCTGCATGTAGTTTTGCCCTCATTCTAATTAAAGATTTGACAAGACACCCACTTCAATTAAAATCTGCTTATAAGAAAGGAAAAATGAAAACAATTTAAGGAATTGCTTCTCTGTTATTCAATAACGATTCTAATAAAAAGCAAGATTCTTACGATTGTTTCTCAGCTCATAATTGTTTAGGTAGTCATTAGACTGAAGTAGCTTTCTTTTTGAAGACTTAAAAGAGATGAAATTTTTGCTATTTATAATATAGATATATCATAGATTGAATTCAAGTACTTCTGAGAAGTACAAGATTTGTTCCACAACAGCATATGCAGTATTCTTGATAGAAATGCTGGTGATTATGTGTATTTTGAGATCACTGTTCAGCTGCAGGCGCTTTTTGAATTTGAGACTCTTCAGCTGCAAGAATCCTAAAATTTGATAAATGAAACACAAGGTATAGGAAAAGTTTAAAGCATTTTTTCGTAGCCTGTCCTGAGAAGGTAACAACTATTCATCATTAATAACAGTGGATTGGCTTGAAAGTTGATTAAGCCAACTTTTTGCACCCCACCCAACCCTCTAGAAAAAATGGAAAAAACTTTGTTCCCAATGAACAATTACTTTTGTTTCCATTCTTTTGAATTAACGGTGCCCCAGAACATTTTATCCTTCTTGCGTCACAGCTGCTAGTTTCTGATCATATCATTTGCAGGCCTTTCAATAAACTCCGTTTCTACTTGTTTATTTGGCTATACCCGCACAACAGTCTCTGATTTGGCTTCGATTATGTATCGATCTTTGGAATTATCAACGCACATGTTAAACTCAAGATCACCAGAGTTCAAATATTTTTAAAAAGCTCAGATTGCAATGGCCTCTATCAAAGTTTTGATACATTTCCTTTCGGCACTTAAGTGGCATATTGCAATCTTCGGTCCAGCCATTCTCTTCAAAAAAATCCTTTCGCTAACAAGGTCCTATTCATATTAACATCATACCTAGAGCTTGTATTACGTCTTATAGATCTCCAGGGATTGGCAATTCCTTCATTTAGAGAAACGTATTAAGCTGTAATAGAGACATCTGGCGCAGTACAGAACAGTAGCTGTAAACCGTGTAATCTTAAACAAGTTTTTCTTAATAAAACAGAACTTTCCAAAGAGAATGACTAAAAAACAAGGGGTGTTGTAGTAGCATTCTTAGAAAAATAAAGCAATTGCATTTTTACGAGAGACGGAGTTCTTGAGGGGATTTGCTATGAAATCTTAGCAACTGGATATTCAGGCATCCGAACAAACCCTAGCAAGAGTAATCTATTTCACTTTCAAGTTCTGCGGGTAATTACTTCTTTATATATTTGAGGCTTGTTTAAAGGGTTTGAACGCATATACTGTGCATTTCTGCCTCATAACGGTCGATAAATATATTCAAGACAGTCCTGCGGCCAATTTTTCAAGACAATCCTGCGGCCATAAAGGTCGATAAAATTTCTAACAAAGGAACACAAGAACCATTTCGCTATAATTGACAAAGAAAAAGAAATTCTTACGGCAAAAAGGGGGCATAGAGTAATTTCTCTTTTCAAACTATTTCTGGGTTAGCCCCGTAAACAATTTTTCCATCTTGTCTTATTAGCTAATTCCATTGAGATAGGGGGAAAAGTTTGAACCGTCTCGTGTTTCTTATGGCTTTCGGCGGTTGATGCTAGGTGGTTCTCTTTAAGGAGGGGCATGAAGATTTGAACTTTTCCTCAACCAGCTTGATACTATAGACTTTTTTCAATAAAAAGATATTTCCTACATTTGCTCGATGATGTCATATTTCTCGTTAATTTTAGGCTTGAGTGTTTTTCATGCTGTCCTTATTTGAACATTGCGCAGGGTTAAAGGTATTACTGGCATTTGCATTTAATATATACTCTTCTTTAGCATTCATTACAGTTTTTGAAGAATGTTCGTTTGTTTAGTAGTTGCAAAGCTCCCTCTATTTTCCAGAGATGTTGGTGTAGCCCACATATTTCATTCAAAGAAAGCATTTTCAATCTGTAAAATAAATTCCAGTTTTAACTTACTTGCGATTTTAACCTTAGCCTAAGAGACGGGGGCACTGCGATTTGTCGTGAATTCGGAAAGTTTGAACCTAATTTTTCAGATATCAAAGAATTTCCAGCTAAGAATATTAGTCTCGCAGTGCTCACTTTCTGCGGTGTTCAATTAACTATCTGACTTAATAAGCCTTCAAGCATATTACAGTTGGCACTAAGTAAAGAAGCATTACATTCGGATTTCAGAATACAACGTAAATACATTGCATTACCGAAAAGCCTTTTTGAATGAAGAAACCAGGAAATATCTAATTCTCTCTGCTTCACACTGATATCTCGTGAGACATATTGATTGCTGAGGACTTATTCAAAACACACACAAAAGCGTAGGGTAAAGCAAATGTTTGTTAATACCAATACCAGGCTACAGTTTCAATTGCTCTTCTATGCACTGAAGGCTCAACCACGTCAGCAGACAACAGACATCTAAATCTTATCACCTTTACAAGAATAGGCCAAACTAAGATCACGCTCTGAAGAGGTGCGACGTTGGAGTAAACTGCTAAGGGTTCATACCTAATTATATGCTCATGCGCGACACAGGGCCAATTTTCAACGTTGTTAGGTGGGGAAGGGGAATTGCCCTCCAGCCGCGATGACATTTCTTTGTTTGAGATAGCAGACTTTTGTTTTGAAGAAAAAATGCTTGACTTCTCCCTTCAGCTGAAATCTTTTAAAAGTAGTAGCACGACTGTCGAGCCTTGTAAAAATGCGATGTTTCGTTTAGCAAGTCTATGGATCAATAACACTGTCTTGAAGCGTCGGTTTATTTTAGCAAGATTAATACACATTCCAAAAAATATCGTCCAAGACACATGCTTCCCTAAAGCCTTATTAAGCGATCAGTTTAATTTTTTTTCAGTTTCAGTTCACTTTACCTATCATCATCAACAAAAATGAAAACAAAATGAAAAAAAGACAAGACCAAACAAATTGAAGCCATGCAACGCTTGTAAAAAAACAACAGACATAATCTTCCAATCCTATGATGGGAAGAGGATAGGTGGCGTCTCTAGCAAGTGCTCTTGTTCTGAATAAAAGCAATTGCCTAAGGCCATTGGCCTCTGTGGAAATGGGTCAGTTTTGGAATTTCTATGTAATCTACTTTTGACAACATGGCGCTATTTGCCTGGACACATACAAGAGCGACCATTTTATAACAGCGCGAGGCGGTAGCAAACTATTGGACTTCATTTTGCTCATAAAGGTCGTCTCTTTTAAGCTTTTTAAGTATTTTTGTCACTTGAAAAAAGAATAATGATTCTAGAAATGCTCAAAGAAATGAAAGCCGTAGCTTGTAAGAAACAAAGTCAACGTTCACGCATATTAATTGAAACATTTTGCATAGGAAAAACGAGCGAATGTTTTTCGCAAAACCAATAAACTCCAGTGTGGTGCTGTAATGGCTTGGTTTGGGATGTACCAGGCAGAACATGGCGTACCACCGTGCGGCAACCCAAGTACTTCTGTCATCAACATAAAGGTAGAAAAGCTATATAATTTGTGGAAATCTACCATCTGAAGCTAGAGATCACAGCATGGCACAAAGTCCGGACATGGTACAGAGTCCGGGCATACATCGAGTCTTGGCATTGTGCAAAGTCTGGAAGTATGTTCGCCTTTTTCCTACACTACCTTTAAGTGAAAGCAAGGTGCAAGGTGAAGATTGGGATATAACCTTTTTTGCATCTGTTGATCTTCCTCCCAGTCTTCGACCTATGAAAACCACCTTTTCTATGCTTTGCAGCACTTCTTTCGGCAGGAGGATGTGACGATAAACACAAGGATCTGGGTGCATTTTTATACATTCAACGTAATTTGTACAATTCTTATTTAGGAATGTAATTCAAGCATTTCTTTGAAGATAAACACATTAAACATCTTGAAAGTAATTTTGTACAATTGGCAGACCTCACAGTCTTTAACATGCCTTAAGTTTGAGAACTAAGCAACTGTTATGCATGAAGAATTTAATCTAAGTTCATTATTTACAATTTTTCCCCAAAGAGAAGGCGTAAAATTATGGAAAAGCTCAGTTTTGATCCTGTTTGTCGCTTTTAGCTGGTGCTGCTGCAAATAATGATTTGGAAAGGGCTAATTGGCCTTTTTTTGGGGGGGGGGCGGTGGGTTCTGTAGTTTCTGCTAGACAAAGCAAACACAGCCATTTTACGCAAGACAGAAAGGCAAGTCTATTGACAATGCAAATATAGTCCGTTGCAGAATGGAATACAGAATCAGTCCGACAGCTATGAGTAAACAGTGATATAGCCTGCCTTTATTTGGCCCATCAGCCATCAAACTTAATCTTTCCAGGATTCATCGCGTTAAGAAGCAGTCGAATTTGGTCTCTGTTCGTCTAGTAATGCATCTGTGGCTTCCGGCTCGAAGCAATCTCGGCACATACACAAATCTTTACTTAACCCACGTTGTCAAGGTGAAAAGATAAAGGAAAATGTTATTGAGTCAGCTTGAGAGAGGGGGTGTTTTGAGACAGCATTGTGTAGCAGTATACTAAAGTAACTAAATCGTGCCTTAGATTATGACTCGCAAAATCTACAAAATCATATTCTGCATACTGTTTTCCGAATTTTAACTATTCACAGGGAAGGGGTATTGCTGAATCCCGTATAGCTGGAAGTTCACCGAAATTTATGCAAACTTAGTGTCTGGTGAGTAAATTATAAGATAGGAGGGCGTGTGTTTACCTCTGAAAAATTTGATCTCAGATCATCTGCAAACGATACAGTCGAGATTGTAAAGGGGCAGTTAATCTTTGATTTCTAAAGACTTCAAAATCAACAAACTCATACAAATGTTTGTAAAATGAGCTAAAGGAAAATGTTCCAGACTTTTCCATTGATGCTGAGCAAATTTTTTACTTCAAAAAAGAAACAAGTTTTAACGATATGGTCTGGGGAATAACGCACGAAAGCTTTGGATGACGTATACGGCAGCTAATACGGTTCAGCTCGGGCCTAGGCTCCTACTTCTACGTTGCTAAAATGCTCAACGACCTACGGAATTTTATAAGTCCTTGACTTTGCCTATGTCAAGCAAGAATTCAGCTCAAGGCTTCTCTTTGTCTGGATTAAAGCCAGATACGGCTGATTTGGAAGAAGATTTCGCTTTGCAGTAGAGCCCGATGAAAAATTTCATCAATCAAGCCCACTCAAAATAAATACATACCTACTAATGCCTCGTTTCAAATAAAACGAATCCGCTTTAAAGTTAACAACTATCGATTCAAGCGAGAAATAATTGCTACGTAAGTCTAATACGCTACGGCTGGCGGAGAGAAGAAATTAAAAACTAAAGGGTTATGAATTGGTGTACGTGGCGTAGGACATGGATAGATCAGATCCATGTCACTGCCTGGCTTTGCTAAGTGAAGAGTCGGTTCGGAGATTGATCTAGTGATTTTCGGAAGGGCACGCATAATTGATTCAATATTTGCTAAGATCTACGATAAAAAGAGCATGGTTAGAGATAGGAATCTTTTAAGTGTAGAAGGGTAGGGTAATGAAAGATTCGGAGAGGGGGCAGACCAACGAGGAAGTAAGAATAGAAAAAGGAAAGGAAAGAAAGCAATCAAACAGAAAGGAGGAATCAGAAAGGTTTGAGAAAGATAATAAAAGAAATGAAAGGGTAAAGGCTGCAAGGAATCGACAAGAAGGAAAAAGCAGACAATGAAAGAAAGGAAAAAATCATTCAAACTTCAAATACCACCAAAACTGCTTCAATATTGCAATTTACATTGAAATGCATGTCGCATATCAACCTCCAAGAGCATTTTTATGGCTATATTTCAAAGTATTTATGCAAAGATAACAAGGTTGAATCTAGAAGGGATAGAGCCATACAACAGATTAATTAATGGTTTTCAATATGTTGTAAACATTCATTAAACCGATAATGAAGAAAGAGCCAAAATAGGTTAATCTTGACACTTAAAATGTACGCCACACCGTGAAAGAAAATCTTCACAGAAATCCTACGATATGAATTGTATATACAAAAGATAAGATTGAATTTTGTGTTCAAGAGGACAGGCTGTTTAGTTAGGGAGATAAAACAGGTCAAACTTACTGGTCTAAACAATGGCCGTTCTTCTCGCTTGTACTTGATACAATCGGTTAAAAGCCTCCTAAATGACTTTGGACAGTCAGTGCGAATTTTGTTCATATCTGGTCTAAGGTATCCTCTACCAACCATATAGATGATCTAGAAAAAAACAGTCTCATCAAATGGAGCCAGGAGAACCGACAAATATCTCAGAGTTAGAAAAGAGTGCCCCTTATCTCACTTTTTATTGAACACTTTTATTGAGCACACGTTTCTCTTGTCTTCCTTGCATTAGTTATGGTTTGGTTCAGATCGTCATTAGTGTGATGCCCCATAGAGAGTCATTAGTATTGATGCCCCAAGGAGGCTCTTCTGATTTGAACAAAGGAGCCTGGGGGCTTATTTATTTTCTCATAAGATTTGGAAAGGATGTTTCGGTAATGTAGATAAATTAAAAGAGAATCATTAGATATTCCATGGGGTGATTGGCAAACCAGAGGGCGCCAAATTTGACATAGGCTTTCTGAGGCTGGACATAGGCTGGACATAGGATATTAAACATTTAAATGGGCGATTATTCGAGAGGGGTGCTAAAGGATGCTGGGCGTGTTAATCGAATCAACAGAAAGTTTCTATACACACTGAAATTTCTTTTTGTCTTAATATGCATGGTTAATATGCATGGTTAATATGCATGGTTAATATGCGTGGTTAATATGCGTGAAATTTCTTTTTGCCTCAATATGCGTGGTTAATATACGTGGTTAATATGCGTGGTTAATATGCATGGTTAATATGCGTGGTTAATATGCGTGAAATTTCTTTTTGCCTCAATATGCGTGGTTAATATACGTGGTTAATATGCGTGGTTAATATGCATGGTTAATATGCGTGGTTAATATGCGTGAAATTTCTTTTTGCCTCAATATGCGTGGTTAATATACGTGGTTAATATGCATGGTTAATATACGTGGTTAATATGCGTGGTTAATATACGTGGTTAATATGCGTGGTTAATATACGTGGTTAATATGCGTGGTTAATATGCGTGGTTAATTAATATGCGTGGTTAATGTGCGTGGTTAATATGCGTGAAATTTCTTTTTGCCTTAATATGCGTGGTTAATATGCGTGGTTAATATGCGTGGTTAATATGCGTGGTTAATTAATATGCGTGGTTAATGTGCGTGGTTAATATGCGTGAAATTTCTTTTTGCCTTAATATGCGTGGTTAATATGCGTGGTTAATTAATATGCGTGGTTAATGTGCGTGGTTAATATGCGTGAAATTTCTTTTTGCCTTAATATGCGTGGTTAATATGCGTGGTTAATTAATATGCGTGGTTAATGTGCGTGGTTAATATGCGTGAAATTTCTTTTTGCCTTAATATACGTGGTTAATATGCGTGGTTAATATGCGTGGTTAATATGCGTGAAATTTCTTTTTGCCTTAATATGCGTGGTTAATATACGTGGTTAATATGCGTGGTTAATATACGTGGTTAATATGCGTGGTTAATGTGCGTGGTTAATATGCGTGAAATTTCTTTTTGCCTTAATATGCGTGGTTAATATACGTGGTTAATATGCGTGGTTAATATACGTGGTTAATATGCGTGGTTAATATGCGTGGTTAATATGCGTGAAATTTCTTTTTGCATTAATATGCGTGGTTAATATGCGTGGTTAATATGCGTGGTTAATATACGTGGTTAATATGCGTGGTTAATGTGCGTGGTTAATATGCGTGAAATTTCTTAATATGCATGGTTAATATGCATGGTTAATATGCGTGGTTAATATGCGTTAATATACGTGTTAATATGCGTGGTTAATATGCGTGGTTAATATGCGTGAAATTTCTTTTTGTCTTTAATATACGTGGTTAATATGCGTGGTTAATATACGTGGTTAATATGCGTGGTTAATATGCGTGGTTAATATGCGTGAAATTTCTTTTTGCCTTAATATGCGTGGTTAATATACGTGGTTAATATGCGTGGTTAATATGCGTGGTTAATGTGCGTGGTTAATATGCGTGGTTAATTAATATGCGTGGTTAATGTGCGTGGTTAATATGCGTGGTTAATATGTTGTCTAAAATGAACTGGTTTTAGATAAAACTCACTTGGTCCTTGTTTCCAATGTTAGTGTATGGTAGTGATGACGTCAGTAGTTCATAAAGCACTACACCGAATGCATAAACATCTGACATAAATGTGTACGGGTTTTTGTCCTGTAATCTGATGACTTCAGGGGCCTAAAAGAATCAGTAGATACAAATAAGCATGCCATTGGCTGCACATATTTCAAGTGTACGCGACAGGTTACATTTCAAGTTACATAAAAACAATATATTTCGGGTCTATACTGAATAACGTCACGCTGCAATGACAATTTACTAGAAAACGACAACTTTCCTGATACATAAAACATCATAAATAAACGGTAACAAAATAAAATTTGAAAAATTTGTTGACAGTACAAAATTTTAAAATGTTTGCTTTTTTCAAAGCAATTTTAAAAATTAAATTCTAAGGTCACATGACTAATAAACGGGGTAAAGAACTGTTATGTTCTGTTATAAAGGGAATTAACCTTAGAAGGCCAAGATTCAGGTTTAAATCTGATAAGATCTAGGTTAGGGGTGACACTGTTTTAGAATTTGATTCATATTGTCTAAATATTTTTAAAAGAAAAAAAATCAAGCTGCTCAAATAAAATCTCCGTACAAAACGTAATGCGATTAAAATTTAAAATAAATACAAAAAGTCTTGACAAAAACGTAAATAGTTTGTAATAAAGAACATGAATTAAAACAAGAGTGATAGAATTCTTCATAACTGATTTGGAGCCAAGATACAGGGGTCTAGGATTCTCTTTAAACACTCTTTTCCAAAAGCTGAAAAAGCTGAATTTAAAGATGCTCGAAGATAAATATTAATTTCTTTTTAAAATTGGCGCTAGTCAGCTGACAAGCAAAATGCTGCCTTAGTAAGGCAGAGAGGAATTTCATGCCACTGTTGATCGTTATTGATACAGACCTAATTATTATCTACCCATATCTACCTACATAAGAACATACACTTCCTATAAACAAAATGCACAAAACCAATGTCCAAAATCAGATGAAGTAAGAAGTGACATACCATCCAAAGAATCGAGCCAAAGGGCTGTTCACAGCCATGCTCTGGTGTGCCACTCCAACGGGTTTTCGCTGTGGCTAGACCAAAATCACCTATTTTCACAGTTAAATCTTCTTGAAGAAAGATATCTTCAAAACAGTCAAGAAAAGACTCAACAGGAAGACTGATAGAACCATTGGTCTTAAAAAGCATTTAAAAGCTAACTTAAATGGCAGAAACAAAAAGCGAAGAAAATTACTTTCTTTATAAAAGCCATTTTAAATGCAAAGACTTTACCAACACTTCCTTCAAGTTTTGAAAAATAAAAGAGCTTTAAAACGAAATAAATTCACGTCAATTTTCACAAAAAACATGCAAATAATGTATAAAACATAAATGGATGGAACAATTAAAGGAAAAGGATACTATTTGATTTCATGTCTCGATGAATTATTGACTTGGCATGAAGGTAGCTAAGTTAGAAAAAAATACACATTAAAAGAAAACTTCTCACCACAACAGGTTATTTAAAATATAGATGCTCATTTCATACAAAATACATACATATAAGGGCAGGTTTCAGATACATGTACATGTACTTTTGCATCTCTTGCCTTGCTATACGTATTTCGGGAAGGTAACACAGTCAGCAACAAGGGTAAAGAGTTAAAACTCAAGAGGCATACAACTGAATCAAAGGACATTCCAAACTTTGACGAGCTAGTATCCAGAAACAGAAATTATTGCTAGCTGATGGAAAAATGAGAGTGGGAGGGTTCTTAGTATTGCAATGAAAATAGAATGGAGAGTGACATTAAAATTGTACGTATGTACATTTGTAGGTATTTACCAGTCAAGTTAAATTGAAAGTTACAGTGTCTGTGACACAGAAATGCACCCACGTCAATGAAAAAACGCATAATGGAAGGGGTGCTTCCTAAGAAAATTAGTCCCATTTTCGACAACACACACCACTTTTAAAAGAAAAGGGAAAATAGTAACTCTTACTCCATTCCTTGTGCAGTTTGCCTTGAAATGTTAATCAGGTCAAGCATCTCAAACTTGGTTTCTGCTACATGAAGATGCCGGTAAAGACTAGATCCTTCACACCACTGTGTAATGATGGCCAAGTAAGGCTTCCACATACAGCCCATAAACAACAGAACATTGACATGACGTGTTTTCCGCAAAACAGCCACCTCGTTCTTAAACGCCTGCAGCTGTTGCGGGGATGGGTCCTTGACGTTCAGCATTTTTACTGCCACAGTGCCTTAGAAAGAGCGACAGAAAACAAAGAATCATCAACAGCAATTTCAGGTGCTTTCACTTGCCAGGACACGGGGCTTTTAGAGCCATTTTGTACCTTCTTGTTGTTTGATACAACAAGTCACCCAATCAATAACATGTCATAACTTAATTTTTACGTCACGCTAATGTAAGGGAGCTGTGTAATGTGTGAAGTGAAATATATTCAGAATGTCAAAAAAAGTTTCCACCATACTTCTTCTAATTCTTATATATCATAATTTCTTAAATTTCTATCATATTCTAAAGGCATATATCTTTTATTCTTCAAAGCATAAATGTAACGCAGAACTGTTCTAAGGGGAGGGTGGAATTCTAGAGTTTGAAGCTGTAATAATAGAGACAGGAATAATTTATTTTGTTACAAATTAACGTGACAACAAAATGAACTATATTTCATAAGTACCTAAGCATATCTCGGACAATAAAGAATCGCTAGCAGTTAATTATAAAAACGCGCAGCTTTGATATTGCTTGCAAATGAGGTTACGAGTCAAAAGTACATTACAAGGAAATATTTTATTACCATGCCAAAATCCTTTGTAGACAGTTCCGTAGGAGCCAGCGCCTATCCTTGCACCAACTTGTACTTCTCCTTCAGGCACTTCCCAGTCATCATTGGAATCCCTCCTGGCTGATCGCTGAAAAATATTGCGATTTTTTTCTAAGTAGGGCTAACACATTACTAAGAAAGTATTCTGTAGAAATAAAACACAATTGGCATCGCATGATGCATCATTAATTAGTGTATTCTTTATATAAACATAAATACAATGAAAGGAAAAGAAGACAAAAATACCTGTTTTCGCCCGAATTCGTCAGAATGTGACTTCGATCGATGGCGATTCTTAGAAGGCTGAATCGAAGATGAACTCGGTCCACTGGACGAGTGGCTTCGTTGATTCGGATGACTTCCGGCATAATCGAATGCTGCTGTGTTTACCGACGGCGAATTCGGTAAGCTGCCGTATGGGCTGAATATATCTTGAGCCCTAACTGAGTTGATTCTCTGCTTTGGAGGTTGTCCAAGGACTTTTCGAAACTCGTTGGCTTAAAACAAAAATACATATCAGAATACATTAGCAGCAAAAAGTGTTGAATAAGACTGGAGTGAAAAAAGAAATGTACAAATAACAGCTTACTGAATTCAATGCCATTAACTCAATGGTTTGGGCATAACTAAGCACAGATAAAAGGCAAAGGTGTGATACAATACAAAACCTATTACAAAATAAAAATACTGTATTTCCTCAAAAGAGCGCCCAGGAAATTCATTTAAAAGTCAGTCTTGGAGAGGAGGCGTTTATTTAAGGAAGGCACTCACTTGAAAAAACAAGCGTTTTGTAAGGGTGCCTAAATGAATTCGTAGAAACAGACACAATCTTTACCCTTAGTCATAAAAAAGTCAGAGGAGAAGACGTCAGTAGCCAGATTTCCGGTAATATTCTTATGGTATACTTGGTATAATAAATTTTATGAGAAAAGTTTGTCTCGCCTGTATTCTATTTCTGAATCAATAAGGTTTAATTATTAGAGACAGTGCTTACTCGTTGCAAAGCGCTGTAAAGAGGGGACTACTACTAAATTGAATTAAAAAAATTTCTGAAGGGATGCGCTCATTCGAGGGTGGGGGGGCGGTCTTTTGGTGGGTTGTTCTTTTGAAGAATCGCTTTTTCAAGAGGCCTAATTACACAGGCTTTTAAGAGCCAATTTAACCCATCAATGATTACGAAATATAGCAACGAATGAGCCGGTGACAGCAACCAGCCGACGACAATAAGTTAAGCCAGTAAATTTATAAAGGTCTCTTGACTTGTGGTCTTCATGTCTAGAATTAATAAATGAACATTGACTTATATCCTGCTTGTATAATCCTGAACACTAGAAAATTTCAGGTAGGCAAGTATGAAAATAAAAACATCTGCTCATCATTGTTCATCACAAGTTTTCAAAGGCTAAAAAGTGCAACAAACGTATCTGTGAACAAAAATCGATATTTAATCTCTAAAAAACCTACTTGATATGGTGTGCGAGCTTCCGGGCTTTAGGTTCCTGAAGGTCTCCTGGAAGAATAAAATTGAAACGATGAACTAAATTGCTCTGAAACATTCAAATGACCTAGAGACAAACTGAAGCTCGGTATAGGCTACAAGGAACACTCCCTGTTTTACATGTTGCGTTTTAAAATGGAAAATTTCACAGGCCGATGGTTTAGTGAACTTTTGCAAAGGAATGTCAGTTGTACATTATACGATACGATAAAAGGGTTGATACGTAAGATAAAGTGGGCAGTACCCGAGGGGAGCTTTTCGCTGAAACTGTGCTTATCAAGTTCACATTCGGTGCTGAAATAGATCTCTCTCTTTGGCCAAATGCCCTGGGTGTGTTGGGTGTCATTCGAACTGTCAGCAAAGGTTGCGCTTGGGACATACCACCACCAACTGCAAGCAACCTGCAAACGAGAATATACGTGAAAGAAAACACTAGAAAAATAATTGATGCATTTTTTTCATTTTATAATATTTATACAGGTTAAAGGTTCATACATATGTTTTTCAACCTGACCTGTTTAAAAGAATAAAATAAGAGCTAATAACTATGTTAAAATACTAGTAACAAAAGAAATTTACCAATCAAACCTAATTTACAATATCTAGTAATACTAAGGCTATAAAAAGTGAACGTAAAGATGAAATAAAAGTTGTCCCCGACTATAGTTGTTCTTTGAAGGTTTTCAGGGAGGGGGCCAATTTGGTAGCCCTTTCTAGATTATTCCACAGTTTTGGACCGCGATAAGAAAAAGCCTTTTGGCCATTTATTGTTCTTAGCAGCGGTATCTTAAGATCAGTTTCTGATGAACGCAGAAACCGTTCTCTATCATCCGAACATTTTTCGAATAATTTTCTCAAATAGTCTGGTGCAAGCATATTTAGAGATTTGTAAGTTAGCGTGGCTGTCTCCTTTCTTACAAGATTTCTGATGGTTAACCAGCCAAGATTCTGAATTATCGGAGCAGCAGATGCATCGTATGGGCTGCTAGTTACAATTCTGGCAGCTCTATTTTGGATTTTTTGCAACACGTCAAGCTTTGATTCATTACAGGATGTTTGGACCAGAGCCTATAACAAGTGACTGCGTTTTCACTACGTTCAAGGAAAGTTTATTTGCATGCAACCAATCCTGTAGTTTCAAAAGATCTAAGTTTAGGTCATTTTGAAGGTCACCAATACTTTTTGAAGAGAGGGAAATGGCCGTGTCATCAGCATACATGCTGACATGAGATTTTTGCAAGGAAAAAGGCAAATCATTGATGTAAATCAGGAACAAGAGTGGACCAAGACAAGAGCCTTGGGGAACTCCACAATTTATTCCCCTCACATCAGAGGAGGTGCCATCCACCCTGCAGAATTGTTTACGATTTTCCAAATATGATGTGAACCAGTCATGTTCCAGGCCGGTCACTCCGTACATATTCATTTTTTCCAGTAGGATTTTATGATCGACCGTGTCGAAAGCCTTCTTCAAGTCAATAAAGACTAGACCAGTGTATTTTCCTTTATCTATATTCAGGTACCAATCATTGGTGCTAGCTAGAAGGGCTGTGGCTACCGAGTGTAAGAGTCGAAAACCCGACTGATGCTCATATAGTGATTTATTCGCATCCAGGTATCCATAAAACTGATTGAAAATTAATTTCTCAAATAGCCTAGATATGAAAGGAAGAACTGATATTGGTCTATAGTTCGATCTGTCATCCTTTGCGCCACTCTTGAAGATGGGTGCAATACGCGCTATTTTCCAGTCCTCCGGAAATTTTCCTGCAAACAATGATTTATTGAAGAGATCACACAAGGACCCACCAACAACTGGCAAAGCAATCTTCAAATAAAAGCTCGCAATGCCATCGTGACCTGAACCATGCGATGTCTTCATCTTATTCAAGGTTGATGATAATTTATCTGCCATGATGGCCGAAAAAGAAAAACTTAATGGAGGAGTTTCAAACGGGTATTCACCAGACAAGAGTGGATTGGCTTTCTTTGGAATTTTCTCACTAAGTTTATTCCCAATGCTGCAGAAGTACTCATTCATTGAAGATGCAATTGCTTTGTTACCCCTAATTGTTTGCCCGTCTACAGTAAGGTTAGGCACAACTGTAGTGTTCGACTTTTTGTTAATGACTTGGTTGATGGTTTTCCAAGTTTTCTTGGGGTCACCTTGAAACTGCGTGATTTTTTCAGAGAAATACTCGCGTTTGAGTTGAGTATTCATGTTATTTAACCTGTTACGAATTTGCCTGTAGGATTCCATCAACAATTTTGAGTTGGTTTTTACAGCTCGAGTTTTTAACTTATCTCTGGTTTTAGCCAATTTGAAATAATCAGCATTCAGCCAAGGCGTATATCTATCAGACACGCGTCTTCTTAATGTAGGCGCATGCTTTTCTAGAATAAGCGAAAATATTTGGGTCCACTTGCGTACTGCATCATCAATGTCTTGAGCATCAGCTACAAGTGCCTCCCAATTAACCTCAGAGAAATCTGAGAGGAAAGCCTCTTGATTAAAATTCTTCAACTGACGAGATGTTATATATTTGTGCTGGTGTTTAACACCGCCACGCAGCTTTCTAACACAATATACAAGATAATGGTCACTAAGACTAATCTTAAGCACTCCACTCTCTGCAATATTGTTACAGTTTGTGGTAGCTATATGATCAATCAAAGTTGAACTATCTAACGTGACCCTAGTGGGCTCTCTAATAATCTGCTTCATATCAAAAAGGTCGTACAGCTCACGTAACTGCATAATATGGCTCGGAGTATTGTCTCTATAACAGAAATCACAGTTAGTATCTCCTAGAATAATAATTTCTTTCCCCTCTCCATCAAGAAAGCTCAGGTTTTCATGAAGGCTGTCAAAGCAAGAATTAGGCTCACTGGGTGGTCTATACCAAGCTATGACAATGAACGGATTTGAATTCGGGGGCTCTACCTCTATGCAAATCAACTCAAGCGCTTTATTAGGAAGATCTACCCGGGGTTTAAACCTGACTGTATTTCTGATATAGAGAGCAACACCACCACCTCGCCTACTCCTATCATATCTACAAAGAGAAAAATCATCTAATGAGATAAGCCTGTCGTCAACTTTGTGATCGATTTTGGTTTCATTTATGGCCAAAATATCAATGTTTTCATTTTTTACAAGCGACCTTATTTCATCAATCTTCATAATGAGGCTATTTACATTTAATGATGCCATGGTCACACCCTTTCTTCGCCTCAAAGGGCAAATAACAGGCCCTTGAACGGCATTTTCATCGACACTACTAGAATTGTTAACAGGCTCTGAGTTTGAAATGGAATTAGCATTTATAACGAAATTAGGGACCAGACCCTCCCCGTCATTACACGAATAAAACTCATTGCTATAAAGATATTGTTCGAAGTTTTTCTATGATGTTCTTGGCAAGTTGTCTGTTGCCTTCGAAATTTAGATGTAACCCTTTCTTACCCAGATGAGTACTTGTGATGTTTTGTTGGCGCAGAATGTCCATGTTCATCATTTTCAAAGCACGGTTGAATTCACTAACTTTTCCATTAAGGAACTTTTTATCTTCACGCCTTACAATTTCAGAGACGATGATATTACAGTCTGGAATGGATGCAAGTATCCAATCACAGAGGGATTTGATGCTTTTCGTCATTTCAGCGGCTGACAGGTTCACCAAATCATTTGTTCCAACCATTAGGATGCATTTAAGGGAGGGGGGAGTGTGTACTCCATGGCTCATAATGTGGAACTGATGTGTTGCTTGCAGATACCACAGGGTTCTCGATTATTAACCAAAGGAACTTGCTTGCTTTAGACCTGACCCCGTTCCATCCTACCTATGGTTTTTAGGGGTAAACGTTCTTGTGAGACAAAATAACGATTGTAAGTTAGAGATCTTGAAAAATAATTTAGCTTGATACGGGCAAAAATTTAGATGCAAAAAATACTATTCTGGCTAAACTTTTGGAAATTCTCTTCTCGTAGTTAGAAGGGGAAGGAAAACATAAATTCGCAAATCTGTACATACTTTTTGTAGAGATGTGGATCTTCGCTTTGCTGACACAACAAAGGAACCTCATGAGCACAACGAGGGTGGAAACGATATCCACAAGTCTGACATCTAAAAAAATGATATAATTTTCTTGAAATGCAAAACCGACATCCTATTGAAAAACTATTGAAGGTGAGAGTGGCGATTTAACGTCTACAATAATACGTTGTCAGAAGATGCTTAAAAGACGAGCCACGAACTGATTCAATCAGCAGCTTCTATTAGATACTAGTTCAGAAATCTTCAATAAACAATTTTATCAACTTTCAAAGGTTTTGTAAGCAGTACTCGTATAGTTAGTTGTTCTCAAGGTCAGTTTTCAAAATTTTTCCATAAAATTTGCAGACAATTTCAACCTAAGGTTAACTAGACAGTCTACATTGACATTTGCACTTTTAAAGCTTAAGAAACTTTTGGAAACTTTATTTATTTTGGAAACTTTTGTTCGAAGAAGCTTGAAATATTTTCCAGGTTGACATTAATCAGGAAATTGTAATGACTGTCAAAATTAATAATCGCAATAATGAAAATATCAATTCTAACACCAAGCGGGAAATACACCTTGTCTGTATTTGATGTGGACGATAATTCGTTATTCTCTTTAAAAAATCTAAATAATAGGTTAATACATTGAATTATGGATAACGAATTGCTAACTAATAAAATGGTTTTAAGATGGGTACAGCAAAGTTGAAAAACTTGGTAGACCATGAATTTGAACGGTATTATTCCGAATAGAAAACATTGAAAAACGATCGAAAGCAGACAAATTTTTTAAATATCTTAATATGCTTGGAAATAAAACATCTCGAAAGTGCATGAATATAAGTTGTGTTTTTGTGTGCAGTTGTGTTTTTTAAAAAGAGAATCATTAAAACATTAAAATGTATGAAGATTTGATGTACACCAAAACAAAGGACAAGTTTATACAGCAGCAAATATAGCAAAAAGGCAAGGGCTCAGATGAAGAATCTTTGCTGCAATACAATATAAAGAAACAAACAGGTATGAACAAAAAATAAACAAAAAAGTAAAAGAAAAATGAATAAAAATGAAGATAAACCAATAAATATAATGACAACAAATGAATATACAATCGAATTAAATATATATAGATGAAATAAAAAATTGCAGCTATCCTTCTGGTCTTAAGACCTTAATTAAGAGATATAATGTTAAGGTTAATCTATACCTGAATCCCTGAAACAACAGCTTTCTGCATGCTTCACAAAATGCAAGTGTAAAGAATGTTTTCCTCACCTAAAATGATCAAGGTAAGGGAATCTGAAAGCAGTCGGCAAATCAGTCAAGAAGAGTTTTTAAAAAAGATGCGAAACAGAAGGCAATGATTGGTAGAAAAGTTTAAAGAAGTTTATTTTCAATATATAATATAAATTGAGTTTTAGAAGTGTTTTAGAGACCTCCAAAAAGTGTAAAACGCATTTGAAGACATCGAAACAGAAGCTGCGATGTTCCAAGAAATAGATTTGAAATTTGTAAACATCTGTGAACATCTGGCACACATAACAATAGCAGTTTCAGAATCATTCTTAAATATATTACAGAATATTATAATTTAGCTGATCAAGGTGAAAGCGAAAAAGGAGCTGACGTACAAAGTTGTGAGAAATGTTAGTTGTCGACGCAGGAGCTTCCTCGTTGACTTCAACAGTGATCTAAAGCAAGAAAATGCAATATAATAGAGCAAGAGAGTTTCCAGGAGTATCCAAGACAGGAACCAAAAAAAATTATTGCTAATAAAGATAATTTTTTGATAAAAATTGATTAAAAGTGGCAATCAACACATCTATAAATAGGTTACCAATCAGATTCTTTCTTGTTACTAAACATCCAATCCAAATGCCCGTTCAATCTCTTTAGACATCGAGAGCACTCGTGTAAACACTTAATTTTTTTAAATAAATAAAAAAGTATTAAAAATTATAAAGTATTTATGATTAATTTTAGGCATTATAAAATCACCGATAAGTAATGCATTGTGAAAAATTATAAACAATTTTTGGATAAATCCATAGATCACAGGATTAATATTTAAAAGTCGAGTCGCATTACAAAAAAATTCTTTACAGAAACCAAAAGATGCCTACAAAATGTAAATGACATTATGCATAAACATGCAAGGTCGATATTCAACTCCCTTTTGTTAACATGAGCAATTTTTAAATAGCACAGTTTTAGTTGAGCTTTCTACATACTTCTTCACCACTCAGACTAGAAATTTCTGCATTCCAATCCACAATTGTTCTGTAAAAGAAATTGGCATATAGCAAGCAAAAAATTGCATATGAAATTCAAAATATGTAGAAAAAGGATAAGATGAAGACTTAGAATACACAGTATAAGTCGCGAGAGAAAAGACAGTTGGGCCACTGAACTTTCTGAGCAACACACTGGGTCATCCCCTTTTTTTTAAACTTCTGGACCAGAAATCGTCTCTTGGTCTTTTCACACAGGACATGATTGCAAAGCAAAAGATCCCAAAGCCTTCCAAATATCATCATAAACTAAAGAATGATTCAGCTGAATCGAGGTTTTTACTTTGTGTCCCATGAAGACTGCAAGCAAGGTTTTAGCTAACATTATACCAGTACCTCTGCCCAAGATACCTAAGTAAAAACCACTACAAGCTACTACAAGCTAGAGGAGAGGAATTGACGCACATTGCCATACTGATGCATATAAATATGACGAATACTGCCAGAAGTTTATGCGTTGTGGTGAATTGGTGTACTAGACCCTGGGTGGGAGCGCGTCTTAAAATAAAGCAATGTGGGAGCGCGTCATAAAGTGTCTCGTCAATTTACAAACGCTTTCGGAATTAAAAACCTATAAACTGCATCATATATAAGAAAGTAAGAGCTGCAGCAAAAAACTTTGGAATAATACCAATACTGAAGCGTTAAGCGACTAACCTTTCCTCGTTGGGAAGTCCCCTAAAGACAAAAGACAACATTGTTTTTGATATCATATTATTTGCTAAGGTGAATGCAAGGAAATTAGTACAGTGTTTCAACCATTCTGACCTTGCCAGACGCTGCTTTTATGCAAATCGTTTTGGCTCTAGGTCTGCATAAAAATCTACATAAAAAAGACAACATTGTACTAAAGACAATAGTGAATGGCTTCAGATCCTGTCAGCATTTTGTCCATGTCGGTGAAACGGGTGACCTTGATACTAGAAACAATTTATCTAGTATCGTTAATTAGAAAATTACATTAATTTGTATATAGTTTTTAGACCTTTTTTTGTTCTTATCATTTTGTAAACAGGCAGCCTCTCGGTGTCTAGTGCTGAAGTTAATTTATTCTTCTCTTAAAATAAATCTAGAAACAAAGCAATTATAAACAAGCGGTTTTGTTGTGGTCGTCGAACGTACGAAAACATTGAAAAAGTCGAATGAAGCACCTAGAAATGAATGCGATACAATAACTGGTTGAAAGTGACAGCGAGTTGCAGGAGTACATGTTTATAAAACACTTTGAGTCCTTCTGAAGCTTTTTTACTCGTAAAATCCTCTAATTTCTTTGTTTTGCAATTGCTTGTTGAAATTACTTTGGGCAAATTCGTCATATCAAAGCACCCTTTCCAAGGAATTCAACGAAATAATTGCCATGCACCCGCCCTCTAGCCAGCTGTTCTATTAGTACAATCTCTTTGTCTACAAAAGTGCAATTTGCTTCCAGCTGCTAATTAATGTCATTCGATTTCTATAGCATAGACCTATAATCTTCAAAGCATAAAAGCAGTCATGCCAGCTAGACAATTAAACCATACTTACTTCGAGTAATATCTGTAGGCAACACAAGTCTCCGGTGTCAAACCTCTAATTTGCAAAGCTTTCACAAAAGCATCGAGCACAGTTTGCCCGGACTTGCATTTTATCTAGAAAAAAGTCACTACATTTAGAATTTTTTTTTAAATTATATTTTTATAGCAATGACTCGTCTATTGCCATACACATACTCAACGGGGCTGCAACAGACCGGGCCATTTAATTTTTGCAGGTGAGCCGTGAATCACTCGCCTCATTTTTTAAGCGCGCTTTATCAAGGACAGATAGGATGTATTAAAAAGGCCTAGAAGTTGTGCAATGAAAGAAAAGTCAATGCATTATCATAATTTAGAGTAATTGTTGTTGAAGTTCTCTTCAATCTCCGATGTTGACAATTTTGTCAGCACCTGTCTTCAAGATACATCTGAACAAAACGTGCAAATTAATGGAGCTTCGAGAGGAGCAATTTTTCGTTAATGCTTGGTTTAGGAGAGTGTTTTACAGCTCTCCCCAGCTTACGAGGGCAGTGTGGACGGGAATGCGAGCTATCGCTCCTGTCAAATGGCAAACCCTGTTGCAATTAATATAGTTCTGAGGGGAGCTCGTGCCACTCCAAAAATATAAAAACTCTTTTTCAACAAACCAGCCCTTTTGTTCTTATTTTCCTCAAACAGTGGTTCCCCTGCAATAATTCAATCCTTCCTACGGTTTTCAAAATGCAATAATTTCAAAATTAGAAACCAACAGATCACATAAATGACCTTCACTGGGTCTCAATATCATTTAGTATATGAAGTTCTTGCAGAGAGGACAATGCAGGAAAAAATGAACTGCTGATTCAACCCCTTTCCTAAAACTACAAAGGAGACTTGCATGCACGCAAATTCTAGTTGAACCTTTGCTCATTAAGATCACTAAAATGAACTCGAAGCCTGGTTATAAGTGCTGTATGATGCCTATTAGTAATTCCATTCAGAGAATTATTTGACGGTTAAATTATCAAGATCAAATCTGTTTTAAACTGGGATACCAACTAACGGGCTGTTATTTGATGATCGAGTTTGTTCCATTGGTTCATGCAGAAGAAACTCTTAGAATATCACTGTGGGGAAGAGCCATCTTGCCTAAGAACACGAGCCCATCGTGGTTGCTGATGATTGACACCTGTGGGAACACTCTCGTGGAGAGTTGGGAGGTTGAGTTCTTCATATTTCATAAAAGACCTTCGACACCACGAATATGATTCGAAGCTGTAAGTTTATTTACAGACAGTTTTGTTTACATTATTTACATTGCCGAAAAAGATAAATTTTTGCTAAACTATAAGAACAGTTGTTTTACGATTATAGATTTATGCGAAGATCTGCTTTTAGATTTATGCGAAGATCAAAATCCCCAGAGTATTTTATGCAAATTTCCAATACATCACAACGCCTCATTTAAGCTGCAATCATTTAAGTTAAGCAACAAGCGACGTTTCAAATGACCTAAAAATTTTAAATTTCAGCATGTTTAAGTGTAAACTGAACTAAAAGACAAACCGTTGTTCTTTGGTTGTTTGGCAAATAGGCACGAACGTGTGCCCTTAAGGGAGATGATGGTATTGCAGTATCACTGGACGAGTCCCTTCGTGGACTTGTAGCAACAGGGGAACCAGATGACGATGCAGGTGTGTCTGGTTCAGAAACTGAGGGCATGTTGTCTGAAAACCCATTGTCATTGTCCAAAAGTTCTTTTTCCTTGTCTTTCAGTAGACACAGCTTTCCCCTGAGCTCTTCGACTTCCTGCAATCATAAATAAAATAAAATTTAAATTTTGTGGTTTTGCTATCAGATAGCTTTTTTACAACATAAAAAGGCTAAACACTCACTATGACTTAGGTCAGAACAATATCATTCTGAAATCACAAATCAAAAAGAGGTGTGAAATTTCAATGATTTCCTCAAACAAAGATATCTTTCAACCCACAGAAACCTTTCACTTCTTCAAACGAAGTAGAAATCTTGGAAGGAAAAATTCCCTTCTTTGATAGCTAAAAGTGTTGCTTAGTGATTACGTTGCAATTTGCTCATACAGCTTTTACACAAATAGAGGGTAAAGCAAAATTTCTAGAGGTGGAAAATTGCAACAGCAAATAGGCAAAAATCAAGGCTCATAGACGAAGGCCATTTTCAGATAAATCATAACTAATTTACCAGCTTACTTCATATGGAAATTCAGCTGACAAATTTCTATATCTTGCTGTTAACACATCATTAAGGAACTGGTACCTTATGTGCAGATCAATGAAATTTTCAAGTAGAAAAGAACAGTAAAATCATTCATATCAATTTCATTTATTACTTTCCTTTTAATTTTTGATAAAGCCCAAAATTCCTTTCAATTTTTGATAAAAAATAGATTGAATAAAGATTCTTAAAGAAAAGTTAGAGTAAGAGTTGGAGCAGACAAATTAAGGGCTTTTTATGACAATTTATAAACAAAAAACACATAATAATCACAATCACTGGTAGCAATTGGATTAGAAAAGACCATCTCAGAGATCACAACGCCATGACACAAGTGGGGCAAAAACTGCAGTAAATACAATGGCAGCTTATATCACTGATATTGATAATTTCTCTGTAGCTCAAACCGAGTTCATTGTTAATAAAAAAAACTCAGATTGTTGTTCTAAAAGTGTTTTTCTTTTTTTTAAAGAAGTTTCACGGTCAAAAAATAAAAGAGCAGCCTCTATCCACAATGAATTTTGTGCTGATTTGCCCCACCTAATGGCTTGGAACATGTCAATAGAGAAGGAAGTTTGCTTTAAAAGTCAAGAAAAATCAATATATAAATGCATTAAAAGCTGAATTGCCTACCTCAAAGAATATAGATGGAGGATGAGAGAGTCCTGACCTCTTCAGACTATTCAATTCCTTGAGATTATCTTCTGTTAATTTGATCAAATGCTGTACATTTCGTACCTTCAGAGATAAAGATACATTGTTAAGATACAATCTGGCAGACAACAAAGTACACAAATTGAAGCAAAATTAAATACAAACATGGCATAAGAAGATAACAATATCACAATATACTAAGACATCCAGATAGAAAAACAGACATCGCATATATAAAGGCCACCCAAGTTCTAGAAACAGCAAGACCAAGTAATAGAACTTAATACATCTTGGCCTCGTGTTCAAAAGAACTTAGACTTGCTCTTGTCAAAGGAGGTCTTGTTTTCGACAAAAAAACATGGTTCACAAAGAAATAGGCTGCAAAAGGGGAGGCAAATCTAGGGAACGTTTATTACACTTTCTTAGTTCTTTCATTTCGTCTAGGAAACCATGTGTTTGTCTAAAAGGATTTACAATTGCCTAATCAAAAGCATTCTAAAAACCTAAAATTTTCAGCTAACGATGACAGCTCATCAACAACAAAAATCAGTTATGAAGTATACTGGGTAAATAAGACACACATTTTATTATGTTCAAGCTTGCTAATTGACAGAATGGTGAGATTCCAATTTTGGGTTCTGATTTTTTTCAAAAATAAAACCTTCAAGAGAAGATTCCAAGCTGTTAGTTTAGGGCATCATAGAGATGATATACAGAAAGGCTCAAACTTGGTACTAGATAAATAGAAGGAGCAGAACGCTTTAGACAACTATACATAGAGGGTTTAGTCATCCCAGTCTCTGTAAATATCCTGTTACACTTGCTTCAATGTTTACTTTGTGAAAGACCAGATAACAAAAATTCCTCTTGTGCTGCAAAATTTGAAGGTTGCTTAAAAAGACACTTTTTGCCTAATATTCTTTAGAGTAATGTTAGCAAATGACTGAAAAGGTGAACATAATTTACATCAAAATGCAAATCAAAAACTACATAAAAAGATGTTTGGCACATTTGATTGACAAACTGTTATGACCAAAAAGAAGCCACTAACTTGCTAGCTGGTTAAAGGGTGCAAGTGAGAGAGAGGTTGAGGATTGGCAGTAGCAGTCAGCTTGTTAGTAAAAGTTGTCCTAGAGCCCAATCAGATCAAGTAAATTTTTCCAAAAATTTAAAAACCAAATACCACAAAACATAAATAGTCCTGTCTGCAAATGTAAGGGAGCACTCTGTCACCATCTTTCCACTGCAGATAGGATTTATAAACCAATGATCATAATCTAACAAATCAAACATAAAAAATAAAAAACAGTAGAGAGGAAAGATCACTGAAGATCACTACTGTGCCATTAATTGAATGAAATTGCATCAAAAATCTCATGGATCTATCAAAAGTTTTGCCAATAACATTCTAAATCAGTATGGTGGTGCCAAAGTATTTTAAAAAATCAATCTTTGGACTGGTTAAGCATACTTGTGGTGCATAACCTGAGTACAATCATATTTAGTTTGGGCATTACAAAGACTTTAAAAAGTTCAAGGTAGCTCTTTCATTGCCTAAATCTGAATGGTTTGCAAAGGAATCTTATATAAAACGGGTCGACTAGTCGCTGACTCTTGCTTCTCACCTACTTTACATTATAAAATGAAATGTTTAAATGATAGAAAGATTGCAGCCTCCAAGTTCATTTTCAAATTTTAGGGAAACATGGTCATCTATAAACAGTAAAGGATATTGAACCTAGAAGAATAATGTTTTTTTTCAATCATTTAATGAAATTTACATCCTTACAAATCTTCATGTTTTCTCTTTCTTAACTTGTTTTTAAATAGGTAATAGTTTCAATTTTAGCCACCTCATATTGGTTATCTATGCTTATCCTTAATTGCATATGATGCCTATGATTTTAATCACAGGCAGATTTATCAATAAAAGATGCCATTTTTGTAACAACAAGAACTGGTTTGTAGTTAAAAATACAGCTATGATATACTTCTAAAGTGTGAGTACAAATGAAAATTTGATACTGTCATATGCCAACATTTCCTTTAGAATGGACAGTGTGACAAATAATTTGGTTACAACTCATTCAGTAGTATTGTGCCTAGGGGCAGAAGGGGCAGGAAAATTTGAGTAAAACCTTTTAAAACAGTGGGGCCACATAGACACATCAAACATTTAGAAGAAAACCTGTCTGCAAATTGATCTCCTTGACCCCCTGTTGAATTTGATCCTGAAAATCCCCATTATCCTTAAGTCAATTAATTGCAAATCGAGCCTGGTACTGCATATAATAATAACTGCTACATCACTACCACCTCAAAGTGGGAAACCAAGTTTTAGTACCTTTTCAGGTCAAAACTCAGGCCTGTATTCAGAAATTGGGTATGACTAGAAATTTATACACAGTCATCCAACTGATATTCTGACAGTTCACTTCCAACAAATGTCTAGTAATGCATGATTAAAACAACAAGCCCTTGTAGTTACTTCTAACAAGACAAAAAAAACAGGAGTTTTTTACCTTTAAAAGATGAAAACAAATATCTTAAGATGAATCTCTTTGATATAAGTATTTTCATATATTTTTCAAGCTGTGCATACTACTCTAGGGCTAGACCACAATGGTTCCAAGCCTTTTTGCTTTCTTTCAAGGGTGGCTGGCACCAGAAAAAACTGCTAATAGTCAGCCAAGCAGTGGAGGCACGGAGGCCCCCCCCCTAACTCGCATTTTTGTCAGGAAATTTGGGCTTTCAAGTCCCTGATATGTTGTCCGTTTTTTTGTCAAAAAAGGAAAATAATAAAGAATTGGGGCATAAATATAGCAGTGGTTTTGATAGCCATACAAAACTTAAATCAAAACTACAATCCCAAATTCATTTCAGGCCAATCTCAAGCATGATAATGGGCTGCTACAGCAATGCATTCTAAGGGCACAGCTGACCCTCCATGCCTCATGGTTTTTATCAATGCGGCCCCAGCAACATTTTGGCTACTGCTTCATTAGAAATGGCTTTCTAATAACGGGGCCATCGAAGACAGAAAGAACAGACCATCCTGGATATAACAGAGCTCTAGACAATAATTTTAAAAAGACTTGATAATTTTACCTTCTGAAAATATCCCATCACAAGACCTGGGCAACGAAAATAAGTATTTTTTTGTTTCTTCCCCGTAAATCTATGGGAATGTTGCGTTAACACTGTAACGATCTTCATTAGAGAATCGAAGTCTTTTGGTAGGCCATTGTTTACTAGTGAAAAAGTCGTTCATCGTTAGACTTTTACCAGCTGAAATCACGGGGGAAAACTTAAGAAACAAACAAATCCACAAAACCAGTTTGAATTATGGTAGTTATTTTGTTTGTGATCTTGTTTTACGTAGTAAGGAAGCAGTAAGTGGCAGGTATCCCGGAATGCGTTATTAGACCGCGGAGGCTAATAATGTGCAAGTAAAATACAATGGCTTTATTCCCTGTTTTCTGTGATGATATGTCACATTCACAGAGTAAAAACAAAGGAAATAGCGATTCGCGTTATTAGAAATGCAATCCTAATAACGGAGATATTAGCAAGGGCTATTGTTGACATTTTCTAAAGGAGATTGAAGGCAAAAGAACTTCAATAAAAGTCTATGATATGCAGAGCCTTGAGAATGAATCCAAATCAGGGTCTAAGAAAATAAACAATGACTGCCACAACAAGCCTATAGCAGTGGGAAAAACTGTAAGCCGCCCCTGCTATCTTTTGTTACAAATGTGTGACTGCTGCAATATGACAATAAATACCAAGAAAATTAAGTTTAAATTGTTTAAGGAAATAAAAAGGTTTGTAAACTTAGCAATGTACTTGATATCTTTCTTGATATAAAATGAATCACCTAGAAAATATTATTGCCCAATTCAATTTCCAGAAAATAATTTCCAGGTGGTAGTGAACATTTTTTTAAAGTCAGTTGATTCGAATCTTTCCAGTGCATTTCATTTGCATTTCGATATAAGTCACATAAAGGTGAAAGATGGATACTGAAGATTAAAAAATAGCAACTTGGTTGAATATCAATTTACTGGATAAAAACTTGCATATTAATAAATATACATGGGTACAGTCATAACAAGGGGTAAATTGGTGAGAAAAGTACAGAAGAGTATACATATCCAACCTGTAAATATGCTGGAAGCATGTTAGCAATTCAAGCAAATACACTTATGTGACAAAAGTATTAGGACGACAAATAACAAAATGGTGGCTCCAAAACTAGCATTCTAACATTGATTGAACAAATCTTGCTGTTTTGGCGGGATTCTAGAAATTGCATCAGCAAAAAGGCGATTCGTAACAAATTCAATTTATCTCCTACCTTTCTATGATAGAAAAGTAACAAAATGTCAGGGAGAAATGGAAAATATCGATGTTTTAGTTTCCATGCTGAAAACACAAAAGCAACAAGAAAAAGAACGAGAAGCAATAAAATAGTTGGGTCTAGCGAGTCATTTGTTTGCTGAAACTACAAGAAAGTTTGCTTGCAGCAAGTCTACAACACATGTTATATACAAGAAAAATAAGTTAACAATGCCGACTAAAGTTAAAGAAATGGTAGGCCAGGGTAGGCCGACTATTGGTTGGGCCTAATGGCATCTGCAAGCTGGTCGTTGTGTGCGAAGTCAATCAATGCTGAATATTTTGTCCAATTATTTTTGTCCAATTATATGTGGAAAGTAACCAGGCAAGTAAAAAACAAGTAATGATTCTTTGCAAAGACCATTTATTTTTAAGCAAGACAATAAACCTAGCTATGTTGCAATTGTGACAAAAGTTTTAGAGATAATAACATATCATGGTTTTTCAATAACCCCATCAAAGTCAAATCCTTGATGTAATTAAAAGCAACTAGTTTTCATACAAAAAATCCAAGAAATAAAATCTTCTAAGACCAAAAATAAACTCTTTTAGAATTTTCTTGCGATTTCCTACTGTATCCGAAGATATTTCATTGCAAAATTAATTCAGTGAGTTCCAGTGCAAATGGCGGCTGCCAGATTCCTGGAGGTCATCTGACAAAATACAAGATAAAGCAAATTGTACTTGACTAAAAAAGAATATTTTTTACAATGTTTATTTTTACAATTGGGTAAAATTGCAATTGAAAATCTTAACCAGCAATCTCGTTATGTTCCACCGATTTTCTATGTTGATCTTTGAGCAAAGGGTTAAACACATTTGCTTTTAAGCGATCGTCCTAATACTTTTGTCACGTAAGTGTACGTAGACTTATGCATATGTGTAGAGGGTTGAGCAATAAATGTTTGTTTTGATTAAATTGAGCAAGAATGTACAGGGAACGGAATCAATCAATCAATGTACAGGGAACGGAATCAATCAATTTACAGCATACAAGTAAATTGCATAATTGATGGTCGAAAAAAGGGAGTTTCAACTTTAATAAGGCGGCTTTAAAGAAAAACAAACTATTTTCGATCTTCAAAAATTTCAAACCAGTAGACATTTGTCACGAAGAATTGTTCTGGAACACCGAACTGAAGTCAAATTACGGCAGTTTTTAAAGGCGATTACATTTTGGCTGTGAGAGACGAGCAAACGAAGCTGTGTTGTTATGGGAACTTAAAATTGCAGGACATTAGGAAAAGGAATCCAAGGAAAGAGAAAATCAGCCTCTAAATACAATGCAATGTACAATGTAACATAGAGGTTTATTTTCATCACGGAGAGGAATAAAAATACAACCTTGAAAAAAACAAATCAAATTGTTTCCCAATTTTGTTAGATGAAAACAGTAAATGCGATATATTTGGCCCATTTCTCTTGTCCGTAAACAGTAATGATAGTGGCTGCATAAAACTACCGCTAGACTTAAAAATAACTGAGGCAAGACAAGGAGGTCCTGGCCTAAAGCCCAACGGCGACAGGCTTATTATTGATCCGGGGAAAGAAATTTTAAGTAAATCAAACAAAAATTAAATTTAATTCAAATTGTGAAGCTCCTACCTCTTTGGAAGGCTCTAGATGGCCATACTCAAAAGGATCTTTGTCATTTTCGGTATTCATTTCATCAGCCTCTCCCGCATTTCCCGAATTTCCAGTCGCCATTTTGATTGTCTGATAAGAAATGCACTACGAAGATTGATCACGTGGCCATTTAATCGGAAAGCCGGACATTTCTTTGGGCAAAGAACTCCCTTGTGCTTTTGTAATCTTTACCGGGGGTCAGCGTGCTGAAGGTGAGAAAGGGAATTTCTATTAATTAAATCTGAACGACTGCAGTGTCTAGACAATTAATGGATCGTAGCAAAATTATCTGCAAGAAGTTTCTGTTTTTGCAGAAAGTAAATAAACTCTATTTGGAATTATTTTTTTGCCGATTAATCTAATTTTCAATAGTTGTTTTATAAGAGAAAATTGATACACAATAGTAAAAAATTAATATCATACTAAACACAAATTAATGTTGAGGTACCGGAAAACGCAATTATTAGACATGGCCTGTCAAAACAGGGTTATTGTGAACACTTTAATTAAAAACGCGCTTGATCTTTTAGCATGAAACCAGTGGGGAAATTCCCCGGAATTCCCCACTAGATGTCGCCTCACGATTCCCCACTAGTAAGTCTCCTTTTGAACAAAGCTGTGTAAAAAATCCGTCTTTACAATATCAGTCTTCTGCTTTTGTGTGTTTATATGCTTGTGTATGTTTACATGCTTCTTTTAACCATTTTAACGTTCCCATCTTTGCAGGGCCTCCAACGTTTTTTTAAAAATCTTTTTTTACGGGTGTTAAAATTTTCCCTTGGAAACCCAATTGAAACCCAACCAGTAGAAACTCCTGAAAAGATCCCCTGTGAAAACATCGTTATCAAGAGCATTATAACATGAATTTGCAGACATTTATCTGTAAGAACGTCATCATCAAAGATATATGCTTCATAACAGGGTTTTTCTTTTACTTGCGTTACTAAAGAGAAATATGTGCACTTTATATATTCAATGTTTTTCTACAGAGAAATATTATCTATCCCTGATGATTTAAGATCAAATTATGAATAACTGGAAAAAACAATCAAACTAGATCTAAATTAGATTGTTTTTATACGAACGAGTGTAATCGTTGAATAGAGCTTTGTAAAATTTTTGCCTGTGAATGGAGCAACAGGATTTCATGTTGATTCAAATCTGCGCAAGTCTTTATAAGGGGGAAGGTGCAGAAGTTTCCACATGATTATTTAAACAGGAACCCCCTTTAGTCCCATCTGCTTAATATATGCAAACACGGTGACATCAAAGCACACTCATTAGGGTCACAAAGTTTGGTCAGCAAAGCTTTTTCTGCATTATTGACGAGATAACAGGGAATGATTGAGCCTGGTGTCGATAAAAAATGGAATCCAAGACCACTCGAGCACCTCCCTGCTTGATGAGCAGATCTTTCAATCATTACTTGCAAGGTCAAAAGTCTTTATTACAATAACAAGAACATTCGTTCCTTTTGCGGCAAAGACAAGTACGCTGTGAGGTCTCAGTACAGGCCTATTCGTTTTCCAGGGCAACGAGAAGGAAGGATCCAACCATACCGAAGCCACGACATAGAAGCTATAATCGAGCTTCAATCCTTGAAAAATCTAACGAGAGGCGAACTTATCCATAATGATTTTTCCAATCGTCGTTATTATCCAAAGCAACAATGGGTTAGACTTTTCAAAGTACATTAGTTTAGATTAGCCTGAACTTGTTATTCCAGATATTTCAAAATCAATGGATGATACCATATACAAAACTGGATTACAGGTGCTCCACTAACAGGCCCTAGCAAATGACATCAAAACTAGACAAAAACACCAAAACCTTAAAGCCATTTAGAAACACATGACGCATCGCCTAAAAAAAATTGGTGAAGGAAATAGTTGCATTATTTATTTCATTCTCTAGATTAGGAAACTTTTAGATAGATTGTAGTAGATAAGCTTTGCATATCCCCTGTAGGTCAACAGCAAGCATCGTCGATTTTAATAATTTCCCCAAGAAGCGGCTCATGTGCTGCTCCACAGTAGAAGTTCTTTGAAGACTGAACCGACAGTAAATTGCTATTCCTGAAAAATATGAACCTGCACATTTTATCAAGCACCAAGCGAGCCGTAGATATCCTCTTCATATTGAGACTTTGTGACACAAGTAACTCAACTACTAACTTCAGCAGCCAAAACAGTTTTCAAAAAGACATGTTACACAGGGCTTCATTTAAATACGTAAAAAATTGAAAGGCCATGGTAGCAAAACTGCTCGACGCGGACTCCAAAAGAATTCTTGCTTAAAAATGGATGAAAACAACGCACCGAGAAAAAGCAGCAATGACGAACACAATAACATAAAATAAGATATAATATAATTTTAATTTGCATGTAAATAATAAAACCACATTTTCTTTACTTGAAACCATAACAGATTTGAAAAACGATTTCATCTAGAACATATTCAGGCTCAAACCGAAAAGTTCTTCAGAAAATATGCAATATAATGTAGAATAAATGTAATGTAATATAACTTCATTTAAATGTCATCTTCTGAAGAAGGTTTATCTTTCTGCAACCTTGTGACATTGACTTGCCTCTGTATTCTTTATTAAATACTATATGCAAATAAACCATAAGTTTTCTCCTCTTTGACTTGTAGGATTTTTAAAACAATCCCTTTCTTTATTCTCACTATTTTTCACAAAACTTGCTACATGGCCCTAGATCACAGTTTCACGTTTATCGCATAAAAAACAAAAAAAGTGTTTCTAACACAGCTTGTTTGTTAAAAAATTCTGAAATCTGAAATTCTAAAATCCTGTTGTCAAAAATTTTTATATGGTACTCTGGAGTCTGGAAGGCATTAGTCTTTGAGAACAAAACATGTTATAAAAACTTGAAAAATGCTAGCTGTTTCCTAATAAATGTCTTCATATGAAAGTAGCTCCATTTGTTGATCATACTAACGCAAAAATAGCTGCAGATTCAAGAATTTCAAATGTATAATGGATGACATGAAATCAGGAAATCAACTTGCTAAACACGCAGCTCAAGATTTTCTTCGAGCCAAAAACCCATGCGCAAGAAGGACTACTCAGTAATCTGGAAAGCATGCCAGTTAATGTTTTTTTAGATACAAAGAGAGGATATCCTGTTGTTTAGAGCAAACGGATGTCATTGGGGCTGAAAGGGTCATAGCCCCCTATTTGACAAACCTGAAGGGGCCATTGTATATTAATAAAAGTGAATAGCCATATCTTTCTCCTCGAAGTCTCTATACTTTCTTACGTATTGTAAAATCCTAAAATGACACCAAATTCAAATGTGGATAGCAAATACAGGGGGAAATTATGAAAATTTGAATCTCCCAAGATAGCAACATAAACTGTGCTGTGAAGTGAAGGTTGCCGGGAGATCAACAAATGATATTAATGAACTTGTGATAAGGGTTGTAAATGAGAATGACGATGATTTTGAAAATTATTTCATTATATGTTAACTTTTTATGAGTTTGTTTGAAAATTTGAAAAGAGGAATGGAGGAGTTGGAATGTTTCCATACTTTTTCACTAGAAGTAAAACTATATTGGATAAATCCAGTTAAATCTTTCCTTAAACGTTGCAAATATAGATAAAAAAATATGAAATCGTGTAATTTATATTTGCAAAATAAACACACCGTTAGGAACAGTATTTTTTTGAATATGGGTAACCAAATCATTTCTTTGACAAAAACCTTTATTAAATCGTCAAATACCTTTGCCGCTCTTAAGATTTCGGCATTTTCTGCAAAGTTGAATTAGATTTACTCTAATTTTGGTGTCGTGAGCAGGTTTCTAACAAATAGTTTCTCAGAAAAATTGCAGGTTGCTAGTGCCAAAACCGGGTTTTTTATCCTAAATATCTCCATGCGTTTAACGTCAGAAGATAAAAATACATACAGTAACAATAGGAACTAAAATGACATTGCTTATCCTGTTCAATTAATTTGACCGAAGACTCAAGTCAAAGCTGAGAATAAAAAGCTTTGAATCACCAGGATTTTGAAATTAAGGCTACTTTAAGCCTTCTGATCTGCAGAAAGTCGCAAAATTTTGCAAAATCCCTACCAGGAAAGCAGTCTATCGGACGAAGAAATTCTCAAGTGAAGCAAGCTACAATCCTGGACAAAAATAGTCGAGACTTTTCAAGGAAAGTTGATATTTTCTCTTTCCTTTAAAAAATACCCCCCCCCCCCAATTCAATGTTGAATGCATGATCAACCTAAGACCTTGAAGCTTGTTTTTGAAAATATTATAAGATTCCAGGGGGTTGTGACGAAAATGACCCCAAATGAGCCCCAATTTTGTAAAGTTACCCCGTGAAAGGCAATATGAATAAAACAAGTTTGTTTACCTGCCGCCCCCCCCTGCTGAATACATAATACTGTGACACCTTTCTTTAAACAAAGAAATTATAACACCCTAAGGAACGCTAATTGGAACATTAACTTTTCTGAATAAAGGCAATGTGTTCTGTTCCCGCTAATTAACTGCTTCTCGTGCAACTTTATCTTATCTTTCGTTAATTGAACCACTATACAAGGCCTTTTTCGCACGATATCGTAGCAATATCGATTTCACACGATTATGGCATCAATTCGCGCAATGATGAACGAAGACACAACAAGATATACGATAATGTGTCAATGTCCCACTAGAATAAGACTTGGAACTGAACGACATGGGGAATAGCTAGCAAAAACGCACTATATCCCGTCAGTCAACCATTCAGAGTAAACAGTAAGCTTTGCACCGCGCTTATGGTCAAGAAAATATTGCGAATTAGCTTTTCGTTGCCGATTGGATAAGTAGCAATAGGGTTATTGTGTAGTCCAACCAATGGGAAATTTAAATGGCCAATAAAATGCGTTTGGGCATGGGGCATACGTGAATGGCATCGCTTTGATGGCATCGCTTTGACTGCATAGGTCATAGGACTTAAATCAAAGAAATTGGCTATAAAGGATCTTTTATAGGACAACACGCAATAAAACAGTTTCTCTATAGTGCTTTTTTCAATTTAACATTCAAGAACCTGCATTTAAAACCGCGTAAAATAACAGAAATAGGAAGTTTTGCTTGTATACTTTGGCGCGTATTTGGAATACGCTGTTTGGTGCTTTTGGCAATGAAGTAATATCAATACTATGAGGGAAAGCGGGAAGTACAAAACAATTTGCAATTTTTGAGCAAGTAGACGTGACACAGAAAAGCATGTCATTTGGTCATGTGTCCAGACCTTAATTAGACAGACTTGCATGTTTGAGACAAAGATATTTTTATATAACGGCAGTGAATACTCATGGTGCTTGCTGCATTCCCTTTTACTATCTTGCAAAACAATAGTGTGTGAGAGAGATGGAACAACAAACACAGATTATTCCTAATGTTTCTAAATGTAGATTATTCAAATCTTGAAAAAAGGACTGTCCTTGAGAACTTATGCGTACAAATAAATTGTTTTCCTTACATGCGAATTTTGAAATGAAAACCTGCTTTCGATGCGTTGCAGAAAATATTCAAAATTTTCAAAGGCAGAGCAGGCAGCTCCTTTCTGTAGCCAAGTTCCAGCATTGGGAGCCATAAGCAACGCCAATGAATTGTCGCTTAGAGTTTTTTCTACTGACAATGCGTACAGTTCAAATGGTTTCATCAAAGTGTGTTCTTTAGAATTTCATTGGTTTTTAAAGATTTTCACACTGATGACAACGAATTTTCCGTTAATAAAAGATTGAGATGGACAAAGTGAGCTTTTTAAGGTATACGGGAAGAGTCATGCACGCGATTCGCATGCAATGAGGTGCCCATTAGAAATGTAGACTGCCACTGGCTACAGTGAGATGTAGTAAGAGGTGATCAGTTTACATAATTATTATCTTAACATAATGCAGAAAAAGATAAAACTATACCTTAAAACATATCCTGAATTCATTAAAACGAACTCTGATGTATATCATAGCAATTTACTAGAAAAATCTCTATAATATTCAATGGATGTTTTGTCCAATCTCGGTCGCACAAGTTCAAGAGCGGCGTCGAAGTGAGTTTTATTGATTGATGTCGCTTCGATGCTCTCCCGCAACGCAAAAATCGCGGCCTCTTTGCAAACAGCACAAATCTCTGCACCAGAGTAGCCTTCTGTTTCAACTACAAGCCGCTCAACCTCTATATCAGGACCTACAACAAACCAAAGAGCAATAATGACGGTTCCTCAGAGAAAAGAACAGAAAATGAAATGATGACATTTAGGACATAGTTAAGCATTTTCTCCGTATAATTTAAAGCTGGCATGGAAGGCATTCATAGCAGATTATGTTCAGCATTGCCGGATGTATTTATGGAAAATGTAATTGATGGAATAGGAGTAGGGCAGGGTTTCTTTTGTTGGGGCCATCCATGATGTATCAAACCAAGAAGGGAAGAAGGGACTTCACTTTTCTTGTATTTATCAATCTCCTTTTCTAACTGTATACTTATGGCAAAGAAAATCACAAAATGTCAAAGATGGTTGGATTTGAAAGCTTAAGAAGAGAACGGTCGCCTCTATGTGAAAAATAGAAACTGCATGTCAAACTGAAGAAATATGAAATTGCAACTCATGACTATATCAGTAATTGTTCTTAAAATTCTTTTGATGTTCAGTTCATTATGCGTGGGAATACAGCTGAAATGATCGCTAAAATCTACATGAAAAACGTTGCATTGATTCGCAAATATTTAATTATTAAAATAGAATTTAAAGAATAATGGCCTTCTGCTGAGTTTTAGGTTATTCCAAGCAAACGTAGAAAAAAGTAACTGTTAGTTTATAAAGAAGTATCAAGTTACATTGATTGTCTAAGACGGTCGCCAAAGGATTTCAGAGCAAGGTGCTTGAATATGTAGACAATTCTAATTAAAACTGATTGAATATAATGGATTCGCACAATCTCTGTATATTGTACATTGTATATTGTATCATCTTTGTATATTGATAGAAAGGCAGCCAGATAGGCAAGGAAAAGATCTCGATTTCAAGAAAGAAAATACAAGAAAAATTTATCAAGAGTTTTAGCATTTTCAGAGTTTCCTTAAGGTAAATTGTGACTTTACGGATATAGAGCAAGCTTATAGAAACTTCCCTTTATTGATCAATTTCTTAATATAATCTCTCCCGTTATTCCACTAAGTTATAAGGCAACATGAGACAGAATGGGATAAAAGTATAATTACCTATAGGTATTTTCCTGAACTGTATCTGAAATATTTCCTTTCTTGTTGCTTCATCAGGAAGCGGTACAAATATAATCCGGTCAATCCTCCCGGGTCTCAATAATGCATCGTCAATCATATCCGGTCTGTTTGTAGCTGCTATTACCATAACACCTTTAAGTCCTTCTACACCATCCATCTCCGTCAGAATTTGCGCCAGCACCCGATCACCAACGCCGGATTTCGACTTGTCTCCACGTTGGACTCCAAGGGCATCAATTTCATCGAAAAAGATTATTGACGGTGCAGCGGTCCTCGCTTTCAGAAAAAGCTTGAAGAGAAAGGGCACTTTGGTCAATGCCCAGAAATGTTTATGGTATGATAAAATAGAGAATAATCTAACTGAATAACAACAAAAGTAGACGATTCAATTTCGCAAAATTCAATTTCGCCCAAAGACACAGGTAAACTTAATATTCTAAATATATCAAAATTATTTCAGTCAATGACAGCAGAAGCAGACAATGACGGCGCAAATTTGTGAAATCACCCTTTCAAGAGTGGGACATACAGTTAAACACTGTTGCCAGTTTTCAGGAACATCACGCCACATTACACGTAGACGACTTTTTGGCGAGATTACTCATGAAAATGGATGATAAATGGAAACGGACATTTCAGAGATCATACCAAATTTTCATTTTTTTTATCTCTTCAAAGTCGTTCAAGATTAAGATATCTAAGGGATTTCAGATTTCATGTAATTACAACCTCAACGTGAAAAAACAATAAACTCTTCACTACCATACTTGCGAAGATACGTATCCAGAGAATCTATTCTTTTCAAGCAGTGCCCTGGGCTTTCCACTCGATGTAACTATACTTAAGTTTGGAATTACAGAAAGCAAGTGACTCTCTTCACTCTAAGTAAAAGCTTGATCATGTCATTAACTCAAAACACAGGCACGTGGATCTGTAGTCCGCGAACCAACTGTAGGGTATTGCAGGCTGTTTGCTTTAGAAAACGATTTAAAACTTGGTTGTTAAGCCATTGGGAATGATAATATAATAATTTTTCAATTTGGCACTCGAGTTGTCCCATTAGTTGAGCCATCTTGAATTGTTTTGTGTCTGTAAAAACAACGTCCTCCTATCGTATAAAGGCAGTCAGCGCAAGAAAAAGGAATTTTCAGCTCAGTATTAAATCTGTTGTAAATTTAGCTGAGTAAATAAGTGAACTGAGCTTTGCTAATGGATTACTCTTGTTTTGGTCTGATTCGTAAATTTTAGAACCAAAACCAAATTAAAGTGATTTGATAAAGAAAGAGTCTGTAACTCATTTAACTCATTTCTCATAAACTTAAATAATTCATTTAAGATCCATTTAACTGATTTTAAAAATTTCGTGCAAGAATTTCATGTTGTTCCCTCAGATTTTGTTGTCAAAACCAAGACTATTCTAAAAATAATATTTGTAATGCTGTCAATTAGACACGATAACCTTTAATATACCAGTAGCATTACTGCGACCAATCACATCGGTCGACCATAAATAAATAAAATTGGGATGTGCGTAAAAAATACCTCTCTCACAGCCTTTTCTGACTCTCCTAAAAATTTACTAAAAAGTTCCGGACCTTTGATAGAGATAAAATTGAGTCCACTTTCAGTAGCCAGAGCTTTTGCCAGCAACGTTTTAGAGCAACCCGGTGGGCCGTAAAGAAGAACACCAGTTGGCGGACTGATGCCCATTCGATGAAAAGCCTAAATGGAGAAAGACAACAATCTATCAGATGCCTAGCAAGCACCATGAATTATTTTTTATGGATAAAAATAATTAACAAATCAAACATTTCTATACAATATTTTTCTATATTTCTGTACTCTAGTGTCTCTAATAGACGGCCCCCCTTGTATTAATTTCAAAAGAATTTGCCCTCCCCCCGTCGCTTATTAACACTCCCTTCTATTAAATTTTACCAATCTGTCATGACCACAAAACACAATTTCCACTTGTCAATAATTACCCTTGTTATGTTATGTAGTTATTTTTTAATTGTCATAATTCCTTTTGTTATGTTTGTCTATCGTTATATCTAACCATCTATCCATTATCAAGTAACCAGTGTCATCATCCTACTAATTCCAACATCCACTCCTTCTATTAGCTCCTCTTTGCTATTGAAATTTGCTGACATTTTATTGAAAATTAGCCAACCTAAACATCCCCTTCTATTAGCAACCCCCTTCTATTGAAAACTGGCCGACATGAACAACCCCCTTCTATTAGCACCCCCTTCTATTAGCACCTCCTTCTATTGAAAATTGGCCGGAACGAACACCCCCTTCTATTAGAGACACTCGAGTAGGACACTTGCTAGAACAATTGCGACAAGATATTATTCGCAAAAATCTAAATGTTCCTTAACCACTTTATTTTACAGGCGTCCCTGAAAGTAAGAGACATTGTTCGACAGAAATAATGAAAAATTTACAACCTCTGGGTACTTCAGTGGCCACTCGATGCTCTCCTTCAAGCGTTGCTTCACTTCTTGTTGACCACCTACATCATCCCACCTGACCCGAGGGACGTCAACATTAATAGAGCGCATGGCACTTGGGCTCACTTTTAGCATTGCCTCGTCCATGTCCGTCAAAGTGATCGAGAAGTCTCGTGCATCTCTTTCGTCACGAACCAATCTTTTCAAAGCAGCCAAACCAGCTTCTTTGCAGACAGCAGATAAATCAGCACCAACGTATCCATGGGCATTCTGTGCAACTCTCAAAGGGACATTAAAGATCTAAGTCGGCTGAAGGGGTTGATAATGTAAAGGATGTTGTCATTGAACAAAGGAAAATAAAAATAGAGATAATGACAACACGGATTATGATTATTATAACGATATCTTTGTTGGTTGGGAGAGATGGCACTTTTAGAAGAGATTGTACTCATGAAAGTCCTAGCGACAATGACTGTGGTAGTTATGTTGTCACCGTGTAAAGATATGAACTTGAATTTGATCGTAACATGTTCGTGACTTTACAGTAATGACTTATGTCGTACCAATATAGTGATGTTTGTTCAAGTATAATTGTCGTGATATGTATTAATCTGTATTGGCGTCCTATTGTGTTGATCTGTAATTAAGGCTTTCTTTTAAGTTGTTTTGTAGTTGATTAAAGTTGAAAGAAACACGTTGCCTATATCTCTCTCTCGCATCTCTCTGCCGAACCTAACGCATATCGTTACAACCATACTGTAAGGATTCAGTTCATTTCAGGACGTAACCAGAAATCACTTAAGTCTCCATACCCCCTTGCCAGAGTTTTGAACGAAGCGATAAGCAGGCTTGCAACAAAACAACAAAAAAGCCAGGATCACTTCTGAATAGAACTGATAATTTTTTAATGCCTACGCCAAGAAAAACCCATTCAAGACAAAAATAAGTCGCCGAGAAAAGCGTGTATATATCCAATCGTAGTTATTATTGGAATCGTATTGAATGTTGTTGAATGAAACTACAGATACAGGCTAGAAAGGATCCGACCATAATGCATATAAAGGCAGGTGAAATTGTGAAAACATAGAGGTCATAGAGTAATGACACAGACTCATCAGTTTTCCTGTCGTATTTTTAATTTTTTATTCATTTGAGGCCCGTTCAAGAACATCTTATTACATAAGAAATGTCAATCAAACCAAGGGCATTCGATGAATCAGAACAACAGGGGAGGAGTTTTACAGGCATCTTCAACATTCTTTTGATGAAAGAAAAATATTACTCTGAATAATACTCAAATATAAGACCAAAATGGCCTTGATCCTTTAATCAAAACGTCAATCGTTGAGCAGGTCAAAATAATGACATAGGGAGATAAATATTACCGCGAGAAAAGTATTTTCAAGGCAAATCCAAAAGATTGAATGATCACTTCACCAGATTATAAATAACGTCTACGTTATTCGAAGCGGGCACAGATTTAACAATTTTCTCGATAGAAAGGGAGCGCCTCCTCGAGGGAGGGGGGCATATTCGAGGATTTACGATATGAAGTTAAATGTTTTAGGGTGACATAAAGCAATAGCTAGAACAAATCGACATTAATTTCACTTACTTTTGTATGGATTCTGGTGTCAATTGGTGTTTGGTCTTCGATAATAACTTCTTCAAGATTTCCATTCTATCGAGTGAGTTTGGGACTCCGATTTCAATTTCACGATCAAACCTTCCTGGCCTACGTAATGCTGGATCAATTGAGTCCCGTCTGTTTGTTGCCCCAATCACCATCACTCTACCAACAGAACTTGTCTTGAAAAAGCAAATAAAATTTATCACGCTACATAAAAAAAAGAAGTTGGAATACCGAAAACATAAATACCCAAAGTTCATTGGAAGTGACATTTTCCCCGAAGACTACCATAGTTTTGCCAATTGAACAATAGCGACGGGAGAAATGAAGATTTTTGTGTTTAGGGCTATTCAGCTGAATGCTTCTCGTAACGAGGTGTAAAACATGGAATAGTCGGTTAACTATCTAAGAGGTTTGAATAAAAAGTATCTAGCTAATGAGTGGAACTTTGACATGAAAGAAAATAAAAAACTAAATTTATAAATATTGTCACTAAATATATTTTTGAGCGGTTTTGTGATGAAATAAGTAAACAAAGATATGGTATCACTCTTAATAACATTCTCTTGAATTTTCTTGAGTAGCTAACTATCACAAATGTCATTGGGAAAAGTGATCAAAAAATGAGAATAAAAGTCGGACGATGTTGCGAGGAGACTGGGTATTGGTTCAAGTACGATCCAAATCAGGGAGGAAATTTCCAGATTTTCCAGCAACACTTGCACAGCTAACATTGAGGTGAACCTTGGCTGGGAATGCCTGAGCTTTGTCGAAGCAATGCGAAGTGGAACAGAATACGTTAGAAGGAAGTCCTTACCGAAATTTCAAGTTGATGAAGATACGCACCGAGCTCATTCCATCCATTAGAGTCAACAAAGTAGCAACAACTCGCTTCTCAGTTTCATTTATGACGTCATCTCTCTTGGGACATAAAGCATCCATTTCGTCAATGAAGACAATGGCTGGCGCTTTGCTTTCAGCCTCTTCGAAGATAGATCGCAGTCGACTTTCTGTCTCACCATAATATCTGAAAAAATCCATAAATTGCAAATTCTTAAACAACACAACCAAATTTGCTTGTACAACAAATGCAATTTTCATTGAATCAAAGTGTAAATGAAGCCCGGGCGCTCACCAGGTGAGTGAACAATTATCTGTTTTCGAATCAGCTCTCGTATAGTTACGTTTCAGATTTGAGACAATCATGTTAAACATTAATTCCTTCTGAAAGAGGACAGGGACCCTGCCAGTCGACTGGCTTTTACAGGGCTGTGAACAACAAAACAAGGATAGAAACATAGATAAACTAAAACACAAAAAGCAGTTATAGAAACATATCTAAATCCATTAGACATCTCATGCTTGTTTGAAATGATGCATACTGTTTTGAGTTGCACTTATTCTGCCATTTATGTATAAAAAGCATTTTATAAGCTTGCATGTACCAAGTACAACCAAAACATTCAGTGGTAACGTGTATTTTCAGTCTTAGATTGTATATAGGCATATCACTTGGCATACTGGAAAAACCAGACCCTATGACACTAGGAACCCTATGACCCCTAGGACCATTAACTACGAAGAACCAAAAAAGACCCTTTAGGGCCAGCAGATGTTAACAATAACAATGACATGAATCACGACATATATGGCAAATTATGACAATTCATTCCAATTTCAATGCTGTGTCATTATTTATAAACCACACAATGAAAACTGCGTAACAACGTCATCAGCATAGTTTGAAACGGATTCACCTTGCTTTCAACAACTGAACACTGACCACCCTCTCATTACAGACAGTCTTTTTTTGTGTTGCAAAAAAATTATTACGATGTGCATTTACTTATTTCTAAGCATCAACCTTAAACTCGATCACAAAAAGACAATTAATACAGAGCTAGTGTGAGGAAACCAGGTTGAAAAATTCATATTGTGCTGTTAATCAAAACGAGCAAGACTAGAAAAAAAAGGAAAATTCATGGATACAGGAATGTAATGTAAAACTGATGTTACAAAGCATTTCACAACAAAATGAATGTCACAATGCTGTATACAACATTCTTTTCACGTTGCTACATATTCTACAATAACAAGTTGCGCTACTAAATGCTTTTATCTTATAGAGAATAGACATTAGGTGCAAAAGTAATTACACTGTGGGCAGAGTTCTATAACATTTTGCTTCAAACTGATTGCATTGGTTTCTTAGAAGGTTGTTCCGGCTAGAAATGATATGAATGTCTTGCAAGGTTTACACATTATGCTGGCAAACTTGCTAAATTCGTTTCAGATTTCAAGAAGCATCTATACGTCCTAATGCCAAGAAGCGAAATACAAGACGGGTACGTCTGCGAACGCGCTCTTTGTAGTTCTAGCCGGACTTGGCTTCCGGATTCGTATTTCGACGTCTTCGTAGACGGGAAACCTTCTGTATGATCCACAACCTAGCTCTGCTGTTCATTTTGAATATTATCAAAGCGTTGATTATGAAATTGAAGAAAAATAATAGCGAAGCAAAGTCGTATGCAATCGACAGCGTAACTGATTTGTGCCCGGCCACTTCATAAGAAAGTTTGACTGTACCAACAACAAACAATGGAAGATACGTAACTGGGATCCAAATTATAAGCAAAAATACCGTTTTCTGCAAGTGCTGTAGATATGCTGGGCAACGAGACGATACCTTCAAGGCATCTTTATTTTTGCTATTTTTGACATTTTTTGTCTTATCGATACCATCGACAGGATTTTCGCCAAAGTATCCTGAGTATATGGGGTTCTTCAAGACAGCTTTACGTACTTTCTGGTAGCCATGTATGTATAAGAAAGCCATTCCAGGTATCAAGAAAAACTTCAATATAGTGGCAATGACCATGATGATTATAAATCCAAGCTGCCCAAAGAGATCCAGGTATAAAAATAACGAGGATATAAAGAATGCAAGAACGATAGCCAAGGACAATGGAAAGATAATGAGCTTCCCTTGGAAGAACCTTGTCATTGACGCTCGTTTTAGGGTCATTGACATCTTCATATGCAAATATCGATCCAAAGCCAGCAACAGAACAATCAGCGTAGATAGATACCCAAGAAAAGGAACAAGAAACTGTGTTGCTTTTTTCAAGAGGTATAATGCAGAATAACTGTAATAAACACGTACGAATATGAGCGAAGGCAATGCAATTGCTCCATTCAGGGTATCAACGAAGGCCTTGCACGTCACAAGTGTGTTGGAACTGTTTAACCATGCTTGCTTTGTTGCAATGAACGAGAAAAACAGAGCAATGTTAACGAAGAAGGTCACCGGGCTTAACAAGCTGTACATTACAGTTACTGTTAAACTGACACTGGCGGGCAGCTCATGCATGTAAAGGAATAGTGCGCTAGAATTCAAAGTGTCCATTTCCTCGATATGGTTGATCTACTGTGAAGATTGCTAATAGCAAAAAACGATACTGCACAATTGCAGAAAGCAGAGAGGAATGACGCCTCGCATCCAAATAAGTGAGTTCCCAATAAATGTTTCAGAGGCTTGTCATCAATATAGTTACTCTTTCGGTGTTAACAAGAACATACACAAACAGCTGATCAAAGGCTTGAGGAACAAGAAAATCTTTATGTCAACATTTTGCACATCTAAAAATTGATCTTTAGGTCCACAACGAAGTTCTTGACAAAACAAGTTCCTCAAAAAATTATTTTTTGCCTCTGCTTTACTTCAAAAGAGCCACATCTCTATGTAAAGCATTGTCAAATATCAGCTGCTGTCCTTTCTGCCGTAATCAGCGGAATATCTTTACCAACACAAACCTCAAACAAGCCACCTGCACTTAGATAGAAATTCATTAACTGCTTGAGAGACCCTTTGATATGAAAAGGTCCGTCATAATGATCAAATATCGATAACAAGCTGCCTGACTTGACCGTACCTTGTATTGACTATGGTGTAAGTAACTATTTGCTTTGAAGGAACTTGGTTCATGCTAACAATGCAGTACCTTGCTCTGAGCTAACGAAGTGTACACACAAGCAAAAGAAATTATTGCTTGCTAATAACAGCTTCCTACCAGAATACCAACAGGAACAGCAACACGTGTCATCTTCGTAATTATAAGTGCATATTCAAGGGAGAAAATTATGGGAATGCAAGTGGTGTTACGTCTTTAAATTATTGAAACAGCTGTTACACAAAAATATCATTCCTGCTTCCTGCTGACGACATTATTTTGCATCCTTGCTAGCACTGATTTAGAAAGGCTGATTCTTTCTCGTAAAGAGGTTGTCTACCTATCCTCAAATTATTTATTTTTCGCCAACTTTATTAGACAACATACACAAATGCTATTAGTAGCCGACGTGACACGGTGAGAAGAGTTTGAAATTGAATGATAGATTACCTATAGTCCCTGACAAAAATAGTTGACAGGCTTCAAGAAAAGCTTAAAAGCTCCTATAAAAAAGAACCCACCCCCCCCCCTTCAATGTTGAATGCAAGCACAGACGATAGAACCAATAACCCGACATTAATTCTGGAGGAATGGGGGTTTCGAATTTACAGGGGCAACAAAAAGAAGAAATTTTTCATTTTCTCTCAACAATTTTGTCCGGGATTGTAATTTGGTAAAAGTCCGTTTTGAAGAAACAAACCTCTAGTTCTGCTGGAAAAACAACAGGAAAAAGTCGCTCATATTATGATGACCTTAACAGTGATGACAAACTTGACAATCTTTTGTAAACTCTGAATTGTATAGTGTGACGTCATGAAAATATATTTTTGAATTTTCGACTTTTGACCACAGATCCTTAAAGAACATTATGAAATACCATTAACTATTGCAAATCAGTTCACTTTTTTATAATTGGGTGAAATATGATCAATGAAAGGTTTGAAGTTTGCTAGCACGGTGAATTGATGTGGGAAGAGCCAATAATCGTGGTGCCATATCGAAGCAACTTTCTAACAAATTCAGCTGAATTCACATAATTAGACGCATTCTATAATGCTTTTTCAGGTTATGTGATCCAAATTCTAAACAATTCTAAAAATATATTCTTGGATGTCATAACTTTAGAACTCTATTGTGAAGGAATATAAGATGGGGTTAGGATTACTCCAGGATATCAGAATCTCAGTGAGAGTGTGGTGATAGAAATGTTGATTAATAAGTTAAAGTTTATGTAAGGAATTGGTCAATGAATAGACCTCAATGGCCAACGAAAAGTCTTGTTCTAATTCTTATAGAGCACCTAGTTCGACTGTCTTAGATTTCACTCGGTTTTGGAAGGGTTACATAGTATCATAAAAAAACACAATGTCGAGCAATGTCGGAAAAAAGTTTGGTCTGAGAGTTCGCTACGATGAAAAGATATTTGAAGTTAATTACCCGAAATTTCTCGTCCTAAAACTTTTTTATTTATCTAAGGCAGTGTAGTAGTAGATACAAACAACATTTTGCATTACGTACCTGTTTGCAGAAAATTTTAGACAGTTCTTGAAATAAAAAATTCATATACTCGAGTGCCTCGTTTTTGATAGGTTTGTCAGCCTAATGGCCTGATACAATAAATTTCATGGCAATGGTTCTACCGAATAATTTGTAAACAAGTAGCTGAAGCAGTTTGCAGTCGTGGTGTGCCTTGGTGATATATTTGTTAACTTAACTTGTAGTTTTAAAAGATTGTCCTCTGTAAAATCATTTCTCTTTGAACTGGATTTTTTAAAGTTGATCTGTGTTATTTTTGCTCGCATTTCATAAATGATTGCTTCAACGCAAAAGTTTGAGTATATGACACATTTCTAATACGCAACATATATTGCTCTTGGCAAAAAAACTTACTTCTATATACAACAGCAAACAAAAGTTGCTAAACAAACAAATCCTTCCTGACAAAATGGTAAAATAAAAATTGTTATTTACACGATTCCAAACGTATTGTATTATTTGACAAGCTAGTTAAAACGTCTTGAAAACGTTTAAATTGAAAACGATCCCATTGCGATGAACGTACAAAGGTACACAAAGTCTTCTACAATTAAAAGCGGATCAAAATTATACACAACTGTCGTACCAAACATAGTCTGGACACCTGTTTTTCGTGTAAACATTTCCAAAAAAAATCAGAATCGAGCAATTAAAGATCCTTTGAACGTACTGATAGTAGATTGGTCAGACACATGCAGGATACATTTTTTCTTTCTGTGCAGTTTTCACCGAGTCATCTGAACAATACAATTTCTAGTTCATATGGAGTTTAATGAGTCATATGGAGGCTTGAGGAATTGAAAATGTTAGACATAACGAAACTGACCAACAATGGACATCTTGCATTACTGATATCAGCATATAGGTCGCAAACAGGAACTTTACAAAGAGATTGTGCATCCAAAAACGGAGAGTTCAATGATCGACACATTTTCATTCCGAATGTAATCAAGAAACGATAATAACTGAAATAATTGTAGCTGGTGTCATCTTTCAGGGTGGACATATTGACTGCGACATTAAACTGAAGTTTCTAGTTGTTTTATATGGTGAGCTGAGACCTGCATTGCAGAGGGTATGAGTTAGAAAACAAAAATACAGTGAATGAACAAGAGCGACCAAAGGACTTAGAATGCTGAGTTGCAATACACCCATCACATCTGCGCTGGACGTTAACAGAGCTACAGGACTTGGTATAGGAATCGGTATTGCAATTATAGCTCCATTATCGTTTATAACGAACACATTGCTGCTGGTGTCCCTGAAAGCAACAAAGCAGTCATCATGTAACGCTACAAACAAGCTTATCACATATCTGTGTGTTTCAGATAGCCTTAATGGAGCCATCAACATGCCAATATTTACGTATTTGTTTTTACGAAGACCATCAGAATGTCATCTACAAGAGGCAGCTACAATAATTTCAACGACTTTCAGTATTACATCTGGTTTCGTTATAGTATTAATTGCTATTGAGCGCTATCTTTATATGAATCCTTATGCCGGATCAAAAACAATATGGCTCCGGAAACTATTCCAGCCTCCTCTGGTTCATTACATCGTAGTAGGATCATTTGCGTTTGCGTTCTTGCAATCAGTAGGCATGGTGTACATTTTCAGAACCGGAAAAACAGGCACAGCAATCGCAAATATACTGCTTGCGGTAGTATGCACAGTCGGAATATCGATCATAACTATAGCATACATCAAAGGCTATCGAAAGCTTCGTCGTATCACAGAAGAAACTTCAGCCACGATGGATGATCGTACAAAAGAGCGCGGGAGGCACGCTTACATGAAGGACTTACAGCGGACCGTGCTTGTCTTAATAACAACGATGTTTATTTGTTATGCGCCTTTTGGTTTATCGTGTCTTGCACAAGGACTAAATCAGATCTTTACGCTTAAAAGCGATCCTCAATTGATGAATGTATTCTTAGCTGTTTCAATAATGGCTGTATACTCCAATTGTCTCATCAACAGCATTCTGATATTCAACCATAACAAGAAAGCAAAACAGTGGGTGCTTCATAAGTTAACTAACTTTAAATCAAATTTTTCAGAAACCAAGGTAACAACGTATGTAAAATGAACCTAGACAATATATCCACAACCCTGAAGATCAATTACAAACATTTCATAACAAGCTAAAAGGTGGAGCACAGATAAATACCACAGAAAGAACAGTGTTGCTTATGCTTCCCAGAAGACAACGATTTGGTCTTTCCCAAAAGACAACGATTTGGTCTTAATAAGAGTTAATACGTTAAACTGAGAGATATAGCAATTCTATTTGTTATTCCCAAAGTACAGCATTGGGTTACGGCTTCAAATGCAGATCTAAGAAAATTCATGCTGGGCATATTCGCTTAAAACAATTAAAAGAGCTCCTAATGATCACTCAGATTTAAAGAAAATCAAATATAATAAGTGGTTTAACCATCTGCTAATCAACTATTAGCCAATCAACAAGCGTGTTGCTACTCAGACGCTTATTGATTGGTTAATTGGCGATTGATTGACGGCTTAAGCCACTTCTGCGCCCGTCAATAGCCTTTAAAATTAAGTTTAAGAGAATAAAGTCGCGTTTTTTGCCGTGACTTTCATGAAAAACGTCCAATGTCCCTGCATCACAAGCTTCTTCTTTATTTTGAATTTACTCTCAAAGCCATATAAAATTAACACTTCCATTTTGAGCATGATAACAAGTATTAGGGCTATCATGAGGTGGTTTTAATTAGCTTGAATATAGCTAGTATTGTATGTTACCAAATTAAAAGAAAGTGGGAAGAAAATATGTTAACAGTGTGTACGCTTTGATAAAAGTTAGAACAAAGCAAGATTCATATCTTAACATGCACATCAACTTGTTGTTCCAGTCAATATTGCAAAACGCTTGGAAATTTGTTTTGATAAGTAGCGAAGTCAAGAGGCATGTTATCAAAGACAAACCAACGCGAAAGCCATTAAAGCATCGAATGCATTTGTAGCAAGTTTGTAAAAAATAAAGCCTGAATTTTTCAGTTTATTTATGTATGTCATATTAGATAATGCCTAAATTTTGCTGAAATTATCATCATGTTACCAATCCTTTTTCATTCACAGTCAAAAAATGAAAGTATGATCGTTTCAACGAGGGATGGTATCATATTCCTCCTCCACAGTGGCTTGTTGCTAAATTGGTGTTCGAAAACCCATTTTGATCCTCTAAATCCCAGCAGATCCCCATTCACCGTCACTTTTACTTAAAGTCATATGTGTAGCGCTTTAAAGTATCTATATGAATCTCTCCGTTTTGAGGTTGCATTTAACTCCACCATCCAGTCCATCACGGATTGGACGGACACTACATCTTAGTTACAAAAAGTCTGCAAAACATTTATTGGTTGCGTATCACAGCATTGGCAGCAATGGTCGAATCGTAACGGCCTAATCAAAAGAACTCAAATCGTACTCACCAACTATCTGCTGTGCATGTCTATTTGCTAGATTTATATTCCCAAAGTACTTTTTTGTTAAATCCGTATGGCATTCGTACTACTGCGAGTGCGAATCTGAACTCCATTATCTCCATCGCAGTAGGATAGGATAAAGGGAACTGCGGACGAAAAGGAAAAGGGGAGGAGCTGCAAGGGAGAACGAGGAAGCGAATAGCGACAGATGCTATTTTCCATTTCCTTTCTCCTCGACCTCCCCCTCCTATTCTCCGCAGCTCCATTTTTTAGTCTCTGTGGAGGACTCTATGTCCTTGACGTACTCTATGTCCTTGACGATTTCAATCGTCAAATAAAAAATCAAATTGATCGTTTCATGGGATTTAGGAATAGCTTTGTCGAAAGATGAGGTCACAAAAATCTATTTTTAGAATTTTTGACATTGTTTCCCATAATCTGAAAGAGCATCATGAAATTCTTCTAAATCTGCAAAATCAGTTAAAGGTATTACGAATTGGCTGAGATATGTCCAGATGAGCACAAGCTCTGGCCCCATCAAACCTCTGTAATTTTGTCTCAGTTCATAACTTTATAGTCCGTTAGCAAACTCTAGATCTTTTATTGGCCATAGTTCATAGACAAAGAAGAAAAAGAAGGAGGATAAGAGAAAGAAGAGAGGGAAGGGGAATAAGAAGAACAAGACCAAGAAGAAGCGAAATAAAAAGGACAAGAACGGACAGGAGAGGAAGGTAAGGAACATGAATAAGAAATTTGTTATATCATTAATTTTATATCTCTGATTTGCAAGTATGAAATATTAAAGTTACTGTTTGATGTTACTGCAGAACAATTGCCAAATTTTACAAAATAAGGGAAAATTTAACAGATGTTAGAGAACTGTTTGCCTGCTTGATGGTAAAATTAACTTTCACTCTCGTGCATAATGCGTTGAAAGATTTCAGATCTTTTTTTGCCATGAATTACGAAATCTCTAGAAGTTGCTTCCCTTAAAAACTCTTTATATCTCAATAAATTCATCTTTATAAACTGTGGAAAGCTTAAAAGATAATGGTAAATCTTCTCAATGACACACTAAAAAGCAGCTTAGAATTGGTCACAATATCAAGTCACCTAGGCAGTTTTAGATTTTGGATAGAACAAATACACAATAATGCTTAAAAAGGGAATCTATGAAGGTACAATATCAAAATATTTCAAGGTTTTAAAGATTACTGCCTTTACTGCTTGCCCACTGATTCCATGCAGCCATTAGATTATATTTCCCACACTAGCTGACGATCGAAGCATCTTGTTTGATAATACTTGGTCAAACAGAAAGTTATGGTTCTGACAAAAAACAGATAAAACTTCAGAAATTGTGATTAAATGCATGCTTCAAGAACGTCGAAAATTAACACTTTAGTATATGTATTAAAAAAGTCAAAACAAAGCTCTAATTCAAACTTATTTCTGCTGTAAGTAACTAAATATTTGAGTCGGCGGTCAAATACAATGAACCTACAAATGTTCTCACAATTACCTCTTATTGATTTGCCATTGCAGTTTGATCTTTAACATTCAACGATAGATGATTAAAACAGCGGTTTCTTAATAAGGACCCGTTAAGAAAAGCCAGTTACGTACGGTTGCTTACTAGCTCGGGGCAAGAAGAGATCTTCTCCTCCTTTGGACATGTTTGCAGTGCTCATATAAAGGCAATATTTAATAACATTTTTTTATTTCTTGTTGAGAGGAAATTCAACAGCGGATCTACAGAAGGACAGGGCAACAACACATGCGTCGTTCTTTTTGCCACAAGAGAACCATTTCGTTTGAGCTCCACAATAGAAAAGACACTACGCAACATTGTTACAAAGAAAGTTGGAAGATTTTGCCACTGCAGATATCAATGCTGTAACTATGTAGCCTCTTCCTCTGTCAAATGAAATTCTGTTCTAGGTAACACAGCAAAATAAAGTGGTTTATGCGATTTCAAGACTGTCAAGCGATCCCGAGAAGGAAAACTTGCACACAAGGGACAACGCCGAAGACGGAAGTTCTTTGCAAACTAAAGAGCTCCTATCATAAGGACGGTTTAGATCTGTTACATCGAAGTCGACGCTACATATCATTGATCATAAAGGCCTTGAGAAATGTCCACACAAGGGAAGGAAGAAGGAATCCGTTTGTAATACTACGTTAAACTTCACGAAGTCAAATATAGCTGGCGCCGTTAATCTGCATAACTATAAAATATATAAACAAGATTTTCCAGCAATACCACAAGAGGGGATGTTTGGAAAAGGCAATTTCTGCAGCACTGCTGCTGAGATAATCTACAACACCGACGAAACGCTTTCATTTTGGTATGGTGTATGCACCCCTCCATTTGTTCTCCTTGCCCTCATTCTCAATGTTATGGTAATCACGGCGTTTATTGCGACCAGGCAGGCGACCGCAAACACATTTAATACCCTGATCATCTTACTGAGTTCAAATGAAATACTTGGGGTATGTTTAGGAATGCTTACTTTGGGGATTTTGTTTCTCAAAAGAACCCCCACTAAAGATTGTTACTCAGAAGACTTCACTTTGTACGTGCTTGTTTATACGTATACAATGGAACTTTACACAACAACTATCATTACAATCGACCGATTTCAACATATGAATCCAACAATACAAACAGGACGGTCAACAACGGCTAAATTATTTAAGCGCCCTTATCTATACGGAACTATATTTGCAGGCGTGTGTATATCTTTGCTTGAAGGCATATTCCTCCATCAAGCACAACGCGTCGGCAGAATCACCAATGGAGTTTCATGGCTAAGTATCAGTACAATTGCCATATTTGCACAGGCTACTGTAGCATTTCTGTACACGACTGGGTACAGAAGGGTATGCCGATTCGTGAGAAACAACCCTGTACACCAAGATGAGAACGGTCGAACGACTCTACCACAGTATGCAAAAAATCTTTATAAAAGTGTCTTATATTTGATGGTGTTGTCTCTTGCAACACATGTGCCTATGATCATGGCACTTATGACTATTTCCGCTTGTCTGCTAACTGGTACATGCACAAAGTCTGTTTTTAATATTTACACATGGTTCGCAGCCACCATCTTCTGTATGCATCTAACAGTGATAATCAGCCCGTGCATTATATTGTTTTTCAACAAAAAAGCAAAGCAATGGCTGCGTGATAAGATCTTTTGCCATTCTCGTAGGCCTAACGATAGGGGCTAAATAGGTTGCCAGCAGCCAGCTTTCCAACATACAGAGATAGGTCTACAAGCAACAACATGCTGATCTTGGCTTAGACTCTCTATTAAGCGTCGTTTGCAAGAGCCAGGTTCTTTTGGCAGCAGTACAACAATAACAATCGTTTGACCTGTTCAAAATGAAACTGTTAGCCGTACCAAAAAGGATCACCAAGATAACGGTTTTAATTGTAACCCTTCTATAAAAACTCCAGTGTAAACCGATGGAGCATTTCGAAATGAGACAAGAGGTAAAAAGAGGCAGAATACTCATCATGGGACAATTACACTATCGTTTTCAGGTGCTAAAATTGTTTCTTTATATCATTGCCATTTCTGTTTTACGATTAGATTTCAATATAAAACGGCAGTAATGTCATCAAAAACTTCTCTATTACTCTGCGTCCACTTTCAATTTCTATAAAGTTTTGAATAATATTTTTTGGCCATGTTGAGATGTGTAAGATATATTTTGTGATATGCAACATCAAAAAGCTGAGGCAGATGTTGCAAATGAAAGATTCCACATCTACCAGGTATAAGAACATTCTATAATCGTGTATATAAGTTAATGTGCAAAAAGGTTAAATGTGTTAAATATCTAATTTATCATATACCTATAAATACAGAGTTTGGAAAGCGTGTATTCTTCGGGTTTCGATCACATAGAGCCTTGCTTTGGTTGCAGTTTGTTTGTTTTCAAATGTCAAATTTCTCCGCTCATAATTTGCGTTTGGTTATTTGAATCATCACAAAACAGGCAAGCAAGTTGCTATTGTTTTAATAATATTCCCTAAACGCTCCTAGCCACAGAAACTTACCTTCCTTTCTACAGACTAAACATAAACAATTGTGCCACATTTTTGGTAGCTTGTGCGCAGTCTTTTTGGTGTTGCTGTCTTGTAAATGAGCAAGCTTCCATCCAGCAACAGCAAAAAGACTGCGGCAGGCTACAATTTTTGCTGATTCGCGTCAAAAAATAAACTTTTATACAACTAGCAAAGCTAAAACTTTAGTATAAAAATCTTAAAAACTTTGCCAATTCGTGCATTCTTAAAATGACTCCTAGACTGTTCCTTTTATATGTAAAAAACCTAACACATAACTTTTAGCTGCTTATTTTAATCTTTAGAAGACAAATAAGGAAATTTCTATTTGTTTTGACAATATTTCTGATGCAACTATGGCACCCGATTGTAATCCCATTCAACAGCCTGTTAATTAAACCTACGCTTGGAGGCAACGAAGGGCAATTCTCAATTCATTTGAATGGCCACTTTGCTCCTCATATCATGAGACTGTTACATAATAATGACAAAGAAGACAAATTAGACAAAACATGTTATTGCCAAGTTGACTCGATTTAGCACTTGAAAAATAAAATAAACTCATGGTGCTTTCAGGAGGGGCCTTATCAAAGCAGAAGCTAATGTATGGAGACCATCTGTATATGCCAACCGAAAGACAAGTTGAGTTTAACCTTACCGCTGTGTGAATATTAGTGCAATATAGTAGAGAAGAATAAAACGGCAGCTGATTAAATAAATCAAAATTTAAAAAGCTTGATTCAAGTTCAAACAAAGTAAAATAATAAATATGATAATGATTACCAATAATACTAAGAAAACGTGTGGTTTGCTATTAAACAAGTTTGCAAATCAGTCTTTGATCTCACGAATGGCGAATTCAGTTTAGAAAACAAATCAGGGCATTAATTAAAACATCATTAATTAGAAGCAGAGTCTAATTACAGAACTCGTTAGCAAGCAAACTCAGTGAAAAGATGGAAAGGCTTCGGAAGGTTTAAAGCAATCACATCAAAAAGCCTTTCTCCGAAAAACGTTTCAACATTGTACATCTTCGTAGCACAAACAAGACACTACAGTAGAGGTCACATTCTAAGCTTAATAGTGCAAAGGACAACATGTATGTGTACGTAAACAGAACCTGTTTAGTGGTGCCTGAAGGATACCTCCACATTGATTCTCGCATTTCTATTTCGATTGGAGTCGTCACAATAACATTCTCACTCATGGCTGTTATAATCAATGCCACCATGATTGCTTCATTTTATGCAACAAAGCAAATGTCTGCAAGCCGCTTTAATATGCTTATCACGTGCCTTAGTCTGACTGATATGGTTGGTGCAGCATTTGGAATGGCTCCATTTGCAGGATTTCTTCTTAAACGAAGCATCTCAACCGATTGTTACTTGGAAAATACAACATTAGTCATGATGCTGACATGCTATACTTTAGACTTATATCTGACAACATTATTGACCATGGACCGATACTTCCATATGAACCCCAACATTGTATCACCTTCGGGGCTGATGAGACTTTTTGAGCAGCCCTATCTCTACTTCATGTTAGCAGCCGGTGTACTGTTGTCAGCAGCAAATGGGATACTATATGTATTGCTAAGCAGACAAAATTTCAAGTATAGTGCAGTCTTCATAATGACAACAAGCGTTTTTGCAGCATTGACCCAGCTCACGGTAACGGTTCTGTACAGCAAAGGTTATCGGCGAATATTACGATTTACGTCAAATACTCCGATTTACGACAACACTACCTCGGCAAGGCCACAGTATTTGAAGGGCTTATACAAGAGCGTCCTCTGCCTCACTGTCGTCTCCCTGGCAACTCACGTTCCCATCACTATCGCAAATGCATTTTTTGCAACATGCACACTCATGCATAGATGCGTTAATCATTTTACTGAAATTGCAATAGCTTTGTCAGTGACTTACATCAGCGTTTTTACCACTATGGTTTTGAACCCAGTGATAGTCTTGAATTTCAACAAGAAAGCACGCTCGTGGGTGTTTGAGAGGCTATCAAAACTACTCCCAAGACAACACCGCAGAACTTTTATCTTAAATCAACTTTCCAAGTCATAAATAATCAACAAAATCAGTATTATAGATATTCACTTGCCTTAAGTGGTCACTTTTGTCAGATGAAATGGGGAATTCACAAAGCACTATTCGCATTATTTGCACACTTTTGGCAGAATCAAGCAAAGACTAGGTCAGAGTAAGACAGACTTTGCAGGCGACATATCCGTTGGACCTTTCCACAAGCATTTAGTATAATCCAGAGGCATTGGGACTTTGCTGCAGTCCACGAGATTACACAATACCTCTGTCCATGAGGCTTATTCGAGGGGGTTGGGGGCTTATTTCACAAGAACTAATTTAGGGTGGGAGAATATTCAAGGGGGCTTAATCGAGGGGGTAATTATTCGAAGGTGGGGGCTTATTCGAGGACTTACATAATCCAAATACTTTTGACTTCTGAAAACAGAAGAGCGAGAAAAATTCACTTACTTGCTCAGCACTTCAGGACCATTAATGACAATGCAGTGGGCTCCTGTTTCGTTCGCAACAGCTTTTGCAAGCAACGTCTTCCCTGTGCCAGGAGGACCATAAAGAATAACACCACGTGGTGCTGATATGCCTAAGGAACGATAATCTGTTCTACATCTTGTGATTGCTACTATTAATTCTACAAAATTTCAAATGTTAAGGTTAACTCAATGTAAGCTGTAAAATGAAAGCTGGCCAAGAAACTTTAAGCAACAAGACAATGTTCTTTGAAATAAATTTCCATGAATTTGGATTACATGATATTTTTATATGCTAATCAATGGTTGGTAGCAAACATTTTATATATCCATTATATATCAAACTTATAGCGCTACCCAAGGACTTTATAAAACGTTGCTGCTATTAAAATACAAGAGCAACCAATCGGAAAGGCATATTTTGTATTGGACATTTTCAAAGATTTTCAAGGATAAGCAAATTTGTTGATGTTCTCTTAGAATTGCACTTCTAAAAGTTAAGTCCAGTTGACGACTGTATAGCTTTCAAAGATGAAAAGGGCTCACATTATACATGTCGTTCGCAGGCCAAATCAAGTCCGGGATGAAAAGGCTAGATTCAAAGGAAATGTATGACTAACCAAGGACAAGTAAAAATAGACCTAAGCAATTCTAGTGTAAAGAGATAAAAACTCACCACATGTCCTGAAAAGCTCGGGATACTTCAGAGGGAGCTCTATTGTTTCACGTATAGCCTCGATTTCTGCTTGGAAACCTCCGATTGAATCATAGGTGACAACATCAGAATCCTTTACGTCAGGTGTCTGAACTGGTTCGTCATAAGGACAAATTATCACATTTACAGCAGTTTCCTTATGATGAATACTGTATGCAAACTTGTTGAGGGATGGTAGTGGAATCTGATATGCTAGATCCGTGAAATTGTCTTTGTATTCAAGTTTATTTGATACAAGTAGGGAGATGTTTCCCCTGTCCGAATTTGTTGATATCTTCAATCTACTCATTTCATTCTCGATGTCTGATTTTGAATTTTCCTGAGGTGATTCACTAACTTCGCAATTGCCGAAATCGCCACTTATCTTAGTGATCTTGAACTTTCGCTCGCTTCCTAAATATTTTATCGTGCAAAATTCGCCTGGGGCTACGATTCTACCATCTGTAATAAAATTGGAAAGGGATTAAAGTAATTCTAGCAAATTCTTAATTAGATTGCTGACAATAAACAGACTATAAATAAATAATTGCAGATGAGTAAATGTTAATAAATTTTACTGACCAAATAGGTTAAGTTGCGATTAAAAAAGCAATAATGATATATAGAATAGACTGCTAAAAGAAAATATGGAAAACCTGAAATAGCTACGAGAGTTGTATTGTTAAATATTGAAACAAAAAGGTGCTAATGTGTTAACTTGCACATATATTATTCATTATTCATTATTCATGCTAGTAAAACGACCAAGCATAATTGACTCAAAAATAATTGATAACCAAACTCTTCGACCCTTTAATTTTCTACTCCAAGGCTTCTCACTTTGAAGCTCAGGGCACGGCACTTGAAAACGCAATTTGAAGTACATTGGCAATGTCCACATTTCTGCCTTAATCTTGAATATTAGAACCTGATTTGATGTCGATGAAATTAATTAAAATGACCTTTGTCACTACACTTGTTGTTGTAGGAGAAGCCATTATTAAATCACATTTGCAAATCATTTCTATCACACAAATTCATGGATTGTTCGATTAACATACTCGAATAACACCAGCCTTACACCTTTATTCTGTAATTTTTGTGTTGTAGCTTTACGATCTTTTAATGCGTTTTTCGTATAGTACTTTTTTGCTGATATTTCCAACGTAGATGTAAAAACCAGGGTAACGCGAGAGGGCACTGTGCCCCAATGGCTTTAGCAAGTACCCTTTTTAGGCCGTTTTTTACTGACATAGTTCCCTTTTTCAAGCACTGCAAGCAATGTTTGTAATGGGGACTTATGACCATGTGTCTTTCCCAGCTACTAATGTCACATTAAAATGTAACAAATTGTTTTTTTTAGATTTTTTTAAATATAGAAAAGTAAAAAGAAATTTATTTACAATAAACGACCTTCTTGATTTGCAAAGTCGCAAAGTGTGACAAAAGTGAACAGATTTTCTTAAACTAGTTCTTGAATATGTAGCCTGATATGGAACAAAATTGTAAACTTGGGCTTGATGTTAAAATTTTTTTGAAGCAATAGAAACATGAACAATTTTAGCTACAGGTCTCTGTCTATAAAGAAATTTACCTCGGCAGCAGCTCAAAGCAGAACAACAAGACTATCACAAAAGATTGTCATGCAAGAAGTCCTTGGCCTTCGAAAAGTGGTTTTATTTATTTAGACTTGCATTTCAGAATTTAATACTAAGCATTTTAGCTGCTAATGATAAAAAGTGTAAAATAGAAATCTTACCAAAAGTGCTCACAAAGAAATCTTGAAAATCAGCATCAGGCTGAAAGTCCAGAGACGAACTGAAAAATGTAAAAAACAAATATGAAACAGACCAAGACAGTCATTTAAATCTACTTTGCCTAGAACAGCTTTAAATGTAGCTGATCATTGTTTGAATGCAGAATCGAAAAGGAAGGCAAACATTTGGACCTTTCAACTCTAAAAAATTGCTTTCAACTTGTCAAAATAGGTCCCTTTCTTGTCTATCATGCTTCTTAACTTCAATGCCTCTATTTTCATACAATGTGTTAATAAGGATTTTTGGTAGTGAGGTAGAGATCTATTTAAGAAAAACGTCTTACCAAACGGAGAATCGAGCACCTTGTAGATTAACAAAAAAAAATTCACCACTTTAATTCAAATTGAATTCTTATAACTTGTAAAGCTTTTTGACCTAATTATTTATGTTAGTTATCTATCTGATATTTCACTATTTAAACAAAAAGTTAGATAGGACAGCAAATATCTAACATAACTTTTTAATAATAATTTTTAAAGCTTTTTCTTACCAAGATTTGAGAAATAAAGTATTTGCTGCAATTGTTGGCAGTTTAATCTCTTCTAGCATTATCAATTCAAACTCCCTGACCTAGAATAAAGATTGTCTTTATCATTTAGACATAATTAGCCTTATGAATAAGTAGCAAATAATTTGAAAATGGCTTTGAAAAAAGCAAACATTTTACAACATACTTAAAGCTTTTTCATCTGACACTCCTCAGAGCATAAAACGTCAGAATAGGTTCCGAAAAAACACGATGGAAAAATATATACCCAGTTGTGGATCGAAATAGTCCAATCAGAAAAACGCAAGCACAAGACCGGTATAGTTGACCAATCAGTGCCGCGAGCCTAAAGAAAAATTACCAATGGAGTCCAAGAGAGAAAACGAACTCCTTTTGTCTACACAATGGCGGCTTTTTCGTTTTTATGTAGATTGACTCCAAAACTGCTAGATGGAAGGACGACCGGGCTCTGCCAATTATCCGAAACATGCGTTTTTCTGATTGGCCTATTTCGATCCACAACTGGGTATATATTTTTCCATCGTGTTTTTTCGGAACCTATTCTGACGTTTTATGCTCTGAGGAGTGTCAGACGAAAAAGCTTTAAGTATGTTGTAAAATGTTTGCTTTTTTCAAAGCCATTTTCAAATTCTGTACCGCAAAAAAATTGTTAGCAAATAATTATTTCCTTCATAATAAGGATCATAATTGTCATGTCTCCAAAATTGGACAGGAGTCCCCAATATTTAGCTGCCAGAAGCCAACTGAAAGAATGAAAGGAACAAATCAGACAATTCTGTAGAGAAGTATATTTGAGGTACCAATATAGTCTGAGCTGAGTTAATTCCACATTGTAGTGGAAAGTTTCTTTAAATTAGTACCATTTTCATCATTGATGGCAAAAAATAAAGATACATTAGCAATAACTTCTCAATACTTACCATTAACGAATCTTCAATATCTCGAGTTATTTTGATGGCTAAAAAGTAGTTTCACAAAAATTAAATTGAAATTCTGATGGTAAGTATTGCTGATGCCTAAATAGTCTGGTGTTTCAATGACACTTTGCTGACCAGCTGTAGAAAGAGCTGCCCAGAGTAGAAAAACCCTGCTCTGTTTAAAAAAGCTCCTTTAAAGATATAAGTGAAGCTGCAATATATTTTCGAGTTTTAAGATTCTTTCCACCTCTTAATATTTGTGGAAGCCTATAAAGAAATATTCCACTGTTTTGATTATGTCAAGGTTGGTAATGCTTAGGACTTTCTGTCAAAAAATTAATTTTAACAATATATATATCAGGTTTTTCTAAATATGCGTGAATGTAAATTTACAGCAATTTCCTCTGAGATTTTATATAAAATTTCAATTTTATTCAAGCAAAGAAAGAGAGCTTCCTCACAATCAATGGGCAAAGATGAATTTGGCCAGGCTTTTCCAATTACCTAAAAGAAAACAAATTTTCTTATGTCAGACAAAAATTTTCAATGCTAAAGAAAAATAATTTTGCAACAAAATTTAAAGATGTTGCATTTTATTGATAAAAATTAGGAAATAGTTAAATGATCTGTATAAAAACAAGGACTTAAGAACTAAGGAATCAGCCATGATATGAGATCTATCAAAATGCATGAATGAACAGAACAACATCTGACTTGAGTAGCCTACTCCATAAAGATATGTATGTGTACATGAGTGTCAAGATGTGGCCTTGCTTGTAATTGTCAGTACCTTAATGTGCTAATATGTATATTGGCCACATAATTGGTTGATTCTTTGCAACAAAGGCCTGGAGACACAATAAATTATTCCAAAAACTGTATGCAAAGAATAGTGATTATAGATATCTGTCTCTTTTTTTGTTTTCATAAGTGAAGTAAATTATTGGAACAAATATGGTTCAATGCTAATATATATTCAAAAATCTGTGTTTCTGAAAATCATATACAGCAAGCTAGTTACTCTAATACATTTAACAATGGGGAACAAAATGTTATTTAATTAAAACATACATTAAAATATTTATCTTACAGTAAGTAATGAGCTCCTGAGTTTGATAAGCAGGGCAGGGCTATTGCAACTGAATGTCACTAAGGGGTGACAGATTAAAAATTGATAATAAGATGTGGGGCATATTAAATGTAGGTGTGATCTAAACAATAAAATGTTGGTTAAGTGGAGATCTGCTAATATACACTCATTCTAGAGATGTGATGCCACTAACATGGCTATTTCCTAAAACGCTTCAAATAAAAACCAGTCTTTACCTTCTTTGAGGATGATGTGAGGCAAACATTTCCACCAGAAGTTATAAAGCATTTTTTCAAGACAGAAGGATGAAGCAAAATCATATCTTTTCTATTTCCACTTGGGACTTGTATTTCTAAAGATAAAAAAGAAAACATCACCACAACCAAAATATAACTTCAAAAAACATAACTTTCAATCAAGCACCTAGAAAGTTAAAGGTATTGAGCTTGTGAAGCCCTTGCCTTTGCTCCTCACAAGGCCTGATTCTGAAGTTCAAATTTCAAATCTCCAGGCAATGATTCTTTTGATGGATTTAATGACTAGCACAAGCTCTGCCAAATTCTTCCGAGGGTGCTCTCTCCTCGAGTAGCCCACCTACTAAGAAAGCTCCCCGAAAAATTCCCCTCTATAGAATTCCTTTAATTTGTTTCGTTTTGACTTAGCTTCAATATGTTATACTTAATAGATTTGTGTAGCTTGTAATGTTGTATATTCTCTATTTCTGTATGAAATATATCTTTATTTGCTCTTTTTACTGAACTATTAATTTTCGGAGAGCTATAGATCTTTTGCTATCGTATACAAAATGTAGCAAGCTTGGACAGCTCTGAGTGCAGAAACATTCTTGAAGGTAAATTAGACTAGCGACACAACTGATTGCATATAAGTTAGCAACCTTCTGTAGTGTAGACTGAATACTGGGCAAAGAAGGTTGTGCCATTGATGTATCCCGTCTTCTTTGTAGGTTCATATTTTGTTTTTATTAATGGCGATGAGAATGGATCTCGCATCGGGTCCGTTATTGGAGTTATTGGGTTTTCGAGAACTTCTATCGAGGCTTGACATTCATGTCCATTGATCTTTACTCTTGGAAAAAGATTTCCACAAAAATCACATCTAGTCCATTGGTCCTTTTCCTTCTTCTTCGCACTCATCTTCGGTTTCCAGCTGCAGATAAAGTCCCAAATTTGACTCACATGGTGATATTGAAAATGCCGCCAGTGTTGGCCTTATGGAATAGCCTCTTTTTTGCAGCCTCGCAAGATTAGAACATAGGCTGGGAAAAAATACAGCAGGTTTTGTGCTTTTAATCGTCTCGATGCGCTGTAAGCTGTAAAGTACTTGCATTTACAGCACGACTACAGTGACTGTAATTGCAGGTGCAAAGTTAAGCGATCCATCTGCCTAGGTATATCGCCCACTGTACAGGGGAACCAACTACTAGCAGCCTCTTCAAAATAAAGTAAGACGAAAATCATCAAAATAAAATCTCATACAATTCTACGCTAAAGAAATAAAACCTTTCAGTAGGGAAAGAGTTACGAAAGTAGCAAGGAAAGTGAAGAATTTCAACTGCCCTGGACCTGATAATCTTAAAGAAGAATCTATGAAAAAATTCATAAAGGAAGAGATATTAACAGGCGAAAGAAACTTTCATTTGTCTAAAATGTTTTTCCTGGCAATGCAGTTTATTCAAAAGAAATATCAAACGGCACGGCAGTCAAGATTAAACAGAATATTGGCTGCATCTCGCAATCGGATACGACAGTATAAAAGTTTTATATAAAAAAGGAGGAAGAAATTTCAAACATTTCTTAAACAAAGTATCACTTTTGAGTGCATTTCAACCAGTAGACGTGGAAAGAAAATACTGGTGTAAAACCCGACGTAAAAACTGATGGGAATCAATTGTATTGCATCTTTTTGAGGCATATGATTGGCATACGCTACAAAGACTAACCCAAGTTCGCCCCAGGTTTGTGTCTACACTAGAAATCCAACACTAACCTCGGTTCGACCCAGGTTGAACCCACCTCTGGAGATGGGTTAAACTAGCCCAGGGCGGACCCAGGTTAGTTGTGTCCACACTAAAAATCTAGCCTGGGTTAGCGAAAACCTTGGAGAACCTTGGTTAGTTGTATCCACACTGCAAAATCTAACCTGGGTTAGCGCTTAGCGAAAACCTTGGAGAACCCGGGTTAGTTATATCCACACTGCAAAATCTAACCTAGGTTAGCAAAAACCTGGGGGAATCCGGGTTAGTTTGTGTAGTGTGGACAGGGCTTATGCGTCCCTGTCTATGTAAAGTCTAAAAACGTCTTAAACTGAAAAATAATTTTCAAATTACAAAGTGTTATGCTTAAGCACTGAATTTTCCTTTTTGCATTTCTTCCAGTTGAAGCGGCATTGATTTGCAGTAGCCTTCAAAATGTCCCATATGCATGTCAAGAAGGATCGTTTGCATTTTAGATTTATAACTGAAAATTGAGAGTCACAATTTACTTGCTAACAAGCATTTATTGCTTTCTTTTTAGAAATTAACTAATTCAATTTGTTCAAACCATAATTTTCAAGGCTGCTGTTAGCTTTGTGAATATCCTGTTATCGTCAATTTTTAGTCATATGCTGAAAACATTTTACCGCCAATACGAAGGAAGGGTCAAGTTTTGTCAAAAGATCAAGATAATTTTGCAGCTGATCTTTCTGGATGCGTTGATAATTACCGAAAGGTTTCCTTGTGACGATTTCTCTTGATTCTATAATTTGATGCGCAAATATTACGCAAGCGACGGTCCAATTCCTTCAATCAAATAGGCCGTTTCATTTTATTTGATGTTATAAATCAACGTTTAATGTTTGATGTCATTTTCTATATTTTCTTAGTGTCTCTCTATATATTTACTTGCCTGTTTTGCAGCAAGTATAAATTGAAATCACCTCTACTGAAGAAAAAAACTTGGGATAGAATGCTTTATAGAAAGTTTTGGAAGCAAATAAAAGGAATTTATATTGCTGTAATGTCTTTGTGGTCTTGAGAAATTGGAGCTTTCGCTTTTCTGCAAGATAATAAACGGAAAATGGTAAAATACTTTGAGTTATATTTTTAAGATCTAGAGTCGGGGAAGTTAACCTTGGCAATGAATTCAAGCAGTGAAGGTGTTGGCAAGACACTATTGAAGAACTGGAGCGCAGGGCATTTTTGAAATAAAGATTTAAACTTTTATAAGAATTCAGTTACCAACATGGAGGCATGTGTTTCTTGTTCAGAACCCGTTTCCTTAAGCGACTATTCACGAAAAGCTACTTTATTTGCCATTTTACTGACAATATACACTCCGGTTTCCACATTCTTGAATGTTTCTTTGATATCTGCAATGGTTTTTACTCGTCAAGCTACGCAAAATACATCTAACTTACTGATTCTTTGTCTCAGTATCTGTGACGCAGCAACAAGTGCCATTGCATTGCCTCTTTGCATGTTCACTCTCTATACAGCTGAGAATGGTAAGAATTGCAACGTAAAAACAGTAAATTCGATATTACTTGGAACCCTTTATCCGTTCTCGGGTTATTTGGCGGTCTTACTTGCCATTGATAGGTACATCAATATGAACCCAGATATAAGGAGCTCGTCAAGATTTAAGCGAATCTTCAGAATACCTTGGGCTAATATTTTAGTGTTGACTGGTCTGCTGATATTCTTTGCAGCATCTGTTCTGTTTACGTACTGGGATCGATTTGGTGGAACATCACTCTCTCGAAGTATCTTTGCTCTGATTTGTGACCATATCAACTTGATATCTATAATAACGGTGACCTGTTTATATGTACATGGTTACTTGAGGATTCACAACTATTCAAACCACAGTCCAATATATCGAAGCGAGAATGGAGAAGTTAGTAGGCCTGAATATGTTCATAAGCTATGCAAAACAGTCTTTATTTTGGTGATGTCATACAACATCACTCGCTCACCAATATACATTGGGAATATAACACATTCTTTATACAAAGCATTCGATCGAACAATACCACCAGAGCTGCACGAATTCATGCAGTTTACTTTTATATTGGTCTTTGCAAATTGTTGCGTCAACAGTCTTGTAGTTTTTCGTCTTAACAGTAAAGTCAAGAATTGGATCATGAAAAATATTTGCAGATGTTCGAATAGAGCAAGACAAGAAGAGGAAGAATCGTGCTATTAAAGGTCATTCTGCCAAAAACCAATGAATTGTTTTTTTCGCACTTACAACACCCATAAGTGTTTACTTTGCTGCAAAAGCTGCATCATTCCATTCTATAAAGCATGTTGGCGTTATTTAAAACTTCAGCGCTTAAAATAAACACTAAATGCCTTGAGGATATGTTTTTTCATCTGCGGTAAACTGTTTGGAGACAAGCTCCAAGGAAGAAGTCGTGTATTGGATATTTGGTATAATCTTTGAGTCGATTGAAGCGAATTATTCTTTTTACAACAAAAAGAAAAAATAAATACATATTCGATTACTTAGCTGAAAACCTGGTCATTGAATTCACTAAAGGAAGTTCGTTCATGTAAAAAGTATAATTGTTACACGTATCTTTGAGTTTTAGTTTAAAACGAAAGGACAGATAAAAAAGGAAGACATGTATAAAGCAGAGGTCTAAATAGATACAAGCTCAAGATACAAACATGCTACCTCCTCCTCTTTCTTCTGTTTTTTAACTCCTGTGTTTACCATATTTCTGCGAAGCTTTATCTTTGATTTCTCACTTTTTGAGCAAAGCTCTGTGTATCAAACTCATTTTCCCATATGGATTTACATTCCAAATTATGCTTTGTTCTTTTGTTAATGTTCTATGTTTAATATAATCCAATAGTACCAGGAGAGTAGCAAATTATACTGTAAAATGACACTCTTTTAGGACCCTTAAATACCCTACACTCTTGCTTTTTCCGCATCTCTCCCTTTTAAGTTTTAAATACTTCTCCTTTTATAGCGGGCAAATTTCTTCGCCTTACCCTTACCCAATAAACATTTCATTTATTTGCTATTTGTAAGTTTTACGCAGGATATTTCTCTCAACGTCCGCTTAGTGCTTTTTGCACAGTTTATAAACTTGAAAATTAATATCCTAAATCCTACATTTACATTGTCTCTGTAAACGTCCACTCCCTGTCTAAGTCTAAGGCATCCATGCAATAACTTTAAAAACTGATTGATCGGTCAACCTAATTAAATGCCAAATTCTAATTGTGGTTTTAGGCAGTGTTGAATTAAATGCTTCTTAGAGTCATTTACGAATTGATGCTATTGTAGGTACTTCAAATATTTACGCATCAAAATATAATGGTCATGTTAGGAAGGCTGGTATTTGATGGGAAGACAATAGCATCCGATCAGGCCATTAATTACCCGATTCTATTAAGCTTTGTTGGTTTGTTCTTTTGCTGAATAGCACATGTTTTATTTATGAGCAAAGGATAGTCTAGGTCATTGTCTGGAAGAAAACTGTTTCTCTTAATGCATCGTTTTAACGCAATCTATTATCTGTTTTTTGTATTGGACGGTTTCACAATATTGGACGGATCAGAAATGAAATCTTTAAGACAAAGAAGATTGTTGTACAGGTTGGTGAGATTTTTACGCTTCTAAATGTACCTGGCCTGTCCCGAGAAGTTCATTCTCGGTTTCATAAAGTATTTTGCCCATTTGTTGAAAAACAATTGAATCTTTAGATTTTCTATAAGAGTAGGGTATTGATACCACTAGCTAATAATTTGAACGGGGGAGGGTTGGATGAAAAATAGAATTTTGATGACTGTAGTGGAATACCTTATTTGATATAGTTGGAAAAAATTTTATGAATGACACTTATTTTTATTGACATTTATTGACAAGATTATCTCCAAATATCGACCTGGATAAAAATGGAACTGCTTACAAGTGAATTGGTCAATTGTCAGATCAAATTGTTACACCCAAAGCTATAATAGAGTACGGAGTGTGATGTCATCGAAAAATATTTTTAAAATTTTTTAACTTCGATATGCAAAATCAGTTAAATATGCTCAAAATTTGGCGAGATATGGCCAATAAAAGATTTCAGGTTTGCTAACGGATTACTATAATTCTGGCCTGGTTCATAAAGTTATGAACCAAGGCCACATTACGGAAGCTTGATGGGGAAAGAGCTTGTGCTCATGTGGTTTTACATCAGCTAACTTTTTGCACATCCAGCTGATTTTGCACATCTAG